TCTGTCTTGGTCAGCATGTGGAAGACTGCTGACAGGACAGCTGGACAGAAGACAGTCACAGACACTCTCCACAAGCCACAAAGTTATTGCTAAAGAAGTTTCTATTGTACCCGATCATTTTTATATGTAGTTCAGTGGAAGGAAGAAATGTGTTAGAAAAAGTTGCAGCAATTGAGTTGATCACAGGAGGTTACAATGAGTGGACTGAAACTGGAGTCTGTGAATTAAGAGCTACTATTAGCTTTATTTATAATAACCTTTATATTTCAAATTGAAGACACGAAGGGAAAGTTCACATGCTGATGATTTGAAGCTACAGGGGATTGTAGCTACAGCTGCCCTGGAGAAGGCTGACAGAATTGAGGTCACAGTTTTGCTATTTCAGAAGAACCAAAGACCCTCAGTTGTTATTCATATGGCAAGTTGAACAAAGAGATTCCTGTTGAGGCCTGAAGAATCTTATCAATATGCATAGAGCATACAGGGCAGTAATTTGGCCCTATCAGTGAAACAAAATTGTTCTTTTTGTGTTTGGATAAAATGTTCAATAAGTTTGAGTGTGGACAGAGTGGTTTTTCTTCATCCCTTATGACTGATAAAGATAAGAGACATTTTGGCCTACCTACTCATAAAAACAGATGCAATGAACTGTTAGAACCTGGCTTAGAATTCACAAATCCTCTAGGAATCTAGTGATGTAGAAATCACCAAAATTTAACAGTTGGATGAGTTCCTTTATTAAGATATCCATTATTACTCTTTCAGTTTTTATGATTAGTATATTACTGTGACTTTGAATTGAGTCAGACTGGAATTACAAATTTAATCACTTTACCAAAAACTTCTGCAAAAAAACTCAGTAACTGGTAGGGGCCCTCCAGACATTCGGGGGCCCCTGTAAATGGTTGAATCATAGAGCTAACCTACAGCATTAATTTATTGAGAATGTCAATGTTATTACATTTTATTTAATGCATTCAACAGAGAAAAGAAATAGTACATTTAAGATTTAATTAGGAAATTTCCTTGTAAAGTTTAAAGAATCATCTTGATAGTTTGATTGTTGCATTACCATGAAAAAGTTTTGTGTTTGAGCTGGGTTTGTTCACAAAATCATGATTCTGTGTCTGGAATGCCCCGGTAATCTCAATGCCAGTCCGCCCATGCTTTTGGGACATTTTGATTTACTTAATTGTGGAAATAGTTTAGTTTTATGCTGCAGTCCAAATAATTGGTACATTATTTTCACTGATGTTTAAAATTAGTGAAAACTTTTGCTGTAAGAGATGGGTTACACAGTAAATAGAGTTGAGATGTTTAATGTCATCTTAAAATTGGTTGTTAAAATTTTCATTCTGTATGAAAAAAACAATACATTTTATATTTAGTTAATTCACATTCTGATACTGTAAATTACTACAGTGTCAGTTGTAAATCCATGAATCCATGCAGGGACATCAGGCTGCAGAGAGTCAGAGTGAGAGAGAGAGACAGAAACACATAATAGTAGATATTTAAATTTTAATTTTTGGCTGAAATGACAAGGGAAAAAAACATTTAGGCTTTTTTTTTGCAACAGTTTGTGTTTTTTAACCTTTTGAGAGCTATGGCTCATGTTTGACTGGAAAATGGAAAATGAAGTTGCTGACAGGGCTGTACAGTGAGACTGAGTTATCAGTGAGGAGCTAAGATGTCTGTTAGATGTGAAAAGCATAATTTTTAATTATATTTGTAGGGCAAACTGTTGCACTGTTTGCCCTACAAATATAATATAAGAGGTATTCAAGAAGAACAAAGCTAATGTTTTAGGTTTTATTTTTGTTGGTCAAACTACTGCACTGAGTTTAAAACTGCTGAGTCTCATTTTACTGGCTTTTTGTTTTTTGTTTTTACTTCAGACAGGCAGAATCAGTTAAATTGCCAGTCAACTTTTATCAATGCATTTTTGCCCAACTAGCTAGCAAGGTGATCAAGTCTGAAGATGCCTTTTGGCATCAAATGTAGTATTTTGACCAATAAAATATATCAGAATCTGGTGGCTAGTTTGTATGTACTGCCAATGTATTTATCTTTGGCAGTAATTGTGAGGCAAATGATAAAGTGAGTATTCATCCTGGCAGTCATTTTACTTGATGAAAGACTGAAGCCATTTTGTTCAAAAGAAAATGGAAAAAGATGTATTTGGGGAAATTTGTCACCTTGAGATGATAAACACATACAGTAATCAATAAATCAGTTAATCGCAAGATAACTTTCAGACTGTGTTCTTGCATTATTATTTTACCATTAACTTTGTATTACTTAATATAATACTTAAAAAGAACAAAGTTTATAAATAAGTGTTTATCGCAATAACTTCTGGAACAATTTATCGTCCATCAAAATTTGTTATCGTGACAGGCCTACACACATATAATATATAGCGTAGTTAATTTACTACCAGGAGTGGCATAGTTACTTTGAAAAAGTAACTTGATTGCTCAATGAAAAATTCATCCATCAGCTAGAAAATGTGCATCTCTTTTCCCTCCTTCGTTTACGTTTTTGTCACTGGTGTTACACATGAATCGTAACTCCCCAAGGAAAAAGAAGAAAGCAACAATACAAAAAAATTACAAAAATAGTAACTTAGATACGTAACTTTAATGTGATTATTGGATTGTATGTAGTAACGCGTTAGATTACACATTACAAGGGGTCACATTAAAGTAACATGTTGATGACAACAATGTTTGGCATTTCACCTCAAGCTATTTATGGATTTGTCAGATTTTCAATGGGTGTCCCCCCAATGATAAACTTGTTCCTACGCGCTTGGGCAGAAGACATAACGACAGAGTTTTTGTTTTTTTTGGCTGCACAAAGTAGCAGCAGGTGGCTGAGTCGAGGGAAGACGGATGAAAAGAGGATGATAATAATGAAGATGAGTTATGGCTGTCAGACATGCTGTTCTATGATTTATGGGTCTATTTGCAGAGACGAGGTCTTGACAAACTAATCCAGATTTCTTAAATGGAGAGACCAAATGAGAAGGGCAACCCTGAATACTGAATATGAACAGGTTTGAATAGAGCAGGCCAAAGTACTGAGACTCAGATGATTTGGTTTATTATGGAGGAAACACTCAGGCGTCAGAGGTCTGGCAGCCAGATTTGACAAGTTGAGAAGTGTAGATGAATAGTAGGCGTCTGCCAGGTGCCACCTCCACGTGTCCTGGCGCCATCTAGAGGGTACAAAAATAAACGACACACAAGGACAATAACCATTCTCCTGACACAAGGCAGGAGTGTCAGGAGCAGGAGGATGACTCCTAGCGTCAGGAGGATAACTAGTTTAGGTTATCCTTCCATTTTCCTTTTTTTCCCTTTTGCTGTTATTTCAACTGTTAACTTTTTGTTTCTCTGTTATTTTCTCTTCATAGAAGCTACACCTGGTTCGGCATTCTGATTGGCTGTGATTCTTTCCTAGAGGGCATCGGCTGACATGGCAATGCTGCCATCACTTAATCTTTCTCCCTCTCCTACTATGAACTTTTAACTTTTATGAACATCAAAATAATCCTCCATCAGTTCAGAAGTTTCTTTGTGTCGATTCTTACATCAAAGGACGTAGTCTTTGTGAAAGTCAAATCACTTTCGTTCAGATTGTGAACAAATTTATCTATCCCTGAAGCAAAATGGGACCATTTGTACACAGACTGTCGGGAATGTTGCCATGAATATCGCTTGTTTATTGGATAGTAGTAAATGACTTCATTACAAGTAATGCCTCTAACTCTGATTGCCAGTTGGTCTGAAATGCTATTGTTCAGAGGAGCCAGAAAGCACACTTTGTTGCGCTCGCTTCCCTTCCCTCCACAGATTCTGTCTCTAGTTCAGGATTGACTTAAACTTATTTTTTTTCAGTGACGTGGAATTGTTTTTTATCTTTTCAAACAAATGAGCCTCACAGACATCTGATAACTTCTCACTTCTTGATGAAGGCTGAAGTAAATCAGAAATGAGACCTTTTTTACTCTTGGAACAAGCTGCCTCAGCACATTATAGGGTGAACTTGTTTTTGTCTTTTCCTAACAGTTTTTTGCTCTAAAGACTGGGTTTTCATTTTGTATAATGTTATTGTTCTACTCTATTTTTTATTTAATTAAAATTTGGTTTCTAAGGTTTAGATATTTAAAATTATTTTTATTACTTATCTATAAATTGATTAATAATTCAAACAGAACATATCCAGCTGTTTTGTTTATTCTTTTTTTAAACTAGTTTATTATTAGTATTGTTCACCATTTTAGTTGTTTTATTTATTTTTAAAATGCGTTGCCAGAAATAATAGGATATATTTCCAGACAATTTTAAAAATTCTAAACCACTGAGTTCCTTTAAATCAAGGCTAAAATCCCATTCGATTAGACTTCACATAGATTAATTATTTTGAGAGGATTCCTGGACTAATACTCTTGTGTCATTCCCTGTTGCCACCGATTGGCTCTTCATTCCACTTACTGTTTCTGTTGGATTTGGTGGTTCCTGGATCTGCCTTCAGTCTTTCTCCCTGCAGAAGAGTCCTTCACCAGCTTAAAATAGAAATGGAAATAGCAAGTTTCTGGAATATCACATTTCAAAAATACTTGATTTAACATAAAATAAAAATATAATTTTTGCCTACTGAAAAAAAATGCATCAGCTTTAATGTAGAATTGTGGAATTTACTCATTAAAACAGAACTACAGTCACCACACACACATGTGTGGTGAATGTAAAATGGCAGACCATAATTTACTAATTAACTTTAGGAGTGACTGCCACCAGAGAACAAGAAGTCACTGGCAGCATAAGATAAATAATATAGTTAGCCTGTAAATACAACAGGCATATATTCCCTGAGAGAGGAAGTCAGATGAGCAGGTGACTCATTAAGCATGCCTTCTGGTTGGAGCATTGGCACTGGAAAAGAATATTCGAAGGCTTCCCTCCTCCACAGGTGATGACAAGATCAATGCTGTGAGCAGTAAAACTGGAAGAAAAACAGATGAGTGCACATCTGTAGGTCTGACTCCACGCTGATTCCACAGGGAAGACCATCAGGGAAGGGTACCGAACCAACATCTGCATTTATGTTGAACTTACGTTGGTTTAGATGTTCTGTTTCTACATAAGTTTTAATTCTGGATTTGTATTTAAATGACTTTAATAATAGCCTAATGTTTAGTTATAACTTGTTTGTATAAGTTCATGTTTTTCACTACACAGAACAGAACAAAAGAATCCTCAGATTTTATTTTACATGTTTTTTCTAGTTCAGACATGAATTTTCCATGTGAATTGGATTTAGAGGAGCAGTGCCCGGTGTGTGGAGATAAGGTTTCTGGATACCACTATGGCGTCCTCACTTGTGAGAGCTGTAAGGTACTTTAAACCCAACTGTAATATATTATTTTGTTAACCATAACTCATTTCCGACAGCACAAGAGCAATGTGGAGCAACAAAACTGCTTTCATCAAATTGTTTCTTCTTGGTCCTCAGGGATTTTTCAAAAGAACTGTTCAAAACAACAAGACATATGTCTGTGTGGAAAACCAGCAGTGCAAAATTGATACAAGTAAAAGAAAAAGATGCCCTTTTTGCAGGTTTCAGAAGTGTCTTAATGTTGGAATGCGTCTGGAAGGTAAAGTGGGCTTTTTATTTCTGAATCTAATTATGTAATGATAACTGACCTTTAGTGCAAACAATTAAATTAATGGAGATATTAACAAAAATGTTTTTAAGCCACATGCTCAGGTGTAACCTCTGAGGTGAACAAAATTAATAAGATTTGAGATGGAAAAAATGTTCCATTCACTGCAATTGTCAATCCATAACTGTTTCCAAGAAGTCACGTCTAATATGCATGTGGATAGTTGTTGATAATAAATAAAAACAAGAAAAGATATTTATTTATTTACACAAAGCTGCTGTTTCTTTCACAGTTTGATTTACTTGTGAAAAACAAACAGATTCTGTCTGGATTTGACAGAGCAGCAGGGAGGAGACTTTTGGTGTCTGTTTTCCTTCAAACTGTGGTATAAAATGTCAGATTAAAATTGACATAAATTTGGTATTTTCTTTTGTCCATATTTAAATATTTTTTTAAAGAAATTTAAGCATTTAACAGTAGCCACAGCAGCTCTGTAATGTTCCTAAACTTTCTCACTTCCTTAAATAATTACATGGCTTCATGGGATTCTTTTAGAAATTAATATGATAAATAATGGCAAAATGTCTTCTGCCTTACAAATTACAAAATGTTTTCTTTTGTTTTATCCAACAACACTATTGGTCTTTTAATTATATATACATTAAGAAGTCAATCTAAAAAGCAGAAAACACGAAAAAAATATTATGAGATTTCTTTAAAGTTAGAATTTATCTCATGATCAAATGCAAAGTCACCTTAAAACAGACTAACAGATTAATTTTTCCTATCAGCTGTCCGTGCAGATCGAATGAGAGGAGGCAGAAACAAGTTTGGCCCCATGTACAAGCATGATCGTGCCCTCAAGCAACAGAAAAAGGCTTTGATACAAGCCAGAAGATTGAAAATAGAAAGCAACCAAAAAGAAGTTACTTTCACCACCAACATCCACTCAATTGCTATCCTTCATAACACCAAATTAAGTCCAATCCAACTTCCGTCATTATCTTTGTCCCAGCCCTGTTATTCTCCTGCTGTTATACAGCACCAAATCACCTCTCCATCTAAATGGGCTATGAAGTTAGAGAACTACAACAACTCTGCAAATTTGGCAGCTTTTGCTGAGGCAATCGTTGGTCCGCATCACACATCCTCCAGATCCATTTCTACACAAAGTCCAAAGATACCTCAGCCTAAAGCTGAGATAGAGTTCCTACACTGTGATCCATATGAACTTCAGCTGCAGAAAAAGATGTTTTCTTGCCTGCAGCAGGAGCAAGCCTGCAGGCACAAAGAGCCCAACACCTTCAGCTCAGTGTGTGTCATGGCTGACCAGTTGCTGTGCTCTATTGTGGAGTGGGCTCGCACATCCATCTTCTTTAAGGAACTAAAGGTAAGAACTCTTGATTTTAGTTTTGTGTATCTTGATTATATGTTATTTTGAGTCTGATAAACATTGTGACATGACTGTTCATGTCAGAATTAGAATATTTATTTTTGGCTGGAGTTAGAAGGTTTATCATGGCAGTCATTCAGATTTGACTTTGACAGCTGTGTTAGTTTTGTCAGCTGTAAAAACAACAGATAAAAGTTATTATGTTTTCTAACAGTAACCCTCTGTTTTTTCTTTATTCAACCTTACTGAAAACTTCTGCAGCTCTTCATATTTTTCTATTGTGCATAGCGGTAGAAACACACATCTAAAGCTGGCCTCATTGCGTGTCACACCCTGGGCCAACACTTGGCAAGAGTTGTGCCAATTCATCCTTAACAAGAATTAATTTAAAATTCTATTTAGTTCATCTAAAATAAATGTTCACAGGTCACCCAATAAAAATTCTGCACGTTCACAACTGCGACATTAGCTGTCTAAAATTAGGTTATGATGTTATTTGTCAATTATCATGGTGGTAATCCCACTCCTTATGGTGGTCTACTTCCTAAAACTGACATTTTAACTGAAAAACACTCGACTTAGACTACTTATAATGGTGGTCACTTTTTTTCAAGGTTTTATTGGATCTAGTGGCATTTATTTGAAAGTGAATTGACAGGAAAGTGAGTAATGAGAGAGGTGTAAGAAATGCGGCAAAGGTCATGAGGCCTGGACTTGAACCCGTGACATCCACATTGAGGAGCAAGGGTTATGCTTTACCTCTGCGTCAGCATTAGAAACCCCCATGGTGATCATTTTTATTACCTCTTATTCCAAGTCTCAATGATTGATGTCATCCTATTTGACCATTTTTCTGTTATCTTTGAAAGCATAATATCCATTGACTCACTTAGCTATAAAGATATTACAAAATGCGGACATAATTTTGTAGGGTAATTTGGTCGGGAAGCATTTGGAGGAAACTGTTTTTGACAACTCAGAAAACTCAACTAACTCAAACCAGTCCAAACACAGTCAGTTCTGCCTCCTATGGATATCTTTTTTAAAGAGGGCTACATGATCTGTCTGATAATTCTCTGATTTTGTTCAGAGAATTAACACTCTGAACAAGATCATCAATTTAACTGGGGGAGGAGATTGAATTGCTGCGTTCTGCTGTGTTTCTCTGAGATTCTGAGAAAATTAAACATAGAACAGATTCTTTAAAAACAATTTAGTATTGTCTGATAAAGATCTTATAAAACAAAATTTTCTTTCTGGATGGTAATACAGAAAGAAACAGCTAGACTTTTTATTAAAAGTCTAGCTGTTAATAAAAATGATCAGAAAGCCCAGGATTATGTAGAAGTACTGTTATTTCTTCACACTCAATGCCATATGTCAGAATAAGATCTAAAGCATGATGACAAAAGTAGTTAGAACTGAAAATTATTTGAGTAAAGTCAGCAAAGCCAATAATTTTAAATGCTGCATTTGATCTATCACGCTCAGTGTCAATATGAATGATGAAGTTAGCCACTGTTATAGTGGTGTGTCAATGTTTACATTAAATTAGATTTTTTTTTGTAATACTTTATTTATGAAGATCTTCAAGTAAATTTATATCACAGAACACAAAGACAAAAAGCACCTGAGACAATAGAATTACAAAATCTGACAAAAAAACAGACAATAAATAATAATTCACAATGTTACACAAGTAAATAAATTATAAAATGATAACAAAATAAATAATGAATACATAAATAAAAGGCCAGGGCAGAGTTCACAACTGTGTTATTTGCTCAACTGTTCATCTTGTCTGGAAGACAATAATGTGGTTGAGTAAAGGGAGTGTCATTGGTCATTCGCATGTTCCAACACTGGACTCCACATCCTAGAAAACTTCAGAGTGTTACCAGAAAGTTTCTATTTCAGTCTTTTCATATGCAGATCAGAGAGTTATGTAGTTTACAATTCAAAGTCTTCAGGATGTTAGAGCACCCCAGCAGAGCTGTTCCAGGGTCAAGTGAGACAATCATTTTAAACAGATAAAAACCATTGAAAGATGAGACATAAAAAAAAATCTGTAATTTTGGGCAAAACTAAGAAAGATGTGCAAAAGAACCTTCTGTCACCTGACATTTATTGCACAGTGAAGACAGGTTAGGGAAAATTTTGTTTAGTCTAACTTTTGCGTAATGCAATCAGTGAAATACCTTGTACAGAATCATGAAAACCAGCATTAATTGAACACAAATTGATGTTTGTTAATATTTTATCCAATGTTTTATTTTAATCATGATGAATATACGATAATTGAGAAGAAGCAAACCAGCATTGAAATCAAATATTGTTTCAGGAGAACCCAGAAATGATTTTAACAATTAATTATTAGTTGTAAAAAATGTGATTTTGAAATTGAAAATTTGAATCGTAAATGTACCTGTACGAGATGGCAAAAATCAGTCTTGTGCAAATTGGAGCATGGGCCAAAGTGTGTGGAAGGACACAATGTTTTCTAATTTGATTCCAGATCCTCTGGGTGTTTAACAGAATGACATGGTCCTTCCAATAGACCACAGGCTCCCTTGGGGATGAGAACAGGATCTCAGGAAGAGAAGTCTCGCATGTCAGGCATTTTTCTATAGCTACCCAAGAAGGCAGGGTGAACTCGTCCCCCTTCTTAAACCATATTGCCAAAGCAAAAAACACAAGAAACCAAAACCCCTAAATTTTCTTGATCTTTGAAGATGGTTTTTAGCCATATCTTTTGTGTTTTGCACTCTCAGAAAAATGGTATGACAATGGAATCTAAAAGTTTCAGAAAAATTTAGTAATGAAAACCGTAATATTCTGAAATAAATACAAAAATGGAGGTAGTGAGACTATCTTAATAGCATTTGCACGTCCAATCAAGTATGAAGGATAATATATTCCATTTTTTATGTTCTCCTTGATTTGAGTACATTTCTTAAATTCAATTTAAAAAGGTCTCGGGTTTTTTGACATTTTGAATTCCAAATATTTCATGTAGTCAGAGGTTTTGTTAAAATGTGTCGTTGCCAGAAGTAGTGAATCAATCAAAAAAAATTTTTAAATCTGAAAATTGAGGGTAAGAGCCTGGTAGACTGCATCAAACAACAAACAAAAGCGGTGTTTGTATTTTGCAACTAACATAAGAAAAATTAAGGGCTTGATGTTCAAAATAACTTTAGCTACTAATAGATATAGATTTACCAAATGAATCTCAATGAAGAATAGTTATTTCTCCACCAATTTCTGTGCTTTGACAAATGTGAAAATATAAATAAGAAGATAAGAATTTATCGGATTATCACAAATTAAGTCATAAACTAGCAAAGTCTTAAGGGAGTCTTAACAGAGATATCTGATGTTCAATAAACTACACTTAATTGTTTTTATTTTTCTTGTCAGTGGAAGTTGTATTAATCTTTGCTCTTTTTAAGCTAGTCTTAATTCCATTTGATTTTGGCCATGGGCCAGACAACGTCTTAATTGGTGACAGGTGGGTAACAGTAGAAGCTGCAGAGAGGTTCCGCTTCCTGGTCTGGACTCTGCATTGTTTATGCTTTGGAAGACTAATACATTTGGCCAGATTCCTAAAAAGATAAGCTGCTTCATCCAAACTGGGATGGATGCCATCTCTCCAGATCAGAAAGGGTTTTCCCGAAAATGTCTGCCATAATCCAGGTAAACCATAGCAATGTTGATCACAATACAATAAAGAAAGTTCCATAGTTGCTCTGGCACTGCTGATCAATCTGGTAAAGGTTGTCAACTTAACCTGATGAGAGAAACAAGCTTTGCATATGTCACTTGTTCTGGTTCATAGTTACTTAGTCATCTTATTCTTACTCCAACTCCTAGAAGCTTAAGAGTCTGGTAATAGTTTTAAATAGTACTTAATATAACAAACTCAAAAAGTAAAGCAAACAAAAATATTCTATTCTATTCTATTTTGTTTTGTAGAAGATTTGACTCAAAAATGATTAATTAACTAGGAAAATGGATAAATTACAGTATTTAGCTTGGGAAAAAATAATGCATAATGTTCCGATGGTATCAGTTCCTCTTACTTTCTCCCAAGGTCTCTGACCAGATGAGGTTGCTGCACAACTGCTGGAGTGAGCTGTTGGTTTTGGAGATAATCTCCAGACAGGTACTATATGGCATTGATGGCGGTCTGCTACTGATCACTGGGCAGCAGGTGGGTGGGATGAGCCTAATTTTATATCCATTCTGATTTAATTTGATTAAAATACCAATGACAAGCTCATGTGTATTACTAGTACCATGATATTCTTGTATTAGGCTTTAAGTGTGAGCCAAATGCATATTCTATGAAGTAATTTTATTATGTTATCATATAAATTGATCACAAGTGAAGGGCTGCACTGCACAATATATCAAGTCTCAAAGTTAAATTGTAATAACATTGTGCTACTCATGGATATCTCAAAGGAGTGCTTGAACTATATTTTTTGGTCAGCATCCTTTGAATGATGTTTGACCATTCCAAGGTCAAACATCATGCTTGACTGTACTCAATTTTGATAGTGACTAAAGATTCTAAAGTGTAAGGTGGGAGTATCTTGATGACAGAAGAAAAAAAAGAAAAGAGAGAGGAGACTGTAGGTTTATTTTTGTAATTGCAATATAAATTTTATCAACATTTGCTTTTTTCTTAATATTATTCTGCCATAATACAAATGCTTAAATGAGTAATGTGCTAATAAACACAATTATTCTAGTTCAGAGAACGCTTGATCACCATCTTGATGTCAGCAGATGCTTTCTTGGTCCAGGGGGAGCTGTCATATGTAGCATCTCATGCTGGCCCTGCTTTAGTCAGTCCGAATCAAAGAGGGACAGAGCTTGTGGAGAAGCTTCGAATGCTGAAGGTAGATCATCAAGAATTTGCCTGCATCAGGTTTCTAATCCTGTTTGCCCCTGGTGAGTCACCAAGTTGTAGCTTTTTGAATTGTTTTGAAGGTTCATTGGTTGTCTATTGATGAGCCACTGTGAGATGCAGAAGACTGTGGTTCACAATCTGAGATGAAAAAAAAACAAGATTTAAACTCAAACAAGCCCATGTTACAGACTGCTGCATATGACCTGAGGAAAATCAAAACTAACAGAGTTTTTTCTCAAAGATTTACAAAGGTCATCTAAGTCACGCAAATTCTCTATTTTCCAGAGAGGTACAGCCTGTTGTCTCTTTATAGTTTTTAGCTTAGATAAATTAAAGACACTGCAATGTAACTTGTTTTCAGGCACTACACTTCCATGTGTTCCAGTTTCTTACACACTAAGCAGTCTGAATAAAAGCCTGAAAGTAGTTTCTCAGATTGTACTCTCTCTGTCAGATGTCAAGGAGCTTGAAGAACACCATTTTGTAGAAAGTGTGCAGCAGCAGGTTGAAGGAGCCCTCCTGAAGTACACGCTGACCTCATCATCGCAGTCCTGCAACCGTTTCACTTGTCTGCAATTGTATCTGTCAGAGCTACGCTCCCTGAGCATACTGGCTGAAGATTATCTATACTACAAACATCTGAGTGGTGAGGTGCCCTGCAACAATCTGCTTAATGAGATGCTACATGCCAAATGCTGTTGGACATGAGCCAAATTGTTCTAGAACAACATGCAAGACACTACTGTAAAGTCAAGAATTTACTTTCCATTTGTGTAAAAAGCATTTCTGTATATCATATTATTTTCAACAAGTTCTGCTTCAGTTTTGTTCTGTACTACTACTACATCAGTTAAATGAAATTTATTTGATGTACTAGTAGTATATGTATGTGAATATATTTTCGTGGATAAGCAAATGATCTCTTCCCTTATTAAAATTGCTGCTTTTGTGCTGACATAAATTCAGATGTTTGTGTTTGGGTTTGTTTTGGTATGCTCCTTGGTTTTAGGACAAATTGTAAAATGATTTTCTGTGATTCTACTATATATTTAATGGAATGTTCTTTTGTACAATCAACACAAGGCTTCCCTGTACACCTTTCCAGATAAAAGGTAGCACATTTTTCCTAAAAAACTAATGAGGTCACAAATCGTGATTAAGCTGTAAAAACTTCCTTTTTGTAGTCTATTTTAAACATATTGCTCCTTAAACTTCAAATTAAAACTTGAAATTAATAATAAGAAGGATTTTCATACAAAAATAACCTTAGACTGACTGAAAGAACCATACAAGGAGCAACCAAGAGATCCAGTGTTTGGAACAAAAGCAGAGAAGTTAGTTGAAAGTAGTCAAAGATAATCTCAAGTCTGACCATTTAAAGCTCTATATATTAGCACTTTACGACGAATTCTAAAATCGACTGATAGCCAGTGCAGAGAATATAACTGGAGTGATATGACTGAATTTATTGGATTTGGTGAAAAATCTAGCTGCTGCATTCCGTATTGATTGCAAACATGAAATTGAGGACCTATCCAGGCAGGTAGAAATGAAGACTAGGCGCAAATTCAAACTGGAAGACTCTTTAGCTCCATCTGCATCATCCAACCGGTGCATCCTGCTCATCACAGTCAACCAAGCAATGCTGGTCCAAGACACGTCATGTCCAATCACCATCAAAGTCCCATCCATAGCGTCTTCCGCTTTCCAGCAGAGCTCAACCCACTTCCACCCCTTCACCTCCACTCGCCCTGCCATTCGGCCGCATTCTTCACCAAACCTCCAACACCAGTACCGGGTTCCTGGAGGATGATGTTCTTGCAAGCATCGGGAATGGTCATCTGAGCCTATTGTAAAAAGTTTTGCAATAATCAATGTCCTCAGCCGGGGACATTTCGTATGTCAATAAACTCTTCTAATGGTCTCCCCCTCTGTCTGTCTGAGTCTCTCCAGATTGAAATGGCATCACAGTAGTCCAGATGAGATGACACGAATGAATGAACAATTTTCTCTAGGTCAACTCTGTAGACCACATGTCTTATTTTAGAAAATGAAAGAATCAAGAATGGGAAACAGTCTTAATGTGTGACTCAAAGATGTTTGGAATCTAAAGTTTTTTGTGAATAAGTATCTAAAAGCATTATGTGCATTTTATAACCAGATCCCTTAAAGTCTTTTCTCGAACTACATTTTAAAGCAATTCAAGTTGCCTCTCTTACAGTTCTCAGTTTTGTACATCTGGTGACACATTTCTGCTCATTCATATTGGATGAAGAGCACCTGTGAAAAAAACATTTTCAAATCTTCTTAGATTCTCGGGTCTAAACTTTTACAGGGCCGTTATAACAATACAGCATTTGAGAAATATTTTTGAAACTGTGCCTCATTTTATCTTTACTTCCAAATATCACAGAATGACTCTATTTTATTATTACAGTGGTTATGTACCTATTAATAGGTACACAATTAATGTTATGTAGAACCAATTCAAGATGAACGTCATTTCAAACATCCAGTCTATCAGAAAAATATACAGTCAGTTAGTCCAATCATACTGACAAACTCAAAGTCAATTAGAAATACTCCAGTTTAAGTCAATCAGACTTAGTTTATTATTCAAGTTGTTAAACAAAATTTCTGTCTCATAAAACCCAACAGATTACATCAGCAACCCCTCCTAAACAAGCATGTAGCAACAGTGAAGAGGCAAAAAGAAACCTCCAGCAGAAACTAACTCAGTGAGAACGAACATCTCCTGCAGGTTTGAGAAGAGAGAGCATACACACATGAAACACAGAAGACTGATCCAGGAATACTTTCTATGTTAAAGAAAAGTAAAATGTTTATGGTAGAAACACAGTTAAACAAATGAGCTCGTCCATTGTAAAATCAAAACAGTAAAAACAGCAAACACAGCTAGTCTAATTAAAAGCTCCTTCAATCGATTTTGCTAGAAAGTCAGGGTAAAACACAGAAAGATGGGGAAAAGTGTATAATCTATTGAAGGAGAAAGTATTGGCAGAAGTAACTAATTTCCTCCTTCCAAGATGGTGAATACAGCTAAATGCCAGAATGCATGCCAGATTATGCTTCTATGAAGAGAATAAAACAGAGAGAACAGATAATTGGAAAGAACAAGAAGAAACTAACATAGAGCTGAACAGTGGTCTATATAATTCCGCAGGCAGCTGCTAAAGGCAAGCCAAACTGAAGAAATATGATATTCCTCTTTTTCATATTCATATTCTTGCTGTTGCATTTTGGATGAGCTGGTGGTTTTTACCTGCGCTTTCCTTCAACTACCACTGAAAACACAAATAAGAGAGATTGTGATTGTATGTAAAAAAAAAAAAAAGTTCAAGAAAGAAAGCATTTTATATGCTGACTGAAAAACTATGAAAATAAAGTTTCTGCTTGTTTTGATAAAAACATGTTCAAGCTCTAACCAAGGTTCTACAAAAACATCTGATTACAAAAACACAAGTTACTTTCTAAAACTAGTCTTAGATTTAATCAAATTTGAAAATCCCTGCTATCAAATAATAAGTTTTTCATACAGATGAGTATAAACAATTTTCTACTTAGCAACTTTGTAATAAAAGATTAGAAAATCCCTGAAATACGTTATTCTCTTTTTTAATTTTTTATTATCACAACCATACTTCTTGATTCAATGAAAATAATTTTAAATATGAATCTTCCAGATGTGGAATAATTGTGAATAATTTTAGGTTTACCTGTAACCAGATTGTTTTTGCAAACCAGACTTGAAATAAAACTAGAATGGGGATTAAAAGAACAATTATAACTATTTTAAAAAGATTATGATGAATAGTAAATGTACAGGATTGGAATGCAGCAGAAATTGTTCACTTTTGCTAACTTGTGTATTAAAAAGTTAATTAGAAGGAATTTACATGAATAGATTCAAAATTGTGTCATGTTGAAGAGCTAAAACTAACAATTGTGGTCAAAAATATTTATTTATTTATTTAAGTTTATTTGGTATGGACTGACACACATTGACATAGACAAACTGAACAAAATAGCAGTCCCATGATTGCCATAATGCAAAAGCAACAGCTAATTCGCAGCTCTTATCCCTCAATCGGCTTTCAAAAAGTACTTTTAAAAATTGAAGTGATAATTATTTTGAATACCAATATTTAATGTTGACAACATCTATATTTATTTGTCCAGCTTATTAATAAGGATAGCTGATAAGAATGAAAAATATAAACAAAATATAAACAATATGTTAGTTTATAGAAAATATAAACTAGCATAGCATGTTTCACTGGGAAAAGCTTTTATGCAACATTTTTTGCAGTAACTGAACAATGTCATGTGCTTAAGGTATCTGTATTTACAAATAAATAATTCAGCAGCTGTGAGTTTATATGTGTAGACTCACCATGATGCATTTTTAAGTCAATCAGGCTTTCCAAATCAAAATTCAGACTTCATCATGAGTAGGTGTGTGTTTACTGCTTAGCTTTAGAGTTATATTGGGCAAAAGTTTGGGAATGTATGCCAGAACTATCTTTCCACAGCTGAGGAGCATTTTTGCTTCAGTCTCACCGACTTTGTTTTGCATGGCAAGCTGGAATCTTGACAAACTTCTTTCTGGTGGCTGCCAAGAGTTGTGCAAATAAAACCAACTGCACCAAAAAATCGATGTGTCTCCTTGTTAAAGGAGCTAATTATCTTGTGCTATCACAAAATCCTTTGTAGCATCATGACCAGGGCTGATCCCAGCATTTTTTAACTTTCTTTGGATGGTAGGAGGAAGCCATTAAATGTGAAAAACATGTATGAGTAGGGGCAAACATGCTAGTTTCACTGGGAAAGGCCTTGGCAGATCCATCCACTCATTCATCCATCTGTCCATCCATCCATCCATGCAGGTAGCTTGTCCATCACAGGACACACTTATGTCAAAAAGTAATATAGATAAATCAATTGTCATGTCTTTGGATTGTGAGATGTTGAAGAACTTTGGAAAAAATGGGCAATTCTCATTCCAAACTGTTATGTCACATCTTAAAAAAACAAACAAAAGTTTGCAATGGAAGTGATGAGTCTTTATTTTAATCTAATAATCTGCTGCAACACGAAGGTCAGAAGACACACTTCCTGTAAGTAAAAGTCAGTGTACATCAAATCCTTGTTATTGGCCACTTAAATCCCACCGATTACATCTCCACGCACCTGTTTCCCTTCCCCCAAGCCCAACACCGGTTTAAGTAAAAAGCTCAATCAGCATAATGCACTCTCAATGTTTTCTGGTGGTGCACTATTTCCTAAAACATATTACTAGACCTTGACATCCAGCTGGCATCCAGTTGGCACCTGTGCTGCGCAAGGACACATCATGGCACCAGATTAAAGATTTCTGCTTAACTCTGAGGCAAAAGGAAAGCTATGACTTGCTTATCAGGAATTTTCACAAAGGATTCTGTATATTTAGAAATTTTCCACATGTTTTATTTTGTAACCAAAATATATAGATCTTATTGCTGAAAAGAAAAATGGTAGAAAAAAACGTGAAATTAAAATAAGAGCTGTGGAAAGTACAGCATATCAAGCTATCAAAGACAATGTTTTCATCCCCTCTGGCATGGTGGACAGTCTGAGGAGCAGACATAGGCAAAGATTACTGCAACTCAAACACTCTCAGGAACACAGTAAGTCTTTTCTGCCTGAGGCTACCAGTGCTTGATACATATATAGTATATATGTATATAATCCATATTTTGTATATATGTATATAATCCATATTTTGTATATATGTATATAATACATATATTGTATATATATAATACATATATTACATATATGTATTATATACGTAATATATGTATTATATATATATAATACATATATTATTACATATACATTACATATACATATATACTCTCTAGAGCTGTGAGCCTTAAATGTTGAATATATATTTAGCAATATACAGATATACTGATCAATATATGTGTCCTTAAGACTTTTACTGCTCATGGTTATGTATGTATGTATGTATGTATGTATGTATGTATGTATGTATGTATGTATGTATGTATGTATGTATGTATGTATGTATGTATGTATGTATGTATGTATGTATGTATGTATGTATGTATGTATGTATAATTTTATTGTGTGTTGTATGTATGTATAATTTTTATTGTGTGTTGTGCTCTGACAAATAAAATCACCTCCCATCACCACTTAGGGGATCAATTTAAACACATACTACACAACGTCTGTCTACTGACTTTCATTTTCATTGATTATTAAAGTTAACTTTCGATGTGTGATTTTAAATAAAATGAATATTTAAAAAAAGAAAGAAAAACACTTTTGACATTGTTTCAGAGGGTCTCATTTCCCCACTATGCGAGGAGTCCGCAAATGCCGCATCTCTCGCGAGCTTCTTTCTTCACTTCCCGGAAACACAAACCTTCATCCACCAAGATGGCGACTTTGACTATGAGCAGACCTACCGTGGCGGGTTTCAGTTTCGAAAACTGTCGAAGGTGAACGGTTTTAAATTTATGAAAGTTAGATAAGAATAAAGAGATTAGTATATTCAACATGTTTAATCCTTCGAGGACTTTTATCTTATACGTGTTTTGTTTTCAAACGGCTAGTGATGCTAGCTCATGTAAAGTTGCCTTACAATGACTCAGGATTTTCTGATGTGCCATTACAGTCGCTTATGTCTCATGCTCTGTTTCACTTCTCTGTTTTTTTTATGAATGAGTTTTGTGTGATTTTAATTAGAAACGAAATAGCTCCGCATTCTTTCTGAAACTTAAGTGTTTTCAATACTGTTCATGTTTACCTCCGCGTCGGGTAAAAAAAAAAAAAGCACACCGGGCCACTTAACCATTCAAAGCCACCGAAGTGAAGTGTTTAGATTCAAATATCAAAGTGTAATAAAATGAAAAATGTTTTCTACTGAAGTTCTTGATCGTATTATATGGGCTTGAAAAGATAGCCGTTACGGAAGTTGATAGGAATTTGTTGTAAAAGGAGAAATGGAATTTGCTGTCACATTTTTAACTTTGAAGTCAACAAAAGTTGGAGAGGGAGCACGAAAGAGCTTTGCCTGTGATGATACATGCTTTACTTTTTGCACTGATGAAATCATTCATTCATATTCATGATTTAATGTTTTTGATTTCAGAAATGTGATTTTGGAAGGTGAAGTCAATAATCTGGGATGCAGCTTGCCTGCTGCTCGAAAAACCGGAACCACCATCTGTGGTGTGGTCTTCAAGGTTAGTGACAGAAACAAATACTGGATTTGAAATGATAGCCAGTTTTATCTATCCCATATGTTTTGATACTAGTGATTCACCTATCAGATTTTTTTGCTCATAGTGAAGTTCAGCTCTGCTCCTCAGCCACAAAGCAAAAGGACAAGGGTGAGGACTTAAGAAACCACCCAGCCACTTTTGGCTATAAGTTATTGTTTTTTTGTATTTGAAAATTAGCTGTTTCGAAAACCTTCTGTCACAAATTGGTAGACACTGTCACTCACCTACCAACCCTTCCTGTTACCTATCAACTCTAGTAAAACCTGTCCCATTACCTACAATGACCTTTGCCCAGATGGTGGCGATGATTCACAAAAAGATTCACAAGTGAACAAAACTGTTGATGGGTTTTAGTTACTGCTCTTTTCTGTTCAATGAAAGAGCACTGAGAAACCATGCTAGCAGAAAATTCTTGATTATAGTAATGTGTACTGTTGGTTGCTATGCCATGTTCCCATATTATAAGAAGGTAAAAGTTTGCCAGCATGAAGAAAATAGAGGGGGATTTGCAGGTCAGAGTCCTTGTACCTCTTTTTCTTCAAAATGAAGATGTAATGTTTGCAATCTTTCACGTCAACTAACTAATATCAGATTAGATTGTAAATAACATACAATGAAAGACTTGACTCATCTCTTAAACTGCTGGGTTAAACCTAATGTGCCTGATCAGAGATGTTCTCAATCCACAAAAAATTAGCTAGCCAAGAACAACTCATGGAGCAGTTCCAGAGATGATGATGTGATTTGGTATTCAGGATGGAGTTGTCCTCGGCGCTGACACCAGAGCCACTGAAGGCATGGTAGTGGCTGATAAAAACTGCTCCAAGATCCACTATATCTCCCCCAACATTTAGTAAGTGACAGTTCAGCTATTCCTTTATATTTAAATTATGCATTACATAGCCTCTGTGAATGGAGATTTTGATAGATTACAGCAGAAATAGGGAACCCCCTCCTTACTGCTCCTTTGTGATGTTGTCCAGCTGCTGCGGTGCAGGAACCGCTGCAGACACTGAGATGACCACTCAGATCATCTCGTCCAACCTGGAGCTGCACTCCCTGTCCACAGGCAGGCTGCCACGTGTGGCAACTGCTAACCGCATGCTCAAGCAGATGCTTTTCAGGTAGGCCTCTGTTTATGTTGCTGAGTAATTAACATCATCACTGTTTAACCTACTGTCATTATTAGCCCAGAAAGCGTCGGTTACCAGATCTTATCACTCAAGAAGACCCCAGTGCATCTTTACATTTGCTGCTGTTTGTGGCAGGACTCAGAAGAGCACTGATATATCAGTGTTGGATAATACTTAGAATGAGTTTAGACAGTAGATGGTTTTCCATTAACCATAGAATTGCTCAAATTGAAGTTACAAAACTACATTTGCTTAATAAAAACACTTTGTTCACATCACACAAGCCAGGTGTTCCTACCATCAAAATAATGAACAAGATGGCAGGAAGTAGTAGAAAAAAAATAGTTTTTTTTGGGGGGGGACAACACAATTCATAAAAAGTTGTGTCATATCAACAAGTTGAATCCATAACTCTTCTATATAATCAACAATAATTTTCCTTAAACACAGCATATGCAGACACTCCCAAGTATAAAAGTGGCTAGTCTCTCCAATGCCTGAATAAGATGATATATACAGTCATGGCCGAAAGTTTTGAGAATGATTCAAATGTTAATATTTACAAAGTCTACTGCTTCAGTTTTTATAATGGCAATTTGCATATACTCAGAATGTTATAAAGAGTGATCAGCGTAACAGCTATTAATTGCAGTCAATATTTGCCTAGGAAATGAACTTTATCCCCCAAAACACATTTCAACCCTAACCCTGCCTTAAAAGGACCAGCTAACATTGTTTCAGTGATTGCTCCATTAACACAGGTGTGGGTGGTGATGAGGACAGGACTGGAGATCAATCTGTCATCATTAAGTAAGAATGACACCACTGGACACTTTGAAAAGAGGCTGGTGCTTGGCATCATTGTTTCTCTTCTGTTTCTCTAAAGAAACACATGCACTGCACAAAAATGGCCTAACAGGAAAGAGAATCGCAGCTAGAAAGATTGCACCTCAGTCAACAATCTATTGCATCATCAAGAACTTCAAGGAGAGAGGTTCCATTGTTGCCAAAAAGGCTCCAGGGCGCCCAAGAAAGACCAGCAAGCGCCAGGACCGTCTCTTAAAAGTGTTCCAGCTGCGGGATCGGGCTACCAGCAGTCCAGAGCTTGCTCAGGAATGGCAGCAGGCAGGTGTGAGTGCATCTGCACACATTGTGAAGCGGAGACTCTTGGAGCAAGCCCTGGTCTCAAGGAGGGCAGCAAAGAAGCCACTTCTCTCCAGGAAAAACATCAGAGACAGACTGATATTCTGCAAAAGATACAGGAGTGGACTGCTGAGGACTGGGGTAAAGTCATTTTCTCTGATGAATCCCCTTTCCGATTGTTTGGGACATCTGGAAAACGGCTTGTTCGGAGAAGACGAGATGATTCACATGCTACCATGTGCTCACCTCGCACATGTGCTTTGACTGCCGAAGGAGGAACAGCTTATCTTGCTCTCTCTTGTCCTTACTGATAACTCTGCCTGTGAATTATTTTTATTTTTAAGGCGACAGTTTTTATAGTTATATTTACATTATTGACATCTTAACTGGATTACTCCAAATCTAAGGACTGGGGGATTTTCTTACTTTTAAAAGCTCTTTAATATTTTAGACAATTTTGGTTTAACACAACATGTCAAACAAGCACACACACTCAAGGACACACACTGGACCTGGTTATCAGTAAGGGTGTGAATATTTCCAATGTCTCTGTAACTGATGTCACCCTGTCAGATCACTTTGCTGTTATCTTTGAAAGTTGTTTATTCTTTGACCCGCTTGGACAAACAGCTGCTGTCACAAAACGTTCTTTCACAGAAAACACAGCAGAAACATTTAATCAAATCTACTCTTCCTCCTCACCCTTAAGCTGTAATGATGTAGATAAGTTGATATATGATTTTCAGTCTAAAGTTTCATATATCATTGATTCTATTGCCCCAATTAAAGTGAAGGTTATGTCTGGTATGAAGAAATCTCCATGGAGAAAAGCACAAACAGTTTGATCTGCAAGACAACTCTGTCGCAGAGCAGAACGAAAATGGCGTAAAACTCAACTTCACGTTCATAATGACATCTATAAAGAAAGACTACGTAACTGTCACTTAACACTAAAACATGCAAGGGAGGCTTTCTTTGCATATGTCATAAACAAAAATATCAACAATGCTCAAACTTTATTTGCAACAGTTGACAGGCTCACAAACCCTCCTATGATGTTACCACCTGAATTCCAATCTAATGCTGCCTGTAACAAGTTTTCCAGCTTCTTTTCAGAGAAAATTCAAAAAAATCAGAGCATTAATCTGCACATTAACTCTAAAGCCAGAACCATTGCTGTACCCAAACAGAACAAATACAGAAAAAATGACCCATTTTCAACTACTTAATTATACAACCCTAGAAGAAATTATAAGTCAATTAAGTTCGAGCTCCTGCTGTCTAGATGTCCTACCCACACATTTCTTTAAGAAAGTCCTGCCTGTTATTGCTGCTGATCTGATCCAAATAGTAACTCATCGCTACATCAGGTGTTTTCCCCCAGGCTTTGTCATCAAACCACTGCTGAAAAAGAACAATCTGGACAAATCGCTACTGCAGAATTACAGGCTGACCTCTGACCTCCCATTCATCAGCAAAGTTATTGAAAAACCTGTGTAAACAATTAAATAATTTCCTCATGATGACCAACTGCTTTGACTCTTTCCAATCTGGTTTTCATGCTCACCACAGCACGGAGACTGCCCTCGTAAAAGTATTCAATGATATCTATATAAATACGGACTGTGGGAGAACCACAGTGCTGGTTCTGTTGGACCTGGTTCTGTTGGACCTCAGTGCAGCTTTTGACACTGTTGACCATGACATATTCCTGAATCGACTGGAGAGTTGGGTCGGACTCTCCTGTTCAGTGCTCGACTGGTTTGAATCTTACTTAAAGAACAGGGATTTCTTTGTTTCTATTGGAAACTTCTCATCAAAGAGGTCAAAGGTCACATGTGGGGTACCCCAAGGTTCAATCTTAGGACCCTTCTTATTTAATATTTATATTCTCCCACTAGCTCAGGTTATAACAGGAAATAATATTAGCTACCATAACTATGCGGATGACACACAGCTCTACATTACAATGTCACCAGGTGACTCTGAACCATCCAATCACTGACTAAATGTTTAGAACAGATAAATATGTGGATGTGCCAAAACTTTCTCCAGCTGAACAAAAACAAAACTGAAGTCATTACTTTTGGACCTAAAGAGGAACGATCTAGAGTCAATGCACAGCAGTTATTACAACTAAAAACTAGCGATCAGGCCCGAAACCTGGGAGTAGTGACTTGAACCTTGCGAGCCACATAAAGACAATTACAAAGTCGGCCTTCTATCACCTGAAGAACATCTCCAGGATTAGAGGACTAATGTCTCAGCCAGATCTAGAGAAACTCATCCATGTGTTTATCTTTAGTCGCATTGATTATTGCAACAGCGTCTTCACAGGCCATCCCACAAATCAATCAAACAGCTGCAGCTGATCCAGAACGCTGCTGCTCGCGTTCTCACTAAAACCAGGAAGATAGAGCACATAACACCAGTTTTAAAGTCGTTCCACTGGCTCCCTGTAGCTCAAAGAATAGATTTTAAAATACTGTTGTTAATTTATAAATCACTGAACGGTTTAGCACCATAATACATCAAAGATCTGCTGTTGTTGTATCAACCTTCCAGACCTCTCAAGTCTACTGGTTCTGGACTGCTTTGCATCCCCAGAACCAAGAGAGGAGAAGCAGCTTTCAGCATATATGCACCAAAAATTTGGAACAAACATCCAGAAAATTGTAAAACAGCAGAAACCCTGACTTCCTTTAAATTGCAACTAAAAACACACTTGTTAAGAATTGTTTTTGCAATGTAATATGTAACAATGTATTGTTTATTCTATGTTGCATGACTTTGTGTTCTTGTGTTTATGATGTAAAGTACCTTGCTGCTGAAATGTGCTATACAAATATAAGAATAATAAATACCACCAGTCTTGTCTCATGCCAATTGTAAAGCATCCTGAAACCATTCATGTGTGGGGCTGCTTCTCAGCCAAGGGAGTCGGCTCTCTCACAGTCTTACCTAAAAACACAGCCATGAATGAAGAATGGTACCAGAATGTCCTCCGAGAGCAACTTCTCCCAACCGTCCAAGAGCAGTTTGGTGATGCACAATGCCTTTTCCAGCAAGATGTAGCATCTTGCTATAAAGCAAAGGTGATATCTAACTGGCTCAGGGAATAAAACATAGAGATTTTGGGTCCATGGCCTGGAAACTCCCCTGATCTTAATCCCATTGAAAACTTTTGGTCAATCATCAAGAGACGGGTGGACAAACGAAACCTACAAATTCTGACAAAATGCAAGCATTGATTGTGCAAGAATGGACTGCTATCAGTCAGGATTTGGTCCAGAAGTTGATTGAGAGCATGCCAGGGAGAATTGCAGAGGTCCTGAAGAAGAGGGGTCAACACTGCAAATATTAACTTGCTGCATTAACTCATTCTAACTGTCAATAAGAGCTTTTGTTACTCATCACATTATTTAAGTGGTATTTCTTTATGTGATGACAACATCTGACATACACACATGAAAACCAGAGGGCAGCAGATCATGTGAAAATATAATACTTGTCATTCTCAATACTTTTGGCCATGACTGTATATCTGCTACTCATGGCATCACACTGCAGTCAGTCTGTAAAATATCCATTTATTTATTTTTTTGTTTAAGTCTGGTAAATGTGTAATTTGTTTGTTTTTTGACTTGTGAGTGAGCAGTTTTGTGTGTGTGTATGTGTCTTCAGGTATCAGGGCTACATTGGCGCTGCTCTGGTCCTTGGCGGAGTGGACTGTAATGGACCTCACCTGTATAGCATTTACCCTCATGGTTCCACTGATAAGCTGCCCTACGTCACTATGGGTCAGTTTGTCTCATTAGCACAGCTTCTGGCTTTTCTGATAGTTCAAATGCAAACCATAGTTTTCTTTATTTGTTTTACATTGTTTTTGTTGTTCCATTTATCCTCACTTGTTTCTGGATAGATGTGGAAAAGAGTAAGACGAACTACTGTTTCCAGACTGTTGACGTTGTTTTGGAGTCAGTAATTTATACAGTAAAATGGATGTTTCCTTATTAGATTGAATTGTCAACCAGTCTTCATTTCAGGGTTTTATTTTCTAAACCAGGTAGAGGTTCAGATTCAAATTGTTTTTTTTTTGTTTTTTTTTGTTCTGCGCAGGTTAAGACAAAGTCAACAGGATGAGAACTGCTTGACTCACTACAAAATCAAGAAATACTAATCACATTCAGTAGAAGTACATAAAAAATCTGTGGGTTCAGTTCAGGCTCAATAAAAACTACATTTAGAAATACTACTCAGTTTATTCTTACTGCTTGGAACTTGCTCCTATGCTTTTTTTCTTTTCTGATTGTTGTAGTTGTTTGGAAGACACTCCAACATTCTTTATTAATTGCACCTTTCTGCAGCAGCAGTCTCTTCTCCCCGAGACTTGTTTCTTCTTTGAATAAATCTGTACCACATAGCCTGTCAATAACGAAGCAGTCTTATTTCTGTCTTCAAGTTGGTTTTTCAAACCCCGGTAACCCAAAGCATTATGGTTACTGGGGTTACTGAGGTAAGGACAGTGTTAGGTCAGTGACCCAAGTTTCATTCTTCTTAAGGCTCTGGCTCCCTGGCTGCCATGGCTGTTTTTGAAGATCGTTACAAGCCAGACCTGGAGGTGAGCCAGTCTCTGCTCATCAGTAACATCAGTTCAGTAATCATGATGGCTCACGTTTCACCTGAGCTTCTATGTTGCTGCTCTATTAGGAGGAGGAAGCCAAGCGGTTGGTGCGTGACGCCATCGCTGCAGGCATCTTTAACGACTTGGGCTCTGGCAGTAACATTGACCTCACCGTCATCACCAAGGGCAACGTGGACTACATCAGACCACACGATGAGGCCAACAAGAAGGGGGTCAGGTGAGGCTAGTGTATCCCACTAGTGTAATGAGATGCACCAAATGAATCCCATTTCACTAGTGCATAGTTGTTGTGGCATAACTTGTGTTACAATTTGTCTCACCATGAATACAGTGCATAATGCATCTTGCCTCCTAAAAAGCAGCTTTATTGCATCAGTTTATGAAATGGCTGACAACTTGTTTCATTGCTTGTTCTCCATGAAGACTAAATGAGCTTGAGGCCTTGCAGCTGTAAGTAAAATGGAGTGTTTTAGTGCAGACTGACTTATCAGCCACCAGAGTTCTCTACTAACCAGCTCTTACCAACTTTGCATAGCTAGTAGAGATGTGCCGATCAATTGGCCACCAATCATAATTGGCGAATTTCCGTGGAAAAGTATGTTGTGATCGCCGATCACTGCCTCTTGTTGTCAATCACAAAAACCGATCACCTGTAAGTCACTTTGCAGTCTGCAGGAATCTGTTTACAGTGTATCTCCCCCGTTCCTTCACACTGACCAAGCACGCAAGAGCAAATCCTAAGCAATGTGTTGTTTAACCATAACTCTGAGAGTGAATGGGGAAGTTTGCATCTTGAGATAGAAAAATACTTGAGTGTGAAGCATTTCAAACTCAGGATCAGGACATTGAAATTAATATGACATTAAAAAAAATACATTTATAAGAATATGCTGAGTTATTGAGCCTCAAGCAGGTAAAAAGACATCCGGAGCAATCAGACAGCAGGTAAAGCAGCACACAATTTCCAACACTCACCCAGATGTGCTAAACAAACAACCCAAAAAATAAAGTCACCGGGCTAGCAGTGGAAGATGCTGTACTCTGCTCTCCGCTGTTAGACTATGCACTATTGATATTTCACAGACGTAGCACCGTCCAACCTCCACCAGATAGCCAATCCAGGTGATCGGCAATGATCGATCACCTGGGTTGGCCCTTATGGGCGATCGGAATCGACTGCAAAAAAACCTGATCGGAGCATCCCTAATAGCTAGCATGCATGGCTTGTCTGTAGGACGATGGTTCCTGTTGTGTGCAAATGAACCATGGATTTGAATTTGTTTTTGTTCTTGATGTGGTCCACACACCACACATAATGAAGAAGGATTTATACTTTATCTTGTTCTTTTTCTTAATGCAGAACCGGTGATTACAAGTACAAAAGAGGAACGACTGCTGTGTTATCTAAGTGTGTAACCCCGCTGGACCTGGAGGTGGTGGAGGAGTCCATCCAAACTATGGACACGTCCTAAAATGTTTCTTTTTTTTTGTACCTCTCCCCTTTAGAACATCTGACACACATTATGTCCATGGTCAACAATAAAGTTTTGAGTTGACTGATTTTTTTTTTTTATCAACCTCAATATTTTGGTTCAACAAACGAGGAACACATATTACTGTTGACCATTTAAGAGATTTTAAATATTGAATAATTCAGACTGAAAATTAAAGTCAAAGGCTGAATTCAATTCAGTTTAGTGATAAAGAAGTGAAATATTTTACTTATTCATTCTGGCTCTGGAAAGCATACTGCCAAAAATTAAAATTGTAAAATTGTAATTGGCATTTTTATTAAATCAAGCTGAAAGAGATTGCATCACTGTCTTAATTTTGAGGAAAATAATTTAAGAATCAACTACAACGTCATTCTGAAACATATAATCCCTTCACTAACTTAGAAGAAAAAGAAAAAAAGAACATTAGGAAATAATAGAATCTAAATAAACGGGCAGACAGAAAATAAGAAGGGAGAAAATGCAAAGAGCCAATATTAGAGAAACTACATCAGTGTATAAAGAAAATTAATGTATGGAACATTTGAAATGTATGGTAAAATATCTTAAATGCAAAATGAGAAAACAAATGAATTGAAGAAATTAGTTAAACTAAGATTGGAAAAATAAGTGATAAGTTGATACAGTAAATCACTGTATAATCAAATCAGTAGTGACAGTCCTTGCATTTTATAATTAGGATGAAGTATTTGGCACATTACTCACTTTATCTAGCCTTTTATTCTTATATTCTCAATTTTGGCAGGATCTGTGTTCATAGAAACTAAATTCTTAACGCTGAAAATGTTGAATTCTTGTTAAGCATGGGGCTGGATTTTCTCTGCTGCTTAATAAGCACAAAAGTCATACACATCACTTATAAACAGCTAATTTGGTGGCTTCACAGGCCTCCCTACTAGTCCAATTGGAATAACCAAACATTGAAAAGGTTTCAAAATGGCACTAAAGCTGCAGTATGTAACTTTTATAAAAACATATCTTTTACATATTTGTTGAAACCGTCACTGTGCCGTGACAGTATAGCAAAGAAAGATAATCTGAAAAAAAACTTGACCTCCTCTGTCTTCTCCCTGTGCTACCAAGAACCAACCAATCAGAGCCAGGAGGTGGGTCTTAGCACTCCTGTGGTACTGCTTATTCCTCCCCTTAACTGTTTTCCTGTAATGGTGAGTTGTTTCTCTGCCATTAGCAGGGAGTACTTGAGGATGATTTACAGCACTAAGACACTCCTGGCTCTGATTGGTTGTTGTTGCTGTCTGATGAAAGTAATAGCTCAGGGAAGAGGTGATAGAGATTGATTTTTTTCACAAATTATTTTATACTGTCACTGTTATGGTGAAAGTTAAATATGTTAAAATTATTTTTTAAATAAAAAGTTACAGTCTTTAAGTCTTCCAACAACGTAAGACTGAAGTGGTTATCTGAAGAAAGGAACGAATAAGTTAGAAATAACAAAACAATTGATCAGTAGGTCTGTGCTCATTCAGTCTATGACTCACTGGGACGCTCTTCATTTGGCCCCAATCATTTGTTCAGTTGTTAGAACTTAAGTCTAATAACTGTAAGGTATGACGTGAAACAAACATTTCAGAAAACTCACCTGCTGAACGCTAATTCTGGTACTGTGCCTCTTTACCACACTCATGACAAATGGATTGGAAGTGCTCACAGAAAAACATCTTAAGCACATCTCTTAGATTTTGTTTGAGAAATAGAAGCCAAGGCTGGTTTCTGACGCAGCAGCTGTAGCCAAACTCCTCAGACTAGGCAGAGTGGGCTCCACATGGCGTTCAGGTGCTGGAAGTCCAAATGTGCATCTGTTTTGCTATCTGTAGCATGAAAACAATATCAGGCCTCTGGACTGGTTCTGGGTTGATGCACATGCTGACCAGGTCACAGCTGGGGATGAGGTGGGATTTATTATCTTTTTTTGTCAGTAACAGAACTGTTGTTTTACACCCGAAAAAAAACTGTTTCATTTCAAAGGACATTTACAACAATTGTATTATAATAATGTTATAAACCTATTTGTCCAGTTGTATTTTTCATTGAAATGAGTTAAAAACAGCCAAATATGTAAAAACAGCACTAAGCAAAAACATTTCTTTGATCTGGGCAGGATCTGCAACTTGAAGTGGCAAGAATCAGCTAATCCAGTTTTTCAAAAGTACCCAGGATTCTGTTTTAAAGCTTCCCACTGAAATTTAAACTATCAGATAAATCCCAACAAAGTAATATTATCAGCCAAATTCCCTATCACCTTCCCGTTTGACACTTCAGCTCCATGAACCAAGTGCAGTTCACTCTTCGACCACAAAATGGCACGAAGATTCATCTGGTGCTACTGGACCTAGCTGAATCATCTAATACTTTAAATTTAAGAATTAGGCTACTTTAAATTTCTCTTTAACAATCTTCTTCATCTGAACTGTTTTCTTTCAAAGTTCTTTTACTAACCTGTGTCCCAACCAAACTTTCATTTTCTCGCTCTAATCTGCCTCTTTCTCTCTCTCTCTCTCTTCCACTAACAACTTGACTCTAATTAGTCAAATCCATATCAACATCGTTATCCTCTACCGAAGCCGCCCTTCCAGTCCAGTCACAAACCAGTTTATGCCTGCCACCTTTTTTGTCCGACCCTCTTTTCTGTGATGAAAATCCATCTTTCGACAAGTTTGCTCGTGGAGATATCGTTCCGCACTGGATTTCGAGCTCCGACATTCTATTCCCTTTTGTTTAAGGTTTTCTTTTATGTCATAGACTGATTTGACAATGAAGATAGCCTATTTGATGTTTTCGTTACTAAACGAGATAATGTGTACACCAGCAGCAGCCAACTCCGCCAACCGGGCCCTTTGGCGCCGATTGGTGGAGAACTGAGTGAACTGACAGGAGTAATGAACACAAAGACCTAGAATTATTATTATTAATATTATTATTATTATTGCAATAACCTAGCTAACAGGAGGCAATTCAGTCAGATAGTTTGTATTTCTAATTGTAATTGTAAGTAATACCAACATTCTTGAATGTGCTCTGAAAGTTCAACCAAATCTCTACAAAGTATAAATGATATATTTTCTATTTATCCGTGCATCAAACAAGTTTTTCCCTCTTCATTTTAAGAAAATCCATCAAACTTAAAACATACAAACAAATTCAGTTGCAGCAACTTTATGATTGTTGAAAACAAAACTATAAGAAACACAGATCGAAAGACATATTTTTGTAATGAGCAATTGTGTCACTAAAAAAAAGCGCATTAATACCAGTAGTAAAAACAGAACTGAGATCAAGAAGAACAATAACAAATATTTTATAATTATCAAAACTAAGTGTAAGAGAATTTGTACTGTGTATTTTTTTCTAAAACTTGACAGCTTACTAGCAAATAAAACATAATTGACACAGTTGTAGGTAGTATCTGAAAAGAAAAGTACATCCGATATGGTCATAATGTGTCAAATTTAGAGAATGAGGATCCTTCTATAGTTTAATATTGGAGGAAAAATGATTCCAATATGGATCCTTGTATTACCAATTGAATCTCACATGGTAGTATTATTTTAATAAATGGATGCTTTATTTTTATAAAGTGACATTAACATCGCAACATTCAAAATTTACTATGAACAGTTAGATTGCCAGTATAATTATAAAAAGTATAACTAAAATTAATAATGAATAACATACCTGGCTTATTTGTATTAAAATCTCACAATAGCAGAATATAAATGCAAGGCAATTTTTCAGAAGATTACAGATTTTCTTTATTTTGTCTGCAAAGTGTCTAATTTTTATACAATCCCAGCTGGAACTGCTGACAAGCAACGGTAAACACAGGAGACTGAATTAATCAAACTGGCCGCTGGAAGAAACCACGTCACTCACGTTATGTAGTATGGAACCTGTAGTTTATCAAGCATTTTAATGTGTCTGAGATCTTTACAAGAGAACTACAAACCCCAGCGTCAGCTACGAGATGGAGCGTGACATACCCGTGGGCGAGCACTATGGCGTTGTACAGCCGTGTTTGACAGATAGGCTAGGATCTCAAAAACATCCCCGGACCAACGCGTTTGCGCCCACTAACCTTCTGCCAGCAACGGCGGGACGACAACTAAAGATGAGCTCGAGAATTAAGTAAGAATACTTTGCCGCAGTTTTTCTGGAGGTTGTGAACAGGCTGCTGTTGTTAGCTTTGTTCTCACAGTCCCTAAGAACGAAAGAATGTGGAAGGCCTTGACTTGTTGCGACACTGGTTGAAGTACCCTCACTTATCCGACCAGAGAATAACATTGCATTATTAAGGCTTTTAGACTGTGAGATCAACCATCATCCATAGAAGCTGCTAGTTAGTTGGTGCTTTTGTTAAACAGAAAAACAAATAAGTGGCGCCGAACGTCATTATGAAAGATGCAGTTGTTATGGTAACTGTGGGACATTATTACTAAACATTGTGTGAGGTTTCAGGCCTGACGTGCAGAAAAAAAGTTAATGATAAAATGTGGAATATGACTTGTCAAGCATGCTTTTCTATGGGTTTAAATTGTGTTAATTATATGTGATTCTTATCGTCTGCTCAGTCAGGTTCTTTAGTTTTTTTCTCTTTTGAGTTATTTACCAAAATTGACTATTTAGAGAAAATAACTAAAGTTTTGATGAGTAAAATGCAAGCGTGAACAGAAATATTACCAACAGCTAGTTTGCATTCCTTTGAATAAGTCAAGCCACCTACCCTCACTAGCTATTCGGTACAGCTGTTCAGTTTTCTAAAATATGAGTCAGTCACATGGCAGCAACTCGGTGCACTGGGAGATTTAAACATAGTGAAGATAAAGCAAACATGAGTAATGTATTGCAATGTCATTGTAAGGTTCAGTATATAACTATTTTCTTCTTTTATCTTTTTTCATTATTCTTTACACCCATTTAATTATTCTTACACCCATTCAGGGTGCATAAATGTTCACTCCCATAAAGCTCCTCCCTCGAGCTGCAGTCCCCAGTTCAGCACCCCTTCCCCGATTCTCTACATTACAACACAGCTCCTTCAGGCTAGCAACCACATCAATTAACAAACACCTAGAATCGCACATCTGTTAAGTTTATCAGGTGAACTACTTCTCAGTGTAACACCCTTAAGAATGATTGTAAATGGCATAATGTAGTAACACTGTTGTGATGACGTGCTGAAGGCGAAGTGTCAGAAAGAACTGTGCTAAGAAGAAGCAATTTAGAGGAAATGATTTACATCAATTTCTTTATATATATAATTTAAAAAAAATATGTGTCAATGTATTTATTATATTGGGCAGAATTTCTCTTTATCTCTTGTTTGTTTACCAATCTCTTATTTGTTGTTTACTTACTCCTTTTTGATTTTTCTTCTTTATCTGTCTCATTTCGTTACAAGTTTATTCTGCGTAGAGACATGTAAAATTTATTTTTTTGTTTTGACTTCATTTTAAATAAAGAATAAAAACAGGCAATAAACCAATGCAATGACATCAGAATGCCTGTTTAAAGTCATACAGCAAGTTCTCTGACAAGTTGTTATAGGGGAAACAGTTTGGCTGTTTCTGACCAACCTGTGTAATAATAATTTAATCAATTTGGTAAATACAATGCACATTAATTAACATTTTTATAAATGCCAGAATTAGCCAAAAGCGTATTTTTCACCTATTGCCCCTGGACAATGTGTAATGTTTTGATAAAAACAGACAAAGGTTACATAAACAAGATTTAAATGACTTTTCTGCACAGATTTTGTCAATAAATACAATCAATATAAACTATTCCTGCTCTGATCAGGTTTATTCCTGCTGATACCGATCAGCCATTAGGGCCAATCACTGTCAATCACCAATACAGATCACATGGATTGGCGGTTAATTTTTCTCTTTAGGCATAAATGCTACTACACAATCTGGCAAAATGGAACCATAAAATCAATTTAGACAAAAAATCCATAATACTTCCAGGCACAGTTAAGCAAATATTCAGTCAAAAAGACAACTGAAAAACTTGCAATTAGTAATACAATATTTAACACTAAGGCTCAACAGCCTAAATTGTACATAAAGTCAAATTAATTTCACAACACTGTTTATATCACGTAGTGTCAAATGAAAAAGTAAACTTCATTCACAGTCAAACATTAAAATAAACAATCCTAAGTTACTAAATCAAAACTACCTGAGAGCATGGCTAATTGCTTTGTGGTGGCTTTGATTGGTTGTTTCTGACTGAGCAGAACAATTCTGCCAATCACCTAAAAGCTTTTAGGACTTCAAAAACTTGTATTTATTTTTTCAAAGTATGTCCTGCAGCTATAAGGAGATGTTTGATGTGAGAAAACACTGTTTAATACCAAATGCCACCAATCTGTGAAATATTATGTCTCAGTAGCGCATAGCAGCGGTCCAACAGCGAGAGCAAAACTCAGCTAGGTAAAAAATGAATATACTAAGCATGTTAAATTTTAGCATACTTGAACACACTTGAAGCCAGACTGATTGTCAGTATTCTTGAAGTGTGTTATTTTGGAACAACAGATTTTGTACTTAATGTATTTTAAGTAATTAAATTGTAGAAAATCACAATTTAAAGTGTACTGGGTGTATACTATGATGTGCTTTTTTTTTTGGAACAACTAAAGTTATACTTTGTATTACATTTTATGTAATATAAATGTGTTTGATTAGTATATCTTAAGTGTACTTACTATTTTTGTGATGGAATTACATTTAAAATATATTTAGAATGTATTTTAAGTATAAAAGGATCACATGTTTTATATTTCAGTAGTGTGATCAGAGTATTGTCCAATTACACTTTTATTTCATTATAGTTACTAACGAAGCACACTTTTCAGTTACTTAACAATGTCTTATTATTTTTCTTTGCCATAGTACATTACATGCTTCATACACACTACAGTACTGCAAAAATTATCAGGCTACCAGTACAAAGAAGGATCAATTACAAAACATTTCTTGCGTAAAAAACTTACAATGTGTATTTAAAATATTCACATTTTTCAAGAGTGCATTGCCAATTGTACAAATTGTACAAATTGTCAGTATATTAAAAGTTTACGGACAATATGCACAATAATTAGTACAACAATTAGCACAATGAAACAACAGGTACACTTTAGAGGAAATGTTAAAAATATTTCACCAAGGACAGAGTATTGTTTTAACAAAATGTCACAGAATTCCAGTATTATTCCAGACAAACTGACATTTGTCCATCTTAAGAATAGTGAGGATCAATGACAGAACATTCCCATTCACTGCACCACCACGCATATATATATATATATATATATATATATATATATATATATATATATATATATATATATATATATATATATATATATATATATATACACACACACACACACACACCTTGGCTTTAAGCTTGTTAGCTGTTTGCAAGATTCAATAATAATATATAATAATATAATTTTTCACTTTTTGTTCCAGGGAAAGTCCAGAGTCGACCTTTGAAGTGTATTTGGAGGTAGCTAAGCCAGGGCAGCATATCTCTGGTAAGTTCGTGGACTCTAATCTAGCCGTTGTATCATCAGACATCCATGAAAATCTTTGTTTACGGCCCTGTCAGGTAAACAAATTTACACTATTAAGGTCAGAATATTTGGTGAAGAAAGGGGTGCATTTTAACCCGCATGTCCTCATTAATCTCAGTCTTGCAAAGATGTAAGGCTGAATGAACAACCTTTCACTTTTCAACAACGTTGATAAATCTAGACCAGGGGTGGGAAATCCTGGTTCTCAAACTCTGTCCTGCAAATCTTAGATGACTCCCTGGTTCAACACACTTGAATCCAACACCTGAATCACCTCCTAAGAACAGTCAAATTCCCCAGCGTCCTGCCAATTACCTTATTATTTTACTCAGGTTGTTGAAGATCCATCTAAAAGTTGCAGGAGACTGGCCTTCGAGGCCTGGAGTTGCCCATCCCTGGTCGAGACAGTTGATCGTTGTCCTATTTTTGTGTTTAAAGCTGCAGTATATAAACATGTACATATTTTTACATATTTGTTGAAACTTTCACCATGTCATGACAGTATGGTATGAGCTATATAATATATGAAAAAATGGACCTGCTCTGCTTTCTCCCAGTTCTAACTAGAAACAACCAATCAGAGCAAGGAGGAGGGTCGTAATGTCTGCTCGTTTTCCTTCCCATCTCCCCCTTGCGCTCTGCTCCGCTACAGCTTCTGTCTAATAGCAGAGTCTGCCAGGAATGCTCAGTCTAGTTAGCATGGCTCAGGCTGTTTAGCATGGCCACTGATGTCAGCAGATAGAGTTTTTCTGGAATAGTGACTGTTTTAACTAAATGAATAAAAATTACGCAATGCAGCTTTAATGAGACTCAGACCAACTGACATTTGGACCTGGGCCTGATCACACTACTCAGGCCCAGGTTGTAGTCATCATCTTTTTCTTATGATTATAGAACTGGTCCTAAACAGATTTTTTGCTTTGTTTTAAGCATAAGACAAAGATGTCCAGATCCCAAGTTGTTTGTTGTTGCTAGCTATTTGGGATTGTTTTACTGCAATCTTCCAGAGGAATTAGGCACCCATCATCTGGTTACTGCACTTCAAAGAGGACGCAGTAACTGCTGCCTAATGAAGAACCATTCCAAGAGTAAATAACTGGAAACAGAAGAAACTAATTTAATAGTTATGAAAATGTCACTCTTCCTCTTCTGTGTGTGACTGATTTCCTGAATTCTGAGGAGAACTTGTCAGCTATATTTCTAAGAAGTCCTTCCTGTTGCTTATTTTCTGTGTACTGCCTCATCAGCTCTTGTCCACACTGTTTTTATATGTTGAATCTTGCAAACAGCTTAATTTTTATTTTATTATTTTTTTTATTTATTTATTTAGATGTTTTTGAATTTGGCACAATGTTGTGGAATTTCACATCAAATGATTGAACTTTAATTTGTTGACTTCTTTCTGTCCACTTTAAACAGGACCGGAGGTGCAAAGGCAGTTTCCCGCTGACTACCCTGATCAGGTTTAAACACAGTGTACCATGTTTCTTTCTTTAACGTTTATATTTTACGAAGAGTTAAAAATAATTGACACACTGCTGCTCTTTTGCATGGGATTTTGTTTTCAGTTGCTTTCAGTATATAAAATCCAATTCGGTTAATTTTATTTTTCTGTCTATATTTCTGTCTGTTGACCCTCTTTGCAACACCACTTGCAAAAATCTGTTCACTTATGTACAGTTTGTCAGATATATTGTGTATCAATTTCTTTTTGTTTCACAGGAAACTCTTCTTACTGTGCCAAAGTTCTGCTTCCCCTTCAGCATGGACAGGTATATACACTTAAATACGACATCATTGGGATTCAACAATCCAAACATGCATTTTGACTATTATTTCCAAAGCAAAATGTGTATATTGCTATCCCTCATAGAAATATTTATTCATAAAGTACTTTAGGAACAGCAAGCAACAACCAAAGAGTTGAATATAATAGGAAGTTGAATTTGGTTTGGCTGCTAAGTAGCAGAAGTGCACAACATGTCATCACAAGGCACTTTAGAAAAAAAGTGTATTTCAATATAATTTTATTTCAAATAACAATTGATCCTCTTTGTCAAGTTCAGTTAATTATTCAATTTAGTTGAGAAAAGTTTCAATTTATGGAAACCCAGCAGATTTAATTGAATTATTGACATGCTGCACTCAATTCTGCTGGACAAATATGTAGTGATCATAGAAAATTACTTGCATTGTGTCATTGACTTTACAACAATCCCTCATACCTAGTATGCATATAGTGATTGATAGTGGAGAGAAAAAACTCCTTTTTAACAGGAAGAAACCTCCAACAGAACCAGAACCAGGCTCGAAAGGACAAGCCATCTGCCAAGACCGTCTCAGAAGACAGAGCAAATACACAAAATAGAAGCAGAAAATAGATGGATGGACTGGTTTTTCAGCATCACTCCTGGAAAAAATATTTCTCATTATGGCAGTATTCCAGAGATGAAAGGAGAACATTTGTGAAACCTCTTTGTACAATTATAGTGACACAAAATAACACATATGTTCTTAATTTTATTATCGGAGTCCATTTTAATCCTACCCAGAACAAATGGTTGATTAAGTTTATTTTTTCAGATGTTCTAGTTTAAAGACAATAACGTATGTATTGTTATAATTTAAAAGAAGAAAGTTTCCAGGTTTAATGTCCTCAAGACCTACCTGTAATCTACCTTGTAATCAAGATTTATGGCTAGATAATGCTGTGTTTCTTCACCATAACAATGAAAATGTACCCTATTCTGTCTGATGATTTTTCCAGTTGGAAACATATAGTAAAACAAATTGATTAAGCACAGAACACAGAGCCCTGTGACACTCCACAAGTAACCCTGGAGTGTGAAGATTTATTGTTTATATGAACAAAGTGTATTTCAATATAACTTAAATTTAAGTTAAATTTAAGTTATATTATATGGAATTTAACTTAAATTCCATCTGTTGGAATTTAAGTTAAATATGACTTAGATTATTTATGTGACAAGAAACTTGGTTAAAAATATCTAATCAAAAAATTAAATGAATATATTGTACTGTGAGAGCCAGTTTTGTGTTTAGAGCAGATGTACATATAACATATGAACATGTTAAAAATACTTTTTATATTTATTAAAATACGCTTTTTTATTAACAAAATTTAAAACATAGCTTTAAATTTGCTATATCTTTAATTTTGTTGTGCTTTCTTGCAGTGACATTAAAAGAAATGTTCATTTTGATTCTGAAAAGTACAGTTGTTGGAGAAAGCAAAGCCTAAATCTACTCTCCTCTTAAGTTATGATGGAGTCGTATTAGAACATCATGTTTTCTTCAGTTGTTGACATTTTTTATTGCAAGTGCTCTCTGTTGGACCAGCATGAGAATGTTTGTGTACACCAGGACAGCATCCTGCTAGCCAATAAAACACATAAAAAAAGGAAAGGGGAAAGAAAAAATGAAAAGGACTTAACAGCGCCAAATTCACACCACAGAAAACAAAATTAAAGAAATCTAATGAATTAATGAAAATGAAAAAGAAGTGATCATTCATGCATCTCCCTAAGGGAGATTTCTTTTTTATTATTATTTACTTTTTAAATAATTTTGAAAATAAAGTCCTTTCGATTTTGCCACTCGCACTCATGTCAAGGTTTTCACTCATTCTCCAGTTTTTTGCAACACTGTTTCCAACACTGTTTTCTTCTCCATCTATATTCTCTGGATCTGTCAGCCACAACCACAGGATTCTCTTTGCGAATCCCAAAAGGCTCAAAATACAATACATACTATTCCTTTATATTTACCTATGAGTTGGTCTGAACCTGTTTGTCTCTCTCCTCCAAGTCTGAGGTACCTTGCAGTTTGATCTTTCAGATATCTGAATTCAGTCTGGATTTTCTAACTCTTCATTTCATGTAATATCTGAAAGCTTTCATGTCTGCCCCCTGCAGCCTAACAATCAACCAGGTTGGCCAGAACTTCACATTTGTGTTGACTGACATTGAGAGTAAACAGAGATTTGGTTTTTGTCGCCTGTCTTCGGGAGCTCACACCTGCTATTGCATTCTCAGGTGGGTCTGAGTGTTTCAGGATCTGAAGCACATATTGTTTGGACAATCCTGTGAAAACAATTTAAACATGGCCCTTGAAATAATAAAGACATTGTGTTGTTCATTAAAAAAGGTACTGTACTTATTGTGAGGAAACCTATAAGTTTTGCAAGGTAACACAAAAGAAAAAATGTGCCCATGCCCCTATAATGCTTTGTAATATGATAATAGGATGTGGAGAAAAACAAAATAACCGTGAAGCCTCAAAATAAAAAAAAAATTGTACTTTCTATTCTCTCTGAGTTGAATGAAAAGTAAATTGTTTTAGAAGAGCAATATCAGAATTTTTATTACTCAATGTTAAAAATACTTTATGACATGTGCTAAGTCCTAATTTTGGCTATGCTAATCAACCTATAATCTGTGCAAGCTTTCAAATAAGCTTTCATTATTTTTGAAGTCCTTTAAAAAATAGTGATGAATCCATAAATTTACAACCAATAATTAATTTAGAATTAATAACTAAATTCTACTTACTAAATGTATATCAAAAATGTATCTTCTCTCAGCTACCTGCCGTGGTTTGAAGTTTTCTACAAGCTGCTGAATATCCTTGCTGACTGCACTGTCAAAGGCCAGGTGACTCATTCCACTTTCGCATGTTAGATTTGGTTCTTGTTTGTCTCCAAATTGTCATTGGGTAATCATAATTACCCAATGATAATTAGGTAATTATACCCAATTATACATACTCTGTTTACAAACAGAGTATGTAACATTAAGTTTACATAGATCTCCCTGATACTAACTGATTTTCACATGTAATGATGGTATATGTTAACATATATTTATGTATCTGTCTAGTGTCTTCATAGTAGCTGTGGGCTTATTTTTTCTGCAGTTAATGTCCACACTCTGCAGCTTGTCTTTTGAAATTAGTCATTACTCCAGTGGAATTTTTTTTATTGCAGCTGTATGGGTTGATGTTGGTGTAATATTACAGGAAAGCCAATGGCAAGAGCTCCTGGTGTCACTACATACACTCCCCATACCTGAGCCTGGAGTCCCCGTTCACCTTGGTGTGGTAAGCTCCAATTCTTCAGAATACTTGCATTTGAAATCAGTTGAAAAGTTATGGCAGTTGCACATTTGCATTTCTGTTCACAAATTCATAGCACCTATGATATTTTACTGTCACAGAAGTGTTTTGTGTGTATAAAATGTAGTCCCAAGTTATTCAGAATTCAATTATATATTTTATTTTAACTAGTATGTTTCCTTGGTCTGGAAGTAACTAATGATTTTGAGTGGCACATTCAGGGTCTTGGCTTCGTAGATAATGTGGTGAACTAAAGATTAAGGGAGATTCTTGCCTCATTTTCAAACATCTTGGTAAAAATCATTTTAAATTTAAATTTGGTGCATGGAATATTTTAGAGCTTATCAGTATCCTGAGTAATCATTTAAGCAAATGCAAGTCTATACTTCTCTCACTGTCTCTTTTTTGGCCAGCATTCCTTTTTCACTGTGCCTGACATAAGGGAACTCCCAAGCATACCTGAGAACGTGAGTGAAAAATTCTCTACTCTGAGAGTCAATAGCCTCAATATTCATAATGTCTTTACACAGTTTGAACATTAGCCTCCTGACTAGCTTAGAAGGCACAATGAGTTTCTACGTTATAGGACATTAGGTGATGACAGTTTAAAAATAGATTTGAGTTGATATTAATATAGAGTGGGATGCTGGACTAGTTAACACTGTCCCTCTGCAGCAAGGAGGTCTGGTTTGAATCCTGGTCAGGGGTCTTTCTACATGGATTGAACAATCCACCTAGACAGGTGAACACCCTGCATCTTGCTTAATGACCAGTGGAGATTAGTCCCACCTATCATTTGGATGGATAATGGATATTATGATATCGAGATGATAATGTAATAGATACATACACTTTAGTACATTAGGATGAAATTCCTGCCATTTTTTTTTAAATCTAAGCTGGTCTCTTTAAACCAACTATGTCCTGTTGGTTTGGTAATTCAGACAGCTGAGGGTACTGACTGCTCAGAGTAGTACATCAGCAACCATACATGTATAAATATTGCAGTTAGACCTCTTATAGTGTTCTTTGCTCTTTTGTGAAGTTTAAAATTCATCAAAACCTATAAAATTTATGTCAAATTATTTGTGTCATATGGAGATTTTGCCACAACTAACTGTCCTGACTATGTATATTTTCTTGTTTTTCCTCTACAGAGAAACCTAACAGAGTATTTTGTAGCAGTAGATGTCAGTAACATGCTTCATTTGTATGCTAGTATGCTTTATGAACGTCGAATCCTCATCTGCTGTAGCAAACTGAGCACTGTAAGTAGTACTTCTTGTGTCCTCTTTTTTTGTCCTGCTCATCGTCTCAGAAGTTAATATGAATGGAAAAACCTATTGGAATGGGAATCGGTGACATCTAGTGGCAAGATTTCAGATAGTAATACAATGGATGAAAGTAGTTGTTTTCAAAATTCTTGGTTGTTTTTATAGCCCATATGAAGCTGACGAACATACATTGTATTTTTAAATCATGCATAAATTGCTGTTGGAAGGAGGGATGAAAAATGAATTGTCACATGTGTTTTTGATCTTTGTCTCCAGTTGACAGCTTGTGTACATGGATCTGCGGCCATGTTGTATCCTATGTACTGGCAACATGTTTACATTCCTGTGCTTCCTCAACATCTGTTAGACTACTGCTGGTGAGTTTGAAACTTTAAAATTTGTAAGGAAACAGCCTTAAATTTTACCAAGGACAATGTGTATTAGTGAAACTGTGACGCTGTAGTTTAATGTAAGGAAATTTTCAGAAATTCTGGAGTGGGAAGCACAGGTGCCTTTTGTACAAAGGCTTTTGGTTCTCAATAAACCCATCCAGGGTTTGATTCTCAGCCTGGTGACCTTTACTGCATGTCTTCTCCCTTCTCTTTGTGCCAATTCTCTGTCTTCATACTAGTAAAGGCCACTAGTACAAAAAAAACATTTGAAAATAAATAACTAAATGCATACTTGTAGCCTTAAATTTGAAAGTATTATGATAAATCCAGGTCTGGTTCAAAGATTCAGTTCTGTTTGCTGTCACACAGAACTAAAAAGTGACAAAACTGCTAGATGTGAAAAATATGCTGGGTGCTTTGGTGGTGCCCAGGTGAAGTAAAATCCCTGTATGGAGGCCTTAGTCCTTGATATGGTCCACAAAGTTACAAGTCCCAGCCTGATGACCTTTGATTCATGTTTTTCCACTCTCTCATTACCCATTTTCCTGTCTTACCACTTAAATAAAGGCCACTAGAGCAAATAAAACCTTTAAAACAAAAAATATATGTAGTCTGTTCTTTTTCATAGCATTGGTATGACAAAGGAGGCTTTACTATGTGGAAGGCCTCTTGTATTTTAGTACTCAGAAGGATGTCAGGATGCCTCCAAAACTTAATTTTGTAAATAGGACTGACATAACATCAGTCATCATTCAACCCACTCCCTCTTCCCCTCGCTTTGATGGCTGGTATAATAACAGTCAAGCTTTGGTCAAGTCATTCCCTATAACAAAACACGTAAATACTGGAAACAGATGTAAAAAATTTAGTTTAGACTGTAATTGTTGCAGTCTTCTGCATTTGTTGAAGACATAATGAGTGTATTGAAGTGCTGTTTGTGTTGTAACAGTGTTGACTCCAAAAAACCTGACTCTTAATTGAGAAATCTCCAGCACATAGGAATCATTTTCGAGAGTGGAAGGGTACAAAGGGTATGCAAGGGTATACAATCATATTAAAGTATTTAGAATATACACCCCAGTGAGTCCCGTTTGTCAGATTAAAAGTACCTTTTGAAAAATCAAACAACGTAAGGTATTAAACATAATTTTTATGAAGCTCACATTTCTATTTTCAGATGTAAACAGAATATTCTAATTTAGAATGTTATATTTTCCTTGCCTCTAAGTAAAAAATGTAAGACATAAAGCCTTACAAACATGCGTCTGTATGTAATGAATGTACATAATGTGTTTTGTTTAGTGACATAGTTCCTAAAATGACTTTATCACTTCATAATATTCTAATTTGTTGAAAGTATCTATAGAGCTACTAAACTGCATGGGAATTGATAGGGTTTATTTAATGGCAGTCTCAGGTGTTGTCATACCTTAGTTAAACTGTTTTTTTCTGTTTTTTCCCTCAGTGCCCCAATGCCTTTCCTCATAGGAGTACATTCCAGCCTGATGGAGGTAGTGGTCTATGACTTTATTGCCTACTTGGAACAGGATCATGAAAAGCAATCTGAGTCTTTGCATTATTTAGCTCGGCTTGTGTTAGCTTTGAGATTATTTAAATTGTTTCATAAATAAAATATATCATGTCACTGTGCCATTTGCTTCTGTTGTTTTTGTAGAAAGTTCAAGGGATGGCTCTGGATGATGTGGTCCTCCTGAATGTAGACACTAACACCCTAGAAACACCCTATGATGACCTTCAAAGCCTTCCTAATGATGTGGTGAGAAACTCCTGGGCACCTACAAATGGCTGTTTAGAGATCAGGAAGGCAAAACTAAAAAATCACAGTTGTTAGATAAAATGCTCATTATTCTGTGGAAAGCCATCATAAAGTTTGTATTACTGAGTGTAACTTTATTATATGTAGGTTTCATCCTTAAAAAGCCGTCTGAAGAAAGTTTCAGCTACAACGGGAGATGGTGTGGCTCGAGCCTTTCTCAAGAGTCAGGCATCTCTTTTTGGAAGCTACAGGAATGCTCTGCAGTTCGAAGCGGTCAGTCTGGAATGGATTTGATTTAATAGAAAAGTCTGGGTTTCCAGATAAAACTTTTTTTTTTTTCATCTTTGGGCACTCTTTATAAGATTCAGTTTTGTACTAAGAACCAGTTTCATTCCTCAAATTATTACATAAACCAGAAGCCTTCAGAATCACATATTTTGGGTAGTTGGAGTTGCTATTTTTTCTGTATCTAGATATCAAGATTTTCATGTTATTATAGTTCAACAATTTCACGCCTAATTGTTACAGAGACAAACAATTAGGCATGACACAAACAAGCGATGTGACCCACATTGTATGTTCTGACGTTTTTAGGGGGAACCAATCACATTCAACGAGGAGACTTTTATCAACCATCGCTCCAGTGCCATGAGACAGTTCCTTCAGAATGCCATTCAACTTCAGCTCTTTAAACAGGTATACGTACAGCATCCACTGCTGCTCCTGTCAAATCTCACCTTTAACATCAATTGTGTTCAATGGGTTTAGAATGAGTTCATGCAAAATTTGGATCTTCTTTTTCCAAACTTTGTTCTTCTAATGTAGTTCATTGATGGTCGCTTGGACCTGTTAAATGCAGGAGAGGGTTTCAATGACATTTTTGAAGACGAGATCAACATGGGGGAGTATGCTGGTGAGCCACCTATATGTTCTACAAAGCTGTTTAAAGAGTAAAACAGACATTTAAAACAGTGTAAATTACTTTATTTTAAACTTGATTTTGCACAATGTTCCCCCTACCATAATGTAAGTTATGTAAGATTGCTTTTCAAGTCAGTTCAAGTTAATTCAGTTTAGTAATGTAAGATCAATATACAGTACAAGAAATGTCACCTCAAGGCACATCAACAAAAAAATTATACAGAAATACATTATTAAATCCAGCCAAAAAAAAATTGCTTAAAATTGAATTACATATGTTCGAATTAACTACAATTCGAACATATGTATGGCAGGGGGGTGTTTGAACCATGTCTCTGAGTGGGACAGCTGTCCTCTGATCTGATGGGATTAGAGGATGCGTAATCATTGTTAAAAACTAGAGGAATAACTTCACTTGGCTTGCTAATTTTCCTCTAGTTCCCCAGATTCAGGTCTCCGCAGATGCAGTGGAACCAATAAAGAAATACCCAGACTTCAGATATATCTAGAGCTTTATCCAGAGAATTCAATGCATAAAAAATTTTTACATTAGCATTACACCCAGCTCATCAAGAAGTCCAACACATGACAAAAATAGTGACCTGCAACGAGTTGAAAAGGAAAACACAATAGGAGAAACACAAAAATGCATTTTTGGGAATTGCTCACCAGAGCACAAAGCAATTCGATCTTCCGCTGTAAAACAGACCTTTTTGTAAGGATGTGTATTCCCTTAATTTAAATATATGCATTAGAAGGTGTGTCCTCCCTTGCAGGGCTGTTTAATGTTATATTTTATTACCCTGCTTGAGACCTGCTACAAAACCCTGAAGCAAATATATGGAGACTCCACCAGAGTCATCTTGTATCAGCCTCCTCCTTTCCACATTCCAGACGAAATTTATGACCTCGTGGTTCTTCTGTGTCAGTGATTCTACAAGAAACTGATTTCTATTTTAAACAAACTGGCACAAAAATCTATTGCCAAATAATAACTATGAGTTTGGATCTAAAAACTGCAGGGTTGTCTTCTTTCAAAATACCTGAAATATTTTGGAAGTAAAATAATTTCCTAAACCTATTGTATTTTCAGTAATATAAAATGCATGCAAATAATATGGTTAGAGACTACTTATTTAGAATGTACTGTTTAAGGGAATTATCGTAATACATTTGATTATCCAGAGAAGACGTTTCTTACAAGTTTTAGTGTTTACTGAACTCTTAAACCAATACTAAAGATTTGACTGATTCTGATAAAAGACAGACTTTTCTATGGCTGGATACTCCCCTCTCTGAAGGGCCTCCTTAGTAATTTATGTGAGTTCAGAGAGTCAACCGTTGTTTTAGTTGTGGATCTTTATCTAAGTTTACTTAACTTAGAATCTACTCAAAATGTTAATGCTAGATCTAATATTCCATTTGTACAAAGATGTAAAGTAATGCTAACCAAACTTATATTCTCCACATCATGCAGACTCCTACATGGTGTTTGTGCCGTTGGAGTTAGTGCCGTTGGGCCAGGCCCTTAACCTGGTCCTGAGAGGACCAGGTTAAGGTCCTCTCAGGTCCAGGTTAAGGACCTCCTGGTCCTTAACCTGGACCTGAGAGGACCAGGAGGTTAAGGACCTCCTGGTCCTCTCAGGACCCTTAACCTGGTCCTGAGAGGACCAGGTTAAGGGCCTGGCCCTAGAAAGTTCAGCATAGTCAATAGCTTTGCTGAAATCCATCTTCCTGAGAAAGCATGGGGTGAAAGTAAATTGTTAATTACAGTTGTGAACAATTATCTGTCACACAGGGAGAGAGATGAGATACAGAAACATTGTTTCAGGGGTTCTTTCTATGTAAGAAAAAATAAACAAGGTAAAAGGCTTGGGGAAGCTCTTTCTGTGTTTTTTTTTTATATAGGAGAGGCACAGAACATAAGAAATACGTTTCTTATTTTTTGTATTGTTGGTCATGAGTTACACTGACATGAGTTTCATTGATTCCTTCCCACAGGCAGTGACAGTACCTACCACCAGTGGCTGCTTACTGTGAAGGTGAGCTGTTTTGTCATACATCCATTAGTTATATTGATGTGCTTTTCCATTTAATTCTAAATTACTTGGTGAAATCCCTTAGATAACTGGCTGCAGTTGACTGATATGAACATACACTTTAATTGTGTCTGCTGATTTTAATGTGCATCACACCACAACAATTCTTTGTATTTTATTCCATGCTAAGGGACATATTGGTTATGTTCTGCAGATGAAGCAGCCCAGAAACTTTTAATATTTTTTTATTTTTACAACTTCTCATTGACCCAAGCTCAGGTTGCAGTGCTTGATGAAAGAAGAATTCAATTGTGGACATTATAATTCTGCTGAATATAGATATGTAGAGTCACAGATGTTGGACTAAATGGAAGTTACAACTGTAATTATGGTTCTATGAATCCTGGATGACAGCCACAGGAGGTGCTTTTAGCACTGATTTTTTTTTAAATTCTTTATTCATAAGTTGAGTATTTTATGCCAACAAAGTCACCTGTGATACCAGTAAATCGGTATAATCATGTGCCTCCAGATATAGTCCCTTAATCTTCTCATGAAAACACAATGTTGACTGCCAGTCATCCAGATCATCCAGGATTCATATAATGATAGTTACTGTCATAGCTGTAGTTCTATTTCATCCCAACTGACAGTGCTTTAGGCATCTCTGTTGAATGATGAATACCAACAGAATCATGGGGAATCGCAATAGAAAAGATAATCAGTCAATCAATCAGTCAACCAATCAGTCAAGCACTCAATCAATCAGTTTTATTTTATTATTTTACACTGACACTGTTAGAGTTGCTGATGTTTTTAGCATGTTTTAGAGAGGCCCATAAGTCAAATTCCCCTAAAGGCATCATACAGCCTTGGACCAATCCTACATGACGAGCTAGACCTGCTGCACTGCGCACAGAGATGTAAAATATACGGGTCATTTGATTTAATGCTGATAATGTGGCTTTAGTAGCTCTTCCATTTTATGTCTATTGAGTTTTAAGCACCAGAGAGTCTGCTTTGGTTGCTCAAGTTTATGGGATGAGTTTCTCTCATTAACTCTGGCTGACTCATTGGACAAAGTATTTGAACATAAGACTAAATAATACTAAAACTAATAATAAAATAATATAAAACCAGCGTGATGCGTGCCTACGAGGCAGGCGCGAAAGCTCTTCTCCGGGCTGAACCTGCAAAATGAGTGGTTAACGCTGGTTCATTAACCAGTAACGCTCCGGCCAACCGGAAACACGTGTGAACTTTACAGGGAAGACGGACACAGGAAAGCATGGTGGCTGCTAGGCTTACAATACACTGAGGGAAACCCTGAACACCATTGAAAACAGTGGCCACATTCACTGTGTAGAATATCACAAAGGTATCAGAAGAGATTCCAAGAAGCAGTAACACAGATAGCTTCCAAAGAGATTGCATTGAATGCTGCCTCAGCCTGTAGGCCTGAAGTTCTTGGAGGAAGCTCAGAACCAAAATCTGGAAATGCACAAAGTCCTCATTTCTGGTTTTTGCACCAGCTGTTGAAAACCTGGCATTGCACATAGTATGACCTACATGTCCTGCATATTCTGTTGTAAACTGGATTTTAGGACATGCTTTGGTTCGTAGAGCAGCTTCTTTTGACTTTACTAACTTCTTCCTTCTTTCTGTGATCTCTGACGGAGTTGGGATATTTGTTGGTTTCCAGGCATATGTATGGCTGCAGTTTTTATTCACTACATTAGATTGACAGATTATTTATCAATTAATTAATCACATAAAGGCTGGAGGCATTTAAAGATTTTACATCCTTGCTCATGCAGAAATGTTTCACTTGTGAGACTTTGTGTATTAAAGGTGTGACTTCTACCTCTAACTCTTTAATGTTTTGAAACAGAAAGGGGGTGGAGCTATCTTCCAAACAGTGAAGACCAAGGCAAATCCAGCCATGAAGACTGTGTACAAGTTTGTAAGTACTTTTCCTAGTTCAAAACTATCCATTTAATGTATTATATTTCTGTAATTTGGAAATAGTTTGAAAAAACACATTCTGTAGAATATAGTTAATTCTTCTGCAGTTAACATTATGATGACAAGTCACAAAATAGTTGCTCTTTCTTTCCCCTCCTCCTGAGACTCAACTTTCATGTTGCTTTTAAACTGCAAGGGCAGTGAAGATCCAATTGTGTTTGTTTAACAGGCAAAGGACCATGCTAAAATGCGCATCAAAGAAGTCAAAAGCCGGTTGAAACAGAAGGTAAGTAACTCTGCAGGTATTTACCCTAAGCGTTCTAAAAATTGTATGATCCAATCTCAATAGCCAGATTAGGATCTTTATTAAGACCAAAATGTTTCAGTCAGGTAAATAATGTTTCTCATGTATTTACTGTAATATACCCAAGTCTATTACGGAGTAGGTTACCCTATGCTTTTAATTCATTTTTCACTTTTACTTCTCCAGTGTTGTACCATAAATATTATGATGGAGGGATAATATATTTTATCTATTTTGAGGAGCAGTTTGTAATTACATTGGGTTCATACAAAGTTTGCATGGCATTGTAATTTGTTTAACAAACAGGACAAAAAACATGCTACTCTAGTAAAAGAACAAAAATAAAATAAAACATGTCTTACTCAGGCTGCACAGTTAGTAGCACTGTTGCCTTTTTGGGGAAAAAAAACAAGTCTGTGGAACAGATCAGGCTTGAGACTCTGGCAAATAACAAATTTCTCTGTCGTTTGCAAACGGAGAACACTCAGCAACCACAGCACAACAGCTGTACCTAACATAAGTTCTGACTTGGAGCTGCAAGCTCTCACAATATATAGGACTCTCTATACAATGTGGTCATTCCCTGGCCCAGAGACAGTTGAACAGGTTTACTGCCCAGTCATGTAGCCACAGGATGGACAGGATGCAACCTCTTCTTTACTAAAAGGTCAGTTAATTATTTAGATCTTCTTGTTCAAAATATGTGAGTTTCCAAAAATTAGGATGCTAATGAAACAATTTTTCATACCAAAAACATTGTAAGACCTTGTACGTACTCTGAGCTTATAACATTCAATGGAGAAATTTATTAAACCTTAGGGCTTATTTAATCTTACTGTATTTACCTAAACTTTCTGTTGTTATCTTTTAACAAACTTTGGCACCTTATTTTAGTCACTGACAACCTACTGGAACTTTTCCAAGGAGAGGTCAAAAGGAAACCTATCTAACTGATTCTTCAGAGACTCCTTGACCTACATGTTCTAACAGACTGAACAATACTAATGTTAAATAACTAAAGAATTAAATAAAATTCTTAAAAGAAATAATTATACAATTTTTATTTCACACCTTGCAGCACAAAGGTCCTGGTTTGATTTCTGGCCCGGGGTCTTTCTGTATGGTGTTTGCATGTTCTTCCTGTGTGTGCATAGGTTCTCTCTGTTTACTCTGGCTTCTTCCCACAGTCCAAAAACATGACTGTCAGGTAAATTGGTCTCTCTAAATTCTCCCTAGGTGTGAGTGTGTGCATGTTTGTCCTGTCTATCTCTGTGTTTCCCTGCGACAGACTGATGTCCTGTCCGGGGTGACCCCGCCTCTTGCCAGAAATGTTTGCAGGAGATAGGCACCAGCAACCCTCCCGACCCTATACTCTCTCTACCCGAGGAGCATTTCAGTCCTCCTTCATGTGATTCCCATTTTCAGGAGCAGGGAGAGAACGGCTTCACCACCCCTAGGTCAGCAGCCAATGATGATAACAATACAGCAGAATTTGCTTTCTCCACTGCTGCTGTAATGAGGGAGGAACTCGAGCAAACCTGGGACGCCCAAAGGCCAGCCACCGTGCACTTTGGACAGGTGAGCTAAAGTGAATGTGGGCTGAATTGGAAGAAGGACAGAATAGTCCTGAAAAGTGCATAAGAAGCTTGATTATATGTAGTAAAATTGAACTCCCCAACAGTGTATTAATATATTCTGTAAATTGTATATTTTAGGGGAAAAAATTATAAGATAAAATCACTTTTAACGCCTTTTGAAGTACAAACCCATTCAATAAATTATATAGAAAAGCTTGTTTATTTTAGGAACTTTATCACTATAGAAGAATTCTGCACAGTTGGATGTTTGAAAGCCTTTTTGTTAATTATAATCAACTTTCATTTACAGTGAAAACATAACATTTAAGACTAGATCATTACATCACATAAACAGAAATAGTATTTTTAAAAACCAAAATGAGAGCTTAATGAAAAGTGTGCTGTAATTTTCAAAAGTTACTTTTAATTTGACAAACAAGATTCATCAGGACATGTATTCTAATTTACTGAATATTACTGTTTAGAAATGTAGGAGGAGGTATGCTTGAGATCATTGCAGATTTATGCAGATAAACTAATGTTGATGTTTTGTATATGAGCTGGGACCAACTGAGTTGATGAGTGTTGCCATTTTCCCTTGTCAGCTGTCCTGGGTCCTCATGGTCCTCATGCAGACCAGTGAAAGACCTGGTTTACAATCCTGTAATAAGATCTTTATCAAGACAATTTAGACCCACTTTACCCACCTTAGGCATTGTTTGGGATATTTTTTGAGAAACAAAATTGATTAAACTGTGTCAAATTGACATAATTTTTGGATGTCAGCCACAGTGATGACTCATCTTATTTGATCTAAAATAGAGGCAATTCAAATCCAAAAAATATTTGTTTTTGTTCTGCCAGTTGCTAAAATATTTTTCTGGCAGTTGTGCTAATCTGAACAAGTGCATTTTAATTACATGAATAACATTGACTATGAAGCATTGAATATGAACTCATTGCTTCATTGTGAACCTTTTTTTCCTGTTTTGCTACTTCTCTACATTTGCAATATTTTCCCAAAGGGTATTTTTCTTTTGACTTGTCCTGCAGAAAGGATGACTTTTTGTGTTCAATTACAGCTCTGCATTCAGTGAACACAATGAACAATTTGACCAGAGAGATTGCTGATCTCTCTGGTCAGCCATCTCTCTGGTCAAATTGTTCAGTGTTTTTGGATAACTGGAATTTATGCATATTGATGTTGATTGCATCCTTTGCTTTGTCATTACTACAGGCCGTACCACCAACACTATTAAAGAGACCAAGCAGTAACATGAGTCTGGAAAGCAGCTGTGACCAGTAAGCATATATTTAATTATATGCACTAAAGTAAAAAATAAAATGTATGTATGGCGAAAGGCTTAATACCTGCACTAAAGACGTTTGGGCTACTAAAATGTTCTGACCAACTCGGTAGAAATAATAAAATAGACTAGAGATCAAAATTGACTTGTCTTCTCAGTATTGTCTCTGATCGATGGTTGGCAGGCCTGTAGAGTTTCATTCCCTCTAATGCCTTTTTAAAAGTCAGAAAGCTGTAGTTTGTTACCTAAGCTGAAATAATGTTTATTCAGTTTCTGTTGCATTCAATACTTCTCTTATCAAAGAACTTGCATCACATGTTTCCATTTTATGGATTCAACAAAAAGAAGTCATGATTTGTTTAAAATCAGAGTGGGCAGGTTTCCTGTAAACCTCAATCAACTAAAAAACCCTGATGGGTGCATCTGTAATGATTCTCCTCTCAATCAAGTAGTCATGGCATATACAGTACAAGATGTTTTCAAGACTACATGCATTTGGTCTTTTTTTAACAGTTCTTTTAATCATGTACTTGGTACATTATAAAAAAAAAAATAGGAACCCCTTCAGCTGGTTAGTTTTAGGCTCTAGGTTGAAAAGAAATAGGTAGAACAGTTTTCTTTTTCAAAGTTTCACTAGTCTATGTAAATAATTTTCAGTTATTGACTTCAGAAGGGCAGGTCTTTTCTAGACAGGCGAGTGTGTAATGTTGCTTGTTTTGTAAATAATGACACTTTAATGTTGGCACTTTTAATGGACTTTCAATGCAACTTTTAGAGCAACTTGGCATTAAAAGTGTAATTATTTACTGAATGGCACTTCATGACAACAGTCATGGACATTCATAAAGACTCCTTCATGTTCATAACAGGTGTTATGTCATGTTTATGACAATGTCATGTCAAGTCTTATGCATGACCTGTCAGATGAAGTGTTACCGTACAATTTTTAATATCTGAAATTAAAAGCATTAATTAGCTTAGTAATGTTGCAGTGATCAACATTTGTAGGGAAAAAAATCCCTAAAAATGTTTAAAAACACTATATGTTTAAAAATTGTCTGGCAAATTCCCAAAAAACATTTTCAGATCTAATGTTCAGTGTCTATAAAAAAATTATTAGAGGTCCTTCTTTACTTAATTTCCCTTTTTACTTTCTGTCTCTTTTTGACTTATAATAATCAGTGTGATGCACTGTAAATGTTCTCTTTTTTCTGTCTTTACTCTGTAGTTCTGTCCGTCCTACTCGTCACTATACAGTGTTTCTGTCAGAGGATTCATCTGGAGACGAGCTCCATTGTGATGATGAGTCCATCTCTGGCTTTCCTGACAGCTTTCTTTTCTCCACTCCTTTTGACTGGTCACCTCTGTATGCATCTCTTTGATCACCTTAAATTTATCTTTTTCTTCAGCAGACCTATGAACTTCCATCCTATATTTACCAGTGAAATATGTCTATATTTCTATCACTAGCATTAAGTCCTAAAAATAAACCTCTTTGCATGTGAAGTCTAAGTCTCAACATTTTTGCCACAAAGATCCTTATTTTTTCTTGTTCTTAAGGTAACATACGGACCTTATTAATGACAAACTCCTGTGTTACCAAAGACTTTAATAACCAAAGGTCCCCGTCTGTCTGCAGGCCACAGCCATACCGCTCCCTGAAGGAGGTGGAGTTGATAGACGATCTTTGTTTGGGGGCAGAAAGCCTCACTGCCCCTCCTAGTCCAGTTACTGACAAGTTCTCCAATGTGAACCTGCTGGGAGACATTTTTGGATGCCAGGATGAACCTGAGTGTCAACCAATCACCCTGGCTAAGAGTCTGGAGGATTTGAGAACACCAAAAGACTTTGGAGAGTTACAAGCAAAGTTCAGCTTCCAGGTCAGCCATCTTTTAGTAGTTACAGGATAAACAGCAGAAGCCCCAGCATACTGGATAAAAGTTTATATTATCACAACATACAATAATACTCTACAAAGGAAATTAAACAGAATGGAAAGCACTGGGTTTGCAGGATTCCTCAAGGAAACCATGTGTGCTTTAAATGAATGTTCATGTGAAATATCCCATTCATTGACAAGGATAGAACGGTTCTTGATTCTGCTGTCAGCTTTTCTCTCTCCAACCGTTTCCCTGCTTTTAGCAGGATGTGAAATTTTCATGATTGAGTTTTTGTAAAATTATTAGATCTATCTTTACTGTGTAAAAAGCTTAAACTAAATACCACAAGTAGTCTACTGAACACATTTGTATAATTCAGGAAACATTTTAGATTTGCAGGCAACAGCAGTATAACAGAAGGTTTATGTTTAATCTCGCTGGGCTCTGTAGTGGAATATGAACTATGCAGTGTTCTGTTTGTCTGGTTGTTTCTGCAGAGATTGGACCTGAGCATCAGTGAAAACTCCCGAACTCTTCCAGGACTCAAGCTCTCCAATCCTTACAACAAGCTGGGCAGTCTCGGCCAGCAGCCGTCTCTCCTGCCTGTTTGTGTGCCTCCTGCCTGTGATAGGCCTCTGTCTGTCCAACTTCCAGTGCAAATGGAATCCTGCTCCCCTCTCTGTGAAAGCTCTGGCATAGCAGTTGACTCTCTAGATCCCTCTGCCATTGGTAAAATAACCATTCCTCGACCCCATGGAAGGAAGACACCCGAGCTGGGAACTATTCTGGTGCCCCCTGCTGTGCAGATGCGTTCCAAGACTTCAGGGAATGGTGAAGGAAGAACTACTCCAGGAAGAGAAGAATTCCGCCAGGCTTTGAGCATGACCTCAGATGAACTTCAGCAGGGGCCCCCAAACCCTGATGAGGACCCTGTCGATCTGATCAGGCTTTTGGACCCCTTGAGCAGCTCAGATGCTCTCCCAGATGCCTTGGATATCAGAGCATCACCTGCATGCAAGCCACCTCTAGCACCCAGGCCCTACCCACAGAGTCTGCCCTGTTTTCCTCCTCACTCTCACATATCTCTAAACCCATTTGCCCAGTCTTTGCAGCACTACTCACCAGCTGTCAGTGGAAATCCCTTTACAGCCGTCTATGGTCCTGCATTAGGTCCATACATCCAAGCTCCATCCAAGCCTCAACCCTTCTCTACATTACCAGGACTCCACAGACAGCCGTCCCCCTGCATTTCCACCCTACCCCCCAGCCACGGGCTGGCCCCGTCAGCGGCCTCTCTCGGTACTCCGCCTCGCTCCTCTGGCAGTAGCCATGCCCTCTCCAGCTTGGTGGATTCTGCCTGTATCTTCAGCACACCTATGAACATGCTGCCAAGGCCTCTGCAGGCACAAGAAGAACATCAGAACCCTCCGGATCCTTTTGGGGACCTGCTTCATATGGCCACACCTCTTACACCACACAAGAAGAAAGTAGAGGACCTTAGGAAGAAGTGGGAAACATTTGACTAATTGTGTGCATCATACACACAATTGTAATACACACAATTTTCTTTGTCTTTGTCTTGGGTTTTTTTGCTGTTCTAAAGTTAAGTGACAGGGAAAAAAAACCCTGACATGCAGACACAACAGGGACTGTTAGCTGAGAGTTTTAATCCAAAGGTATGAACCCATTGTGTTAACAAAACTTACTAAACACACTTGGGTTCAGAGCTGAGTAGAGTAGTTTGGTCATGCACTGAATTCAGATTCATTAAATTCTTAGTTAAGCTGCCATAACATGGCTGGCTCATTAGCTCATTAAATCTTCTGGATCCAGAAACTGAAATGTCTTTTGATTTGATTATTTATTACAAGGTTGAAATGCCCTATAATGAGCTTTTCTTTGACTATACAATATCATAGTACTGCTGTGGTGTTTAGATCATTTGATGACTTCGTGGTATGGCTCCTACACTACAACTGACAGTCTAGATGAAGTGAGTTGGCCACCCAGCTGTCGACCAGACTCCTTCTGTCCTGCTGCTCAGTGTATCTGGTTCCAGCTCAGCATCAGGCCCTGTGGCATAAAAGCCCATCTAAAGACAGCTTTGCTTCAAATACAGTTTGTAGCATATTGCTAATTGCCAACACACTTTTTTCCCCTCTAGTGTCACCAGGCTTTAGTACTGCTCTTTATAGATCTCCAAAGCACATAATATTTTCTAGCTAATCATCCAGAAGACACTATAGTTGAGTAGCTATAAATGGTTGTGCCCTTCCATCCTGCCATTGTTTTGCTTATATTTTTGTTGATTCTTATATTGTGCTGTTTTCTCTTGGCCTTCATGATGGATCTTCCTTTTATGCTTTCTGTATTTGACCTGTGAAAATGTTTCCCCTCTTCTTAAAAACTAAATAATAATTTTAAGCAAACTCACTCAGCTACACTAGACTAATATCCCCAAGATCATTTTAAAATTTCTGTATAAATAAATACAAATGAGGTTTTTGAAACACTACATTTGCATATTGTGTTTCCTTCCTACATCTTTTTTTATTTTAAGTTTTACTGAATTTTTTTTTATTGGTCAGTTAAATTCTTATTTTTCACCAATATAAAGGAAGAACTAGAGTTCCACTATAAATGGTCACTGTTGATATCGAATATACAAGTTTTTGACAAAGTACCAAGGGCAATCTAGTAAAAGTTTAGAAAAAAAATGGCTCTTGTTCACATAGATGTAAAGTGTAAATAAGGTAATATTTTATGTAAATAAGTTTAAGTGTAAATAAGGTAATATTTTATGTATTTCACTTTAAAAATAATTGTTGAATATTTTAAAAATATGGTAAATATTTTAAGTAAGTGCTCTTTCAAAATATGAAAGCTCATTGGAGATGCAAAGCATTATAAAAACAATGTCTTTAAAGTTGACATGGCAAGAAAAAGTCATAAAATTACAGCTGTCTTTTTATGGATTTGTTTATTAGAACACAAGTTCATATTCAAGAAAAGAAAATCACAAATCGTTCACATTTGAAGATGTGGAAACAGAAAATCAGTTTTTATCATGTGATGTTTTTAAGTTATTAGTTTCACTGTAATATAAGTAATATATGTAAGTACTATAAGTCCTTGTTGTCTTTTATTGTTAATGGTGAATTGACAATAAAGTATACGTTGACTAATTTCTCTAATTTGACCAAATATCATTAGAAGCTAAACAAGTTTTTTGCCATGAAACACCAAGAAGATTTGGAAGTTCTAACAGGTAAACAGGAAGAGCAGAAAAATGTAAAAACAAACAAGTTTTTGTTTGATAAAATCATGTGCTGCTCTATCAGGTTCTTAATGTATTTTGACTTATATCCTTTAATGATATTTATAAATATATGTTGCTTATGAGTGGTGTTTGGTCATCACAGATATTAATCATCATAGTCAAGTATTGGATACATGTTCTCCTTTTGTGATTAATTTACCCAAATATGACAAAACTGCACTGGTCTATTGAGACCAGTGCTGTTTTATTTCTTTATTATTTTAATGCAAATATCAACATCTAAATATATGAATATAACTGCAAAAGAAACATCTGATTTTAAATGAGAGATACAGAGCTGAAACATTTGTTTTAAAAATTGTACCTTTGAATGTTATTTTATTGCATTTGAGAATTTATTCACCATTATATAATTTTAAACAAAAGCTTCCTGATGACTTAAAACTATTTTGTATTTATACTAGAAGACAGTTTGAGCTCATAACAAGGGCCACATAAAATGATTCTTAGTTGACAGTGCAAATGATGGTTCCTGCGGGTGCAGAAGAAGAATTGCTGTGCTCCGGTCCTTCAGGTGTTCCTTCATCCATCAGCGGGAGCTTCTATAGATTGTTGAGCTCCAGCAGGGTTTGATCCAACACCTGGTGCATGTCCAGGTTCTCTTCTTTAGCCTGGGCCAGCTTCTCTGAAGTTAAAAAAATCCAGCTTGTTCTGTATTTCATATTTTCAATTACGGATAAAAGCTAAATGTAACACCTTCTAATGACATGTTGACAAAAAGGTCATCCATACCAATGCAAATTAATACACATTTATATATTTATGGTACGGATGGAATCTGTAAAGTATTGAGAGGACTTGAAGAGTTTTATGTTTGATTCCAGAGATGTCTATAAACTGGTTTTATTTATACCATCAAATAGATTGGGACTGGATTTAAGTAGGAAGGTTTACAAGGAGCTCTTTAGTTATAGAAAAGTGAACAAAAAAAGGGAATAAACCCTTTTTACATTTTGTCACAATATAAAACCAAACCTTAGTGGGTAATAACAAGCTGGTAAGAAGGCTGGCTGTGAGAGTGTAGAGCAGCTTTAGTATGTGATCCCTTGAGAAAGGCTCATTTTTGGAGAATACTGCACCAACATATGTGTCTAGTATAAAAGTCAGATTCTTTTGCTTTTAAAAGCACAAGTCACTAAAATATAAGTTGTAATGTCTCATTTATTAATTTGTTTTAAAAATCTGGTGATTATATGCACAGTACAGGTCAGACTGACATTCAATGACTGTGCCTCTGCCTGGCCAAAAAAATAGGCCAAAAATAGGTTGGACTGTCTGTAACCTTGATTAAGGCAGGCATTCACTGACTTATTTCCAAGTCCAAGTTAATGATATGTATTGTATTAATTTTTCACCCAGATCTTGCATTGCTGATGGTGGAGTCTGACTGCTGTACAAAACTTTCTCCAGCAACTCCCAAAGATTCTCAATTGGGTTAAGGTCTTGACTCTGCAGTGGCCAATCCTTGTGTGAAAGTGGCTCCCTGAACCACTTTCACAATTCTAGCCCGTTGTCATCTTGAAATATGCCAGGCTTGTACAGTAGGCAATAGGTGTAATGGGTAATCACTTCACCTGCCTCTCTTCTTATCTTGACAGAGCTAATGCTACTCCTATACTGAATGTGAAATCACCGACAGACTTTGGAAGAAGACCGGACCCTAAACACCACCGACTGGACCAGGCACAGGGCTACAGAACTACTTTTCTGTAGTTAATGACACATCAGAGGGACATTTCATTCAGTGTTTGATTTATGAAGCTGAAGCACAAACACCAGCTTCTACTACCAACTCTGTCCTCTTCCTCCATTTAGTCCGCCTCATCTTCATTACCTCTTTTGATTTCTGCTGGAGGAAGAAATCATCCAGTTCAATTTGAAAAAGCTTAAAGATATTACTCATTGCTGCTTTGGCTGGATGGAGCTAGCGCAGTCAGACCAAGTAGGAGTCATTTACCAAGAACGCATTGCAATGTGATCAACATGACATCAGTGTGACAATATTTTATTAAAATGTATAAAAATTAAACAACCTACTGCATTATTTTAAAATTAGAATGAATATTTCTCAAAGTATTGGTACAACTAATGGATTCCTTTAACCCTTGTCTGGTGGATCAAAAGCTGTATTCAAAAAAACCTTAAACTATGTTTTTCCAACTTAAGATTGTATGACTTTTCCTAAATTGACCCCATCTGTAGAAAAAGTGATACTTTCTGTCTTGTCTGCTGAGTACCTCTAGGGTACCAAGATTGTCTTGGGTCAAAGTATTATGGTAATATTTTGTTACCCAAAGTAGCAGTACTTACTTTGGGTAATCACCCAAAGTGATCACCCAAAGTGATTACCCAGAAAAAAAAACACCAGAAAAAAGTTCAAAGGTCACACACAGATTCACTCTTATACATACACACCTACACACCCACAAGACTGGTTTAAGCTAATTATTTTAAACACATTTAATGAATTCAGTTTTTAAAAAAACTTAATATATTGATTTGGATAAACATAGTAAATTGAATTGGATACACATAACTTGTGTTGGAACTGTCTTAACTGCCACACTCAGGCATGTCTTCATATTCTGGTATTTTTAAATTGAATTGAGTTGAACTGATAAATAGATTGTTTTGTCATGCTAAATAGATTTTGGACTTCAAATTAAAGTAAGCTGCTATATTTTGGGGCTTCTGGAAGGGCTGGTCATTTTTTCCCTTCACATAGAGCAAGGGAAGTAAACAGAATGTTAAGATCTTATAAGGGTTAAGAAATGAGAAGCAACTAATTGCACCAGTTGGATGCAATGCTGTCATCTGAAACATAATCTTCCATGCAGTAATTATCCAATAGGATGCTCACACATATTGCTTATTTAAAGTCAGGTGGCGACTTTATGTTTTACTTATTTATTTTTTTACTTTCTTAAATAATATTCACTGGTTTTCTGAAAAAAAAAAGAGTTACCGAATTGTGACTTTAGTCATATATATGTTTATTTATGATTGTTCAGATCCTGATACACTGAAGGACATAGAGCGAATGACTGTGTTTAAGGCTATGACTTGACTCTTTGGGTTTCAAACTCTCATGAACCCTTTTATAGATGATGATCTTATTTTATAGATCCTATTTTATAGATCATATATTGAATCAGTGTTGACTTTTTCTCTCCTCTGTTGGTTTGGAAATTTTAGTATTAGGCCAAGAAATGCCCTTAGCAGAGTAATTCATATCAGTATTAAGATCTTAATGCTCAATGCTCACTTACAGAACTGTTTCAATAAACAAATCATTAGAAAACTAAAGCCATAATAAGGCTGATACTTCTCATCCTTGACATGCTGAGTTCCAGTTTCTGCCTTATGGTGTCAGACTCAGACTTCCAAGTATAAAAAGCAACAGGTACAAGTTCTCTTTTGTTCCTACAGCAATATCTATTTTTAATGCAGGACAAAACAGGAGGATCTGGTGTTTGTGGCAACTGTCAGTCATTGATGAAATACACTGTTGTGCTTTTTCCGTTATGTATTTCTTGTCCTTTTGGTATGCTTTATTTTTATTTTTTAATCTTTGATACTTTGTCTTTTACTCTTTTGTACAAATAAATCTGAATCAGAATGTTTAACTTTTCTTGAAATATTTTTGAACATCCTTATGGTTCGATTGTTACCTAAAGTTCAGTTTCACATGATTTACCCTGAATTCAATAGTTTGAAATCTTGAACATAGTCACCCGTGACCCGTAAACAGGACATTGTCCTCAAGCTTTGCAAACTGTCAGATGCATTAAATAAGCATTTGCCTTAATCACACAAGAGTCAAATCAATGTAACACACTTCCATCTCAGGAAACAAAAACATGCTGCTAAACTCTCTGGGAAATAGTTCCCACTCTTGTCTTTTTCTTCTTTCAGTTTTTAACTGCTAAGCTAAAAACTTTAGTTTATTCAACTCTCAGAGGTTTGACAAAAATAATAAAAAGTTAACACAACTTGTGAAAGTTTATTTTTCACATTTGGGTTCGAAATCTAAAACTTGCTAAAATTATTTGACTTGAAGAGTAGAAGATAGTAGATACAATTAAATGCTGCTTAAATGTTTTACAGTGTATCAGATGTGCCACAATGCAGCCAAATTTTACATTTTTCATATATAAATCTTTGTTTGATGGGATATTATTTGCTCAAGTTAGCATCTAGTTAGCAAGAGTTTCAGCTTTAAAAGAATTGGATCAGAGTGTGTACAGTACTGTAATCTAGGTTTGATCAAATAACTTTAGGTTTTGATTCACTAAATCAAAGTTAATTCTGATTAATTAAAAACCACAAATAGCTCCTTATTCAAGTTCTGAGTAGTTTTCATACAGATGCTAACTTTAGTGCTGTTATTACCACCAAATATGAAATTCAGACCTAACCAAACAAGACTAAAGAGCCCCATGTATAAAACCATCTGGGTTTTATACATGGGGCTCTTCACCTTATCAACATTTCTCACACGTTTTTCCCATGGTCAGACAAAAACAATGATGAGAAATTTAGTATCAAGAAAACCAGTATCTGAGTTGTGGCCATCTCACACTAATTGGACGTTATTCTCTGTACTGCAAAGTTAATGTTAGAATGTCAAGTCAAACAAAAAGAAGGGAAAATTGAGAAAATAAAGAATTTGAGAAGAATAAAAAGTTTTATTACAGAAAGGAGGGGGAAGAAGATTTAAATAAATATGAATGACATTAACTCCAGACCTCAGGACAGGTAGTAGTGAAAGAGGCTGTAAGTTAAAAGGAAAAAAAGAGTAGAAAGAGGAATAAAGCCTGAATTTACTGCATTGTGTTTAGAAATCTTCCAGCCAATAACAATTCTGCAGAACAAGAAGAGACCAGCAAAGCAACAGGGGAAAATGGAGAGGCAAAAGAGGAGAAGAGGAAGGGAGGAAGCTCCTACAGTGTAGTCATGTCGTTGAGGGCCAGGTCCAGCTCCTCACTGAGAGCCTTGCCCTTCAGCTTCTGAGCATACACTTCGTCTGAAGAGGACATGGAGAGGAGGACAACACAGGGAAAAATGGGAACACGTTGAAATGAAAGAACGGAAAAGAGAAAAGAATAAAGGTTTAAAAAATAACCAACTTAGCCACATCAAAATAAATCATTCACAAGAAGGATAAGGATAATATCTGGCACACCTTTTAGATGAAGTTGAAATCAAACAAATGCTAAATTCAAAAGACTTAAATGAGACACGTTTATGACACGCAACGGGCTGATGTTAACCTTAGCTGGCAGCTGCTTTAGAAACTGATCAATGAAACACATATTGTCACAGTCCTGCACAATATTAGAAAATTCTGCAAAGACAATAATAATGCATATTTTATCAGGTGCAAAATATGCCTAGAATGTGCCTAACCCTCATCCAAACAAACACTCATTGCACATTGCTCATTGGTTATAATTTATGTTTTTGTATAAACATAAATTATAACCAAAAAACATCCCAAAGCCTGGGGCTCAGGGTTTGGGTCCTATCAGAAGTAGTATTTGTTGGGAAAATGATCCTTACAAAAACAAAATCACACACACACCGACTGTCAACTAAAAGGGGAGCTAAGTATTTCTATAGCTTAAAACCAATCATCTAACAGATTGAGAGTTATAGCTGCAAGAGCTGCCTGCAAAAACAAGGGTAACTGGGAGGACTGGATGACTAGAAGGTCTTATGGACACACTGACTGAAAGCAGACCTGTTATTACATACCTTCTAGATCATCAATGGTTTTCTCCAGCTTAGCCACAGACCTTTCTGCAAACTCTGCCCGGGTTTCAGCCTGGAACACAAACAGTTAATTACCCACAGTAACAGCAAACTGAGCAAAAGCACTAGAACTAAACCACCTGGCATATGAAAATGACATGTAATGTGTCAGTCACAATAACGTCACATATTAGTCAAAGTCACACACTCATTTTCATAGAGATGAAAGCAACACCATCTTCTGCAGAACTAAGAAAAACTATTTCTGAATTGGTAACACACCAATGGAACTTGATGCACAATCTCATTAGATTGTGTGTGTTGGTGGAAACAGTTTCCAAACATTTTATCTTTCTGGTTGAATGGTAATAGAAGCCCAAAGGACTTCTATTGTCAGTCTTACCATCTGATGTGTGAAATAATCACGCACACAAAAATGTGCTGATCACAGTAAATTTAGGTGATCTCTGAAGATTGAAATTTAACTTCGGAAACTCCATTTCCAGTTTTTTCTTATGCATGTTTCTTTCCAACCTGAAACCTAATCATTCTAAACGTGGACTGAATGTTTTGCTGACATGATAATAACCCTCTCTGTAGAAGACCGTTATAAAATATATAGCTACAACTTCTTTACTTTCTCATCATGCAAAGCACTGGTTCTCTTTGCCTTACAACACACTCAGTTATGGAATCTGACTCCCTGTCTGTGAGCCAGTTGTCTTCACTGTCTATCTAATAATTAATTATTGAATTGAAATGAATTAATATTAAATGAAGTTTTAATTAAAAGAAAATTAAATGTGAAACGAATTAAAAGCGGAACATGAGCAATTCTAAACAGGGGCCAACAGGAGCCAGAGCCCCTGTTATGTCCTCTGTACTGAACAGATAATACTAAATCAGTTTCTTATGATGATATGTGTCAGTAAAGAACCCATAATTGGTACCTTGGACTATTTTCAGTTTTTCCCTTCACAGTTTTATTCTAACTATGGGTTGCACAATTTACTATTTTTTAAAGTCAACTACAATGTGATAAAAGTCTAGTTGATGTCAACTAGTTGCAATGACATCATAGCAATAAAACTGAAAACTTACATGCTTTATTAGCTTTATTCAGGGTAAATATGAACAAAAAAAGACTCTTGTACTAAATTTATTATGCAGAATTATAAAAACTAGGAGCAGATGCATTATCCCGCACTTACTAACCTGCAGCAGAGAAGAGGTGGTGCAACAAATTGCACAAATTTGGGTCTGATTTTGAATTTTTTTCTCTTTACATTGCTAATAACAGCTATTGAATTCAATGAGCTGAATATCTGAAATAGGTGCTAATGAGCTATCCAATATACTCACATTGGATAGCTGCACTGATAAGAATCAAATTATTACACTGACCTCAAGTATATTTTTGGAAAATTGCTGTGTTGCAATGTGGCCGGTCAATTATGTTTCAGTTAAGGTCTTCGATTATGGGAGGCGCTTATGGTCACTTGTCCACTTGGATATGTGATCCAAGTGGACAAATGACCATAAGCGCCTCCCATAATCGAGGAACGTTGATGCCGTTCATAGCAGTCGAGATCCAGGCCCAGAAGCAGATGAAAGCCAGAGGCTAGGATCAGAGACGGAGCCGGGGCCAGAACCAGCCGGCATGGGGAGCGTCAGTTGCTTGTCAAGGTGTGGGAGGCAGTTTTGTGGTTCAGATGGCCCACATGTGGAGGCGTCGCTTGATCAAACCTGGGAGCATAAGCTGAGATCTGTGGGGGCCAACCAGTTCATGACTGAGGGAGATCTGCACCAGATGGAGGTCCAGGCCAAAGGGGGCACACGCTCGTGTAACAGTTCTTGGGCTGCCGCACACTATCCCTAAACAATCACTTTAATAATAAATGCCTCTGAAGGACTTAAAATGCTTCTTGTTATGTTGCGGTCATCAGAGTCGAGCCGTAACAAATTTACACCTCCTAGTTCATTCTTTCATCTTCTTCCAAAAATATTTTTTTGGGCACATAATTGACTGTTAGGTTAATTGGTCTTTCCAAATTCTCCCTGGCGACCTGTTCAGGGTGTACCTGGACCCCACCTCTTGCCTGGAATGCAGCTGGAGATGGCTCCAGCTACATTCCCTTATCCCCCTAGGGATAAGGGTGATTAGAAAATGGATGGATGGATGGATGGACATAATTGCGACTTTATTATTGTCTTCTTGTAGGAAGACAATGATAAATCCTACAAGTTCTTGACTGGTGTAAAAATATCAGGTTGATCATACAATATCATTTATGTATATACAAAAACATCACTTTCCATTTACTTTGTAAATAAGTTTTTAGTTTCTTTCCCCTCCCCCCCTACTCCTCCCCCCATCCTCCCTCGGGATAAGGGTGATTAGAAAATGAATGAACGTAATTGCGACGAGTTGACTAGCTCCATAAAATGCATTTTACCATCATCTTTGTCTTATTTTCACTTAATTTCAATTTCTTCGTTTAGACAGCTAGAAATAAATCATCTGAGAGTCCTGCAGAAATATACACACATTTATATTTGGGCATATGTGGCTTAGGGGACATGTTTGAAAACTATTTTCGGAGTATTTAAACTCAACCAACAAAGAGAGAGCAATAGAAGGATAAATATTCTCACCTCCTTCAGCTTCTCTGTAAGCACTTTAATCTCTTCTTCATACTTGTCCTCTTTTTGTGAGTACTGAAATCCAAAACAAGAAGTTAAACAAAAAAGTTTTGTGGAGTGACATTTCCGGCCTAAACTTGAACATCAACAGAGAAACAGAAAGAAGGCTTTCAATGTGGCAAATCCTTCATCTAGATCTCTAATGACTTGAATACCTAGAAAATTGAAGAAAATAAGATGTTGAGACATTAAGCTGGGAAATGTTACAGGCATACTATTTAAGTCTTTTCATTATACTTAATAACTTCATATATGTATAAGTATATTAACATAAATGTGACCAGGAATTATTTCTCCCTCATATGTTGATTTTTGTCAGCATTTCACCACATTTCTATCACCAACCTAACATAGACCAACCTCACCATTTTTCTCTGGTGATGTTGTTACCATTTTAACTCAACCAGCAATGCAGACGTTGCTCTTTGGTGTTTTGCATGTTTTTTATTGACCAATCATGTCAGCACCGAAGTCCTCCTCTCACTGTACCTTCTCAGCCTGGGCTTCCAGGGACTTCAAGTTGTTGGTGACATTTTTCAATTCTTCCTCAAGGTCAGCTGATTTACTGAACAACATAGGAAAGAAGAAAAGCACCAGAAGAAAAGGCAGTGATTTGAAAGGCAGAAACAGGTGAGAAGCTCAAACCAGAAGCAATTTGATGGACCAAAAACATTTTTACATGTCAAAATTTTGATATATGTCACAATAAAATAAAATATTAGATACATTTGTCTGTTACATTAAGAAGAATTAAATGATATTGTCTTTGGAAACAATGGATATAATGTTTAAGGTCCAGCAATATGCAAAGGAACCATAGATTCAGTAAACTATCAAGGAGTCTGGAGAAAAATGTTACATAAATATTCAAAATAAATCTAATAAACATTTTTGGTGACCATTGGGCAAAGTATAACATACAAAAAACAATCTCTGCTACACGTTTCAAAAAGTTCATGCTCTAAATAAAAATAAGTTTTGTTGAGTAACACCACTTAATAAAATTCCTCATAAACATTAATTTATTGCAGTGGCTCTCAACGCAAGTTATGTGTTATTTAAATTATAACTTGTTAAGCTGCCTTATTTTAAAACCTTTTCTGGTTTGCCCATGTCCTCGATCATGGCTGAGAACATGTAGGTAGAAATAAATGTCTTATTTTGAAAGTAACATTTATAGAAAATATTCTAGACTTTTCTTAGATCAGGAGTCTCAACCCAACCTCATACCTCTAGGACTTTCGGCCATCCCAGGAGACCTAAAGAGCCTCAGCAAAAAAGTAATATGTACTCCTTAAAATCCTGCAGTAGATATGAATTGATTTTGGCTCTATGTAAATAAACTGAGTAAAACTGATCTGAAAATGTCTTTGTCAGATATTGAACAAAATATGTCCATATTTGTAATTAAATGTTTTAATAAAACCATCTTAAATTAAATATAGCCGTAAGAGGAAAAACAAAAATAGATTAATGAGCTGGTGTCTCAAATGGTAACCATTTGTTATTAAAACTAAATCTTCATTTTGTCAAAAATATTGTTTGATGAGAACTTTTCATACAGAATTAAAATATATATATATATTAATACCAGACAAAATTATGAAGTAGTAAGGAAAGGATGGAGAGGAAGAGAAAACATGCAAATTAAACAGAGTGACAAGCAGAAGGCTAGTGCAGGCTGCATCAAATACCTCTTCCTCACCGCACATCATCAACTTCAAATTCTGGTCCATGAGCCTGAGCTCCTGTTCAAGCTCCCTGACTCGCCTAGGGGTTTAGTCCATGATGGGGCGAGGCGTCAGACAGGAAACAAGAATGCATTCATGCTTTCATGCAGTGACACATTTCACAAAAACACAACAAAACATGTGAGACTGGTGCATTTTTGCATGTTGTTCAAGTGCAGGAATGCAAAAAATTGCTACAAATACACAATCAAATCACCGAATCAACCTGCCATTTATAGAAACAGTTGCTACCGTTAAATTTTTATTTATTTATTATGTGTGTGGCTACCATAATCAGATCCAATTGGTTTGCAGGTCATGATGATACTTACGCCTCAGCCACCTCAGCGCGCTCCTCTGAGCGTTCCAGATCTCCCTCCAGAATCACCAGTTTACGTGCAACCTGCAAATATATTCAGGCCCTGATGTCATTCCACACAAAACCTGCTCGTGTCATTGAGTATATCTCAACTCTGACCTTTAGAACCAGTTGTTTACTGTAACCTCATCCTGATCAAAGTAAATAAGAAGTTATATTCTATTTACTAAATTTTAAAAACAGGGTAAAAGGGAAAACTGTCCTCTTTTAATTCTAAAGTTTAAGCCATTCTGTTAGAGATTTGCTGCTGTAATTTGAATCTTTATCCCATTCTACATCAAGACAGATGACATCACATTTAACTCTTTAAAAGACACTTTTAACACTTGCTGGATGACTCATTGACTGTAATCTGAAGCACAGAAATTGTCTGATTCACATGCCAACTGATGCCAGAAGAATTGAAGTTGGAGGTATTATGTTACTATGGTACTATGCTCTTTAATTGGCCGGTGGTTGAAGTTCATCTTGTAATCAGTGGGTTGTCGGTTCATTTTTGTGTTTTGAACCATTCAGAGGTGGACTTACTGCGGTGCTAGGCCTTTGAGGTATTAGTATTTCTAAGTGATGGAAAATTGTAATTCCATCTTAAAATGAAATCCTTTGTTAAACTCTCAACAGAAAGAATATGCAGAATTAGTCCCACCTCTTCATATTTACGGTCCGCCTCCTCAGCAATGTGTTTGGCCTCCTTCAGCTGCATCTCCTGGATTTCCATTTTCTCTTCATCTTTTGTTGCTCTGTTCTCTATCACCTTCATTCCTCTGAAGAGAAGGACAAACAAAACGGTGGTCGGGTAGGATATGGTGCAGCATTTTCCAGCTTGGCATAAATCTCTCTAATGAGAAAAAAAACTAAACATTTCACATTCTGTCAGACAACCAGCTGTAGACACACTTTTCTTACTTGGTGTTTTGTTTCTGATTTTATTTGTAGATGAACAAGTGATGCAATGTACTTTCATTTTTAAACTATTGAACCTGACTAAATATTTTGTATTGCCTGGTTCCAGATAAATAAGTTAAAAAAGCAAAAGTAAAAAATAGTGATAAAAGGAAATCAATAGGAAGCTCCACCTCTCGCTTTCATCTGCAGCTTTCTCTGCCTCCTCCAGCTTTTGTAGAGCAGTAGCTAGCCTCTCCTGAGCTCGGTCCAACTCCTCTTCCACCAGCTGGATGCGTCTATTCAGAGACGCCACCTCTGCCTCCGCCTGCAGGAACAGAAACACTCTGGGTGTAAGCCTCAGTAAAGAACAGTGATCCTTAATAACAAATAGACCCTGATCTCCAACAAAAGCAATATCCTCCAAGAATCAGTTTCTAACCTTTTCCTCCTTATTGCTGAGAAACATTCTGAGCAGCTCACCTTTGGGAACTCAAATGTCTGAACAAAGGAGATGCCTCTTTACTTATGTTAAAGACCTTGGGCTCTTTCACGTTGACTTTGTTAAGTTCAACTGAATTACTAATAAATTGTCTTTTCAGAATGTTATTGTAAACTAAATATTATTGTCTCATACTGGTAGCAGATCATGAACTAAATTCGCAATGACAAAATTAGATTGGTTAGACCATTTGAATTAAAATTATTAATGATCAGGTCGAATATGATCTTGGCCCTCAAACCTAATGGCGAATAAATGAGCGAGTGGCCGAGCAGCGCCCCCTGGAGGCCGGACAGTCCGGCCCGGTCCAGCCCGATGGTTACCCTCTCTCTGGCCTGCCTCTCCATGTCCGCCTCCGTCTGGAAGAGTTCGGCCCGGTCCTCCGCTTCGTAAGCCGCCTGTTGCAGGTTCTGGATTTTCCTCCTAACAGCGTCTATGGATGTTAAGGTCGCCATTCTGTGAAAATTCAGTCCCAAGTTTCTCAATGGCGTCACGGCGTTTCCATGGCAACCGCTCCGGAAACTTCCTCCGTTGTAATTTCAAAATAATGTTAATACAAATTTCAAAAGACTAATTTTTAAGTTTAAGTCACATGAACTATATTTTTGATTAGGTTGGGAAATTTGTCATTATATGAGTCACACTTGTAATTTTTGCCTCTAATTTACAGATAACCAAACCTCTTAAAACGTCCATATTTTTCTGCAAACAGTATAATTCCAGTATTTTATTGCAATTCAAATCAAACTGATAAAGGGTTATTCATTCCAAAGGAAAATCGCACAGATGTTGTTGCAACTGGCACTATCTAGACTATCAGTGTCCTCCTGTATGTGTCTGTCTTATTCAACAAGGTTATGATGGTGACCTTGGAATGTTGACAGTATTGTTTGTTCTGATGCCATCTGTGCAGCTGCTGTCCACAGCAGGAGGAATCTACAGTTTTACAGGAACTAATCGTTACACTTCAGATATTATGAGAAGTTCTGTGGAGGTAAACAGGAAATAGTCAAAATATGTAAATCATGCAGAGCTGTGTCTGTAACCAGAGTCCTGCTTTTTAACAAAAGACTAATTTAAGAATGTGCACTAAACATTCAGTAACACTTTACTACTTGTCTGCAATCCACTGTACTGTACTGGCACTCACATCCGCAGCCTTTTTCTCTGCTTGCTCCAGCTTCTCCTGGGCATCCTTCAGAGACTCAGAGTATTTGTCCAGCTCATCTTCTACTCCTTTGAGTTTCTTCTGCAGGCCCAGCAGCTCCTCCTCCAGCTGCAGAACAGACACACAGACACAGACAGCTGCCAGCATGATCAAAGGGTTTAGAAGATTGCATTTTCAGGTATGGTTTTCTACTAAAACTATTTTATTTAAAATCTTCCAGCAGAAGAAACTTAAAATCAATGTTTAAATTAATAAGATCAGATTTTCAATTGATTTCAGTTTTCTTATGCATTTTTAAGATGAAGTTTGATCTATTTATTGAAATGCATATTTGATTTGCAGTATCTTAAATAGATAAATGAAAGCTTTTTTACCTTTTGAAACTATCTTTAAAAAGACCGTGTATGATGCTCAAATGTAAGTTTCTATTTTATTATAAATTTGTATGTTACAAAAATGTATGATGCTTCTATGATGCAACAGTTTTATTATGGAGGTATTAACATTTAATAATGTCTTAGTAAGGTGGCGTTTAGACAAATGAAATTTTTCCTTTAAAATAAAATATCAATATTATTATTGTAGTAGAAAACACTTAATGATGGATCTGTAGGATTGTATTATGGAACTGCACAAAGTGGGATAGACAGCTAAATAAATCAGTAAACAATAACATGCATTGTATGGCACATATCCAGTAATTTTTTTCAATATACTGAAACATTCATGATGTAGTATTCTATCATTATTGCCCAGTGTTTCTCATTTTCATGAGAGGACATCCTATGGCTTTTAGGAAGAACAGCTGGCAGTTTAAAACTCTGACCAACAATGTATCTTACAGTGTCTATCAGTAGTTAATTGGTCATTTAATTACCTGTCAGTGTTCAGTTACAGTTAATGTAATTCTCATGATTTACACTGGAACGTGTTGCACAGAGGCAACATTTAGTTTTGCTTCAAGGAGTCCAGAGTTCTGTCAATACGATGCACAGACAATTGTGTTTGATAGAGACATAACATGTGACAGATGGGCAGACTAAATCAGCCAGTGGCTCAGCCAAAAAAACTACATTATGCAGAATTTAGTGTAACTTTTTCATCAAATCTGTAAACTAAATGACTCCTTCCCAGTGGTGGAATGTAATGAAGTATGAGTAGTTTATTACTGTAATTAAAGTAAGTTTTTTCATGTGATCAACCTGAATTGATCTTTTGAGAGTGCTTTCTCGAAATGTTAGCTAAATCATCGGTTCTTTGTTAGGAGTGTCTGGTTGCCCTATTTTTAGTCAGACAACTTCTACTTGAATGTGCAGCTAAAACAGCACATTGTTTGTGTTTAATTAAAACTTCCAAATGTATAATCATTCCTCTTTTATCATACCATTTATTGCTGCAGGTTATCCCTGAAATTCTGATGAACAGAATCTAAAGTCTGAGTGTGAACTGTGTCACAGAGCGAAAACATAAATCAAACATAAATTTTCTTGCAGCCTTGTGTATTAAAAAGGCACAATTGATGTATTTAAAAAAGATATAGAATATATACAAAGGCACACTAAATGATATTCTATTGTAGAGATTAAATTCAGCAAGTTCTTTTTAGTATTCTTACAAGCAAGTACTGGCTTTTGCTAAATAAAATTATTTCATTAATTCCAAAGGGAAATTAAATGTTGTAACTCATTAACTTAAATTCTTCAAAGAGTTATTGAATGACTGTTGGCTGGAAAGATCTCATGCAGCGATCTGTACTGCACTGAATCTGAAGAAACCTCTGACTGAAGATGCTTTGCCTTCCCAGAGCATCTTCTCATGAAGAAAATTAAACAAGCAAAAGTGTTTTTGTGGTACTTTTTGGCAGAGTACATCATCAGTGCTTGATAAGTGCTTTCTCCACCACTGATCCTTCCTAATGATTCACGTCTGAACCAGTAGGACGAACTATGATGTCTGTGGAAAACCCAGAGGCAGAGTTAAGCTTAGTCTGTCTGTTCTGCCAGTACATTATGGGGAATAGAATAGAAACTAAATAGTTTCTATTTTATATTCTAAAGGAATATAAACGCAGGCTATGTGATACGAGAATAGAAGTTTATCACTGCTTCTTGTATGTGTGACTTCTTCACACAGCGAAATAGTTGAATGTGCTAATTTGGAACGTTACATGGAGAAATGGGTTCATTGATAATCAATAAATAAAATAAATAAATAAATTAAATAAATAACCAATAAATATTTATTTATTATTTTTTATTTATATATTTTTTCCTATTTAATATGGAAAAAATGGAAAAGGAGTAATGGTCCTGATTCATCTTCAAAGAACATGCATCACACTTCTGTGACCATCAATTACTATTAACCTTGATTGAAAACAGTGAGAGAAAGTTAACATTTTAGCCACTTTTCACCAAACTACAGGCTAAAATCTGAATGCACAGCAACAAATAACAACGGAACCTTCTTTATTTTATAATTCAAATAATCCGTTTCACAAAGATTGATGTTAAAATCTTGTTTAGAATATTACCATCTGCTCTAGATTTAATTTGTCCTTTTGTTGACCAGCGACTCATCTCAAAGACAGTTGCAGCTTAAAGAACTATAAAAAGCCTGGGGTAAAGTAGAGTTAAAGGCCTGGTGACAATGTCCCAGAACAAATGTCCTTTCTATTTGAGCTGTGGCATCCTCCCCCAGCCTTCAGCCATCTAAGGTTTCTGCTTCCCAAATAAAGTCCAGCCTCCCTGACATACAGCAACAATTCAAAGAAGGTGGAGGTCTGCAGAGGGAACACAGAAATAGACGTTCCAGATTTCAATACTCCTAAACAAAGAAATGCAGAAGTGCAGGACCTCTTTTGACTTCCAGTTGGATTCCTCTGGGTACAATGACCTCTGAAGTTAAAGTAATGTCACTTATAAATAAACTGTTAAATGATCTTGTCAAATGCAACTAAGTAACAGCCCCAGCCGTAATCCGCCCTCTGGACGGTGGCATAATCTCTTTAACCAACCTGATGCTGCTGCTGCAGATGAAGCAGCATAGAAATATGAATGGATTAAAATGTTGCTTAGAATGAATGGATTAAAATGTTGCTGATTTTTAAGCACTGAAAAAAGTGCTTAAAATCAGTGAGATTCTGAGTGGATAGACTGACCCAACTATCACCAGCTGCAGTTGACAAAATCTGTTCATCTTTCAGGCAGATGATCCAGGGCGTGAAAACTACAGAGAAAGCACAATCCAGTCTGCTTGTGATGTCATGCACATCTGAATCTTGATAAATTATCATACAATTATTTTTGACAATTTTGTCTTGACATTCAGAGACAAACCTTGAGCAATGTTGAATGTTTAATAATGTCAGCATTTGAAAAAATGACCAATGAAAGCATAGCAATAGCATATGTGATGATGAACACTGATTGGCTCAGAACAGATCATTAACTACTGAGGTCAGAGGTCAGAAGTTTATTATTTAACTTCCTGTTTCTAAAAGGCACCTGAAGAACAGCCCATAGGGAAGAATCCTGCTCAGGTCTGTGTTTCTAAATCAAAAGCAAATCCATTGAACAGTTATTATGACTGCAAAGATTACAGTCATAATGGAAAAGAATTGTAGACCTCGTTGACGTCAATGAAAACAACTGAATTAAAAAAAAGACCCTGGCTGATATAAAGCTGCTCGCTACTCTATAATTGTGGGCTATAAACATTGCTCTACTGCACAAAGCCAAGCTCCTAAACTGGACAGTCAGGTTTGCTGTTAACTTGTGCAGTTTTGAATTATTTTCTTTCTAAATTAAGAAACAACAGGGTTTTATGTAAAGTTTGATAAAAGGTTTTTCAGTGCATGTCTATTCTGTAAAGTGTCAGTGTGGTTCAGTTCACAGCCTGTCCTCATGCATATGACCCACTGAGGTGGGTTTGGTGATCAGAACCAACAAGATCAAACAATGAGAGAATTCATGTTTTCTCAGAGCAGATCAAATATTAAGCAATCAGTATCAGTACAGTGAAATAATGGATGCATAAACTGATGGTGAAAAAACCATCATGGTACCTTTCAAAAAAACTGACACAACATAATAGCCTGGTCCATCATTCAGCTTTTTTGGTCAGTGCTTGCAAACGGTGCTAGGAGCTGTCCTGCCTCAAGAGGAAGGTTAGGATCAGTTTATCTATCGGCCTGAAAAGATTCTGATGTCCACATAAAAAGAGAACATAAATAAGACAAAGAGCCTTTGTGTTTCAGGTATTTCAACAATGTTTGTATATATTAATTTGTCTCATCACAAGCTCATAAGTTCACACATCAGCTACCAACATATGATGTAAACTACCAACATTTCCTTTACCAAACAAAAGTCATCTTACAAATTCCCAAAACATCTTATACCAACAAACACATCATATAAACTACCAACTCATTCTATAGAACCTGCAGGCTAATCTATGATGATGTATTAGATGGTTGGGTGACAGAACCTGGAGACTGACTCATAAGCATTGATCAAAAACAAGGTTGTTCCCAACCAATGCAGTGAGTTTGACAGGATATGCTTGGAGGAATGGAATTTAACTATTGGTAATATGACCTAGCCAAGAGGTCTTAAAATTGGCAATATTTTCAACTTATTAACGTGTGAAAATTAAATGCCATTTCCAAGTTCATCTGATCTCAGTGTTTTGGGGGAATCTGTTGTGCACAGCATGCAGCTGTATTATGCACAAAATTCAATTTTTTCATAAATTGTTCAAGAAAAAAAGCAAATAATGATTTTTTCTGCATTCATTCAAGAATTATAAATAAGTCTGGCCATGGATTTGTTTTCTCTATGCTGCTTCAAGGGGGGAATCATCTTTCCCTCAAGGACGAAATCCGGTATCTTGGTGTCTTATTGAGGAACGTTGGCAGTATATGGAAAGGCAGCAGACTCATCCACAGTAACAAACCCTAATGAAGATAGCCTTGTCTAAAAGCAGTTCCTGATTTTACAGTCTGTATTCTGACCCTCACATAAGATCAAGAACTGCTGTTTGTGTCCAAAAGAACAAGAACCCAGTTACAAGCTCCTGAAATCAGCTTCATCCACAGAGCAGCACAACACTGCTCAACTAAACAACAGAGCAGTTCTCTTATTTCAACCGGTAGAAGTTAACAGAAATATTAATTTTGGGTTCTTTGTTTCGTACATATTACACATACTTTTCATTAAACCTACATTTGTGTTTTTGAAAATAGTTTTTTTTTTTTTATTGATCTGGCTAAATAAAAATATTTAAATGTCATATTTTTATTAGCTGTTAACAGAAAATCATCATAATTGACATAAATAAACCCTACCTAAAGTTACTACTTATCTATATGAAGTTAATCAATTAAAAGGATTAGAATTATTCACTTTTCTAATAATGCTCTAACTTATTGAATGGGGATGTAGAATTAAAATCTCATATTTTAATAAAGAAACAAATTTAAAAACAATCATTTTGTGGGTTTTTTCCCCAGTTTGTAATATTGGAATTTAGAAGATAGAAATTGATGACACCCAACCTGGAAGAGCCAGTGACCAACTCTTTTTTAGCATAATGATTTGTCAGTTGACTGTTTATTTAAATTTGTCATCTTTGTTACAGAGTTAACTTTATAAATGGAATTCTAAGGATGAAGATACAGGATGAGGTGTGCAGCTTGTTCGCCTCCAGTCAGTAAAATTCTATCTCAAAGATGAGGCTCCAGAATATTATAGCCTACATCAAAACTCGTGATGAGGGCTCTAATCTCATGTTTTGAGATTTATGTTTTAACAAATGCATAAAAAAAGTTGCGACCAGAATCTTAATCTCGTTCTCTTGCACTGTTTGAAGGTCTTTCAAACGGTGCAGGCAGAAAAAAAAATACATCAAAGTCCCCAAATTTTGAGAATCGCTTGAGTCTCTGACAAACTGCTTATTATTGAGAGAAATTGAATTTTGATGCTTCCAAGATCTTTTGGTACAGTGTTAAGAAGGACATCAAAGTTTTGGCTGCTTCAATGTTTTACTGTTGGATTTCAAGAGTCTAAAACAATCTTTGTTTTTACAACTACAGCCTTTAAAATCTGTCACATGCAGCTTTCTGTCCTTTGCTTTCATGACAGTTTTGTTTGTAGATCAATAGAGGAGGCATTTTCCTGCAATATTTCTTCACTAATATTTTTATGCTGATATGTTCAGCAGAGAGTTCACAATAGACTGTGAAGATGCTGTTTTTGGTGTGAAACAAAGTTTCTTTTTAACCCCACCTGTTTGCATTTGTCCTCGGCTCCCTTCTTGTCAACCTCTGCTTGTTCTGCCCGGTCTATCGCGTTCTCCTTATCCAGCTTCAGCATCTGCATTTTCTTCTTGATAGCCTCCATGGTTGCCTTGCCTGGCTCTCAGCAGAGCAGAGAAGAGGACTTGGTTATCCGGATGTAGACAGACAGGAGGACAGGACCCGCTGTGAGGATGTAGACTACTGAGACACTCTGGAGCAGCTTTCGGATGGACACCCCCCACCTCCACCCCTCCCACAGATACACCCGCTCCAACCACATAGTTCAGCACCAGTCATTGTCCATATTTAGACAGCCAGCGCTGCCCACTGTGTGTGAGAATGAAAAAGATCTGATGTGTCATCATTCAGTGTGAGACACAGCTGCACAACTTACATCCTGATAAACTCCACACCTTCCTTTGCTGCTCCTCTAATTAATGCGAACCTTGGCTGGTTTGCAGCCCAATTCTCCCATTCTCGATTCATTTCAAAGTATATGTACATATGTAAATGTCTGGACAACTTTATTTTTGCCTTGACTTCTGAGTCCATTGGTCTTGTTTTTATTATTATTATTGAAGGCTATTAGAGTGAAAGAGCTAGATGAAATCCAAATCAGACTTTTTAGGGGTTTTTTTTGTAAAATATTCAATTTCTCATTTTCTGCTTTCTTCACTTTTCAGCTGTTGGCTATTTTGCATTAATCTTTTGTATAAATCCTAATGGAATACATAGAGGTTTCTAGTGGTATAGTTATGTGCAAAATTATTTCTACTCTTGCAGATTTAAAATTACTTCTTTTTTTTTACTTCACCCAGACTACAACAGATGAGACATTTTAAGAAAATGATACAAAGAGCATCAGATTTAAAAAATAAAATTATATATATAAATGTCCTTCTCACCCACCACGGGTGGTTCTTATCCTCTGAGCCTCTACCAGAGGCCTGGGAGCTTGAGGGAGTATCTTGGCTGTGCCAAGGACTGCACATTTCTGGACTGAAATGTCTGGACTGAAATGTCTGATGTTCCTGGGATCTGATGTTGTTCCTGGGATCCTCGGATCATCGATCCAGTTTGGGGGTGACAGCCCCGAGGGCCCCGATGTTCACCTTCCAGGCCCTCTCCAGTTCCTAATTTTTTTCATTTTTGAAAAAAGTTTGATTGGACTCATTGATTGTTTTTCTTACTTATTCAATTTTAATTTGTCCAATAACGTATCTATATCTCAAAACACATCAACAATTCAAACAACTTGACTGAAAAGATACAGGGGTTTAATTATATTCCGTGTGTCTTACACACCAAATTAAATTACCTCTTCAATCATCACAATTTATAAAATCTAAAAACATATCACTTCTTATATTTCAGTCAATAAAGAGAAACATAAAAGGGAAAAACTATTCAAAACCAAAACAGATACAACATAATTTGAAGTTATTTGCTCTTCTGACCACCAAATATTTTGTTTCAGAATCTCTAGTGATATTTTCACTATAACATTTATGCTTTCTGGGGCATGCCAACGCCCTGCGCCACCACAGCACGCCCCACGTTTGGAGGCCTCAGTCCTCGACGGGGATGTCGCGGGTTCGACTCCCGGTCCGGATGACCTTTGCGGCATGTCTTCCTCACCCTCTTTCCTGTCTGCCTATAGTCAAAAATATGAGCCACGAGTGCCGCAAAACTCTTCGGAGAAAAAAAGTGATCAAAAAAAAGAAGTTTATGCTTTGATAATCATTCCATATTTTTTTAGTTGTTTATATATTTACAACCATGTCTTAAATATTTTTGATTTATGCTATGTGAATACATTTTAAAAATTGCATCCGAACAGGGAGTAAGCTGAATTTTACTCTAAATATTATTTGCATAATTAACTAAAGCATATTTCATAATAGCAAATTTAAAAAACATTGGATTTGGATTTTTACTGCAACCATATGACTTGTTTTTGTCTTTTATTGGCGTACTACTTCATGTGTAAAACCCCTTAATTCCACACAATGATTATATCAGCATAAGTGAACTGTAAGGAAAGCCTTATAATTGATTATACTTCTAGACCTATAGAAAATTGCTATTGTTTTTGTGGTCTTTTCCTATGCATTTAAAGTTGATTATAGTCGATAATCACTAAAAATTGTATTTCTGTCACTTGTTCAATTTCCGCATCACATATTTTTATAATCATGTAACCCCAATAATTTCTTTTGGATGCTCCCTCTATATATTCTCAAACATTAAAAATTACAGCTCTCTGTCCAAACTCTGCGAAATGGGATGAATTCTTCTGGCTCACTCCCCTCCAGATTTTAAAGGGTCTTTGGAGCTGCCAATGATCAGGAATTTTCACATCTGAAACTCATAGTTTGAACTTTTGAGTCCAAAAACACTGCTGCATCAACTACTAAGAAGCATCAACGTCCGTCTTCAATTGTAGCAACAGATGCTTTATTTAGCCATCTTCTAAGTTGTCAGAGTGTTAGTGGCAGTCACTGCTCCAACAACAGCTGTTCACTTTATTTCATTTATGAAATCTTCTGTTTTTTAAGCTTCCCTTCAGATCAGCAATAAACTCAAACAAAAACTTTGTCTTTTTTAAATTTATTCCATCCAAAACCAAACTTCAAGCTACATGGCCTACTCTGACCTCAACCTGGCTGAAATGTAGAATAAAAAATAATTACTTTATCAACTGAGTAGGTGAAAAGCAGATACAATAATAGAATAGCAAACAATTTAGAATCAAAAACAAGAGGCAGACAGCATACCTGACCACAGTATTGTGATGATGCACATGGGAATCCACAGTTCAATAGGAGAGGAGTATGAACTATGGTGGCCTGTGATTAGATCCCAACATCAAAGAGAGTAAAAACAAATACTAAGTGCCATGAAACACTGACTAAAAGAAACAGGTATCATAGAGACAGGATGTGGTTAACTATATTAATCTTTTTACAATAAAAAGAGTGGTTTGGGAAATTTCATTGGTTAATTTCCCAAACAAGTTTTTCTTAGAAGAAGTCAGAGGATAACTTGTGTCTTAAATGAGAGGAAAAAAGTAAAGAAGCAGATGTGAATAATTTCAGTGAAAATAGGCTTTATTGTGTATGACAGTGCCCATTGGGTAGAAATACTCTTTACCTGCATTCCAACAATAAGTCAAATCAAATCATAGTCTATAAAAAAAGTTTGAATGATGAATGGCTGAAACCTAGGCATGGCACACTGGATGGTTAGTTTTAAAAACTCCAAAGGAAATAAAGCCACTTCTACTTTTACTGAGTAGAGTGATGAAATTATTGCACTTTAGGAACAAATGGCATCAGACATTTATACTTATCTTAAAAGAGAGGACATCTTTTAAGCACAAATGTTGCTCTTCTTAACAATGATTTATGTTTCTAAAAACAGCTGAACAAGAGCGTATTCGTCCAGATTTGTGTCACACCTCTGGCAGACATGTTTGGCACACATTTAAGTGGAATGGATCAATAAGTATCAGTCCAACACACATCAGACTGATGTGAAAGTTTTGTACATTAAATATATGGCTTCATACTCACTACACCAACAAGTTCTCCAATCAGATCCTGGTCTAAATACTAACTGAAGGATCACATGTGTTGAACATATATTCTTTTAAAATTACAGATTTTTAACTAATCCATTTAAAATAGTCTTGTTCTAAACTATAAAATTCAAATATTTAATTTTTCTTATAGTTTTGTACAGTAAAAAGAAAATACAGAAAATGGCAGAAACGTCTATTACTAACATATCAAGACTCTTTGGAAGTGTGTTCACACACAAGAAAATGCATCAGTATATCTATATATATATATATATAGTTTAGATATCTAAAAATAAAACATAAAAATCTGCTTAGGAACTTTGCATAGATTGTCACTGCAGGATAAGCCTGACATAATATTCCATTTTCTTAGCAAAGCGATGTAACAGAGTCGAAGAGAGAAGGGCAGAGGAATGAACTGGTATGGCTTCCTAAAGCCTCACATCAAGATCACAGAAGCATGAAAAAGACTCACTTTCTAAAGAATATAAACATATATAATTAGAAGCATACATAACTTAATTATCACGTGAAAGCATATGTCTCAGTATAGGCAAACATTTATCATCACTGTCATGATATATTATTTAGCATATTTTTGCTCTACTGTTAAAGCATTTGGATATGTTACTGTAGACAAGAAGTTTGACTTGCTGTTGGAACTGATCTGATCTGAATCATTAGGTCCTGAGCGTTTCACAATGACTTGCGTAGCTGATTTGCGGTTTGTTGGCACCATCCCCCCCACACTCTCATTGGTCCTGGCCATCCTCTCTCAGCTCTGAGGGGAGGAACTTGTACTGCTGCTTTCGGATCATGGCCAGCTTATTCCTTGCCTCCTCCAGTTCCCTTTCTTTCCGCAGCATCTCTTCTTGAGCGGCAATAATCTGAAAGATCCACCGGAGGTTATGAGAGCAGCTTCAAACTCACAGATCAATCAGAAAATGAAACTAGTGACTTCTAGTAACTAGTAACTTCTAAGGATAGCTTTGAACTTAGCCATATACTATAGCTAATATAGTACTAAATAAACAATTACTGAAATCCCAAACTTTCCCAACAATGCAAATATTACTTAAATATTACTTAAATTTTTTTTTAAGTTATCATTTTTCATCTTCAGGGTGAGCCAGTAACACACAACTTCCTGATTCCCTGGGGTGTAAAATGAGGCTTACTTCTTTTAGCCAGGAGTTATCAACACAGTTAGCCAAGAACATAACTGTGGATCAATACTCATGTAGTGACACAAGGTTAAAACATTTTCATTTAGCTCCATTTTCAGATACTGTAAACATCTGTAAATACTTTAAATCAAGTCATATTCAGTAAATTCTTATGGTAATAAAAAGGTTGTTTATTTTTATAATGTGAACAAAAGGCAGACAAGAAGAGCAAAATGATATGAGTTATTCATGAGATTTCAGAACAACCTCTACAAGTATGCATACAATGCTTTAGATCAGGGGTGCTCAAACTTTTTGAGACCAAGATCTACTTTTTCTCTCACCAGATGTTTGTTGTGATGTTTACTGCAAACGCACGTGGTAATTAGTCCAAGTTTGTCGTTTATTGAACGTTTAGAAACTACAGCGGCTGTGATGAACTGCAGTGAAGGTAAACACAGGTGAAACAACCCAAACAGGTGATCAACTCAGAACCACTCGCACCTTTTTACTCACTCTCTTAATCGTTTAAGCATATCAGTTGCCGTGGGAACCGCCTGCGTCCCGCAAGCAGAGCAGAGATTACATTAAAAACATAACATTCAGTCCGTTACGATATCAGGTTTCCAGGCTTGATATTCATTTCGCAATTAGTAATAAGCCTCTCATGAACACAGCGGTGGCTGAATAGTTAATTTAAGATCCTGTCAGTCTTTGAGTCGCCTTTTTATTTGTGAATTTATTTGTGAACCAAAACACATTGAATTGCGCAACACCTTGCTTAAACAATAATTACTGATTATTAATTTTAACACATTTTGTTGATTTTGTAAAAATTCTTCTTTGATTAAGCTACAAACGTTTTGGATATCAGTGAATATTGTCAGAAGAGGTATTGCTGGTCTCAATGTCCTGGCCGCGTTCAGTTTGTCACCTGCTGCTGTGATCGACTCAAAACCTTCCTGTGATCGACGTATTGAGCACCCCTGATTTAGATCTTCATCTTGTCCCAGTTTGTAGCTACATGTAAATGTGTTCAGTCTGTGTTGACATGACTTACCTGAGCAATGCCTCCAACCATCTTACTCTTGACCACCACAGCCTGGTCATCCTGAGCGTCAAACGCTGCTTTCTGCGCTGCTTTCACCAGGTTGTCTGATGCCCTCTTCACAGCATTTCCAGCAGCCTGCAGAAAAACAGTTCAGGACTCTAATTCTTTTTTTAAAAGGTTTTATTGGTTCTGGTGGCTTATATTTGAGTGTGGTCAGACAGAAAGTGTGCAATTAGTGTTACGGCCCCTAACCATTTAACGTTTGAGTGTAGGCTAATGTTAAACAGGTTAAAGTGTACTCCTGGATGTGTTAAAATGGTCTTTTTTGTAGTAGACCATTTTAAGCTCCACCTTTTTTTCCTCTGAAATCATTTTTATTTTACCGCCCTGATCCACTGGACATGCGGTCATAACAGAGAGAAAGGGGAAAGGCAAAGGACACTAACCTGTAACGCCGTTGCCAAGGACCCAGGATTCATACACACATTCTGGCCTCCCCCCACAGTGCACACGTGGACTTTGTAAATCTAATTTATATATATATTTTTAAATCTGACTGTAACACTTGTTTGGTGGAACTATCTGGGAATGGTGGGCATCAACAAATGCAAATGCATTGTTATTACAATCACACAAAGATGAGTCATTGAGCTTTGAGAGAGCAGCTTCATGCAGACTGTGGACAATAACTCTTGGAAGAAGAGTCCAGTTGTGTGCAGGGAGTCTGAGTCCTGCTTAGAGCTGGAGGCCAGCTTTAAAAAGCAAACAGAGCAATACTGACAGGCAACCATCTGCCCTCATTGGGCAGATCACTCCAGACATTGCAGCCTTCCCTTTTGTGGTTTTGAGAGCTCAAAGCAGCCAGTCACCTGGGTGAGGTCTCAACATGTGGTTAACACTTTCTTCACTGGTTTATGACTGGTTGGAATGTTGTTGCCACTCTGACTGACATAAAACATACGCTATTCTTCACCATGACCATCATCACACTGGAAACAAGAACGCTTTATCTCGCTAAAGCACTTAAACACATCAAAATGCTTTCAAAACAAATACAGGCCCTTTCCAAAAAAAAATGAATATCATGGAAAAGTTATTTAATTTCCATGCAAAATTAAAAAATTTTGGGTTAGATTCAGGGTCCACAGTTTAAACGATTTCAATTATTTTTTATTGTTACATAATTTGGGCTTCCAGCTCATAAAATCCACAGACAGGACGTCAAGAAATTGGAATATTGTGAAGAAATCAGCCTAAGGTACTTTTTTTGCAGATGAAAAAGAAATTATTTCAATTTTAATTAAAAAAATTCCCAGGGGCCGGGAGGAGGCCCTGGAGAAGACCCAGGACACCGTGGACGATTTATGTTTCTCAGCTGGCCTTGTTCCAGCCCTCATTGACAAGGAGGCGCTGGAACAAGTTGCTGGGGAGAGGGAAGTGTGGGCCTCCCTGCCTAAGCTGCTACCCCTACGACCTAACCCTGGATAAGTGGGAGAAAATGTATGTATGTGTGTGTGTGGCTCTGTGTGTCTGTATGTCTGTATGTATGCATGGATGGATGGATGGATGGATGGATGGATGGATGGATGGATGGATGGATGGATGATGGATGGATGGATGGATGGATGGATGGATGGATGGATGGATGGATGGATGGATGGATGGATGGATGGATGGATGGATGGATGGATGGATGGATGGATGGATGGATGGATGGATGGATGGATGGAAGGATGAATGGATAAAAAATTTTTATATGGTCAAGCTCAACAAAATTTGACTTGATTCCTGAAGAATTAAGATGGATTACATTAAATTTGGTGCAGATCAGCTGAAATATGTGAAATTTAGAGCCAATCGTATGATAATGGTGTCATGTCAGACTTTGCTTTACCGGATCAGTCTACAGAAATAGGTTTATGTGTTTGGAAGCAACACATAAACCAACTTATCAGTCTTCTGACAAAATGTCAAGTGGACTAGGTGAAAGGGGTCAGAAATTGACATTTTCTCAGTTAAAAAACTAACTTCTTGTTCATAGAAGTCAAATTTTTTTAAAATCTGACTGAAACAGATTTTCAGACAGAAAATCTGTTTAAGTCCAGAATATGAACTAGTGCCTAGAGCTTCTTGACCATGTCCCTTCACATGGGGGACAATTTCAGTAGTTTGGGCGGTTTTTAATGTTAAAAAAGCCAGTTCACTTATGACAACAATAATAAGACACATTCAAATTACAATTCATTTGTATTATGACTATTATGACAGTTTTATGTCTTCCATAAAAAGAAGACATAAAACTTAGTGTCTTCAGTTTTATGTCTTTACTATCAGTGGCTGCCCCACATTCAATTTCAAAGGACTGTGCAGTTACAACCTCATGAAGCAGCATAGTAAGTAACATCAAGAGCAAATGCTCTTAGTGTAATCATAGATCAGGACTAATGTTTCCAGTTTCAAGTGCCATGGAAGGACTAGGTGGATAGTTTCCAGTGCTTCTGTAGACGTAAATGTATGGGAATTATCATGGTAGCAGCTGCAGGCTCAGACGAGGAGGAGATAAGCCTCCGCTGATTGGATCAGAGAATATGAGCTGGTCTGGGCAAGCCCAAAGCCATGGCTACAGTACATACTCCCTTAAAAATACTATTTTTGGATGGATGAGGGGGGAAGAGATACCTGTGCTTTCTGCTGTGGTTTACAGGTGACTGCATTGGTTACAGCTAAAGGTCAGGACAACCCTGCTGAGCAACAGTGTTTCCACCACTGAGTCAGTGTTTTTAAAGAATTCTTTTACACAGAGTTCCAATTGTTCAGGCTGCTCTGCTAGCTGCTTACCTGATGAGTCTAGAGAAGTTCTGTCAAGCTGAGTTACAGTTCCTTACAAAAATGACAGTCACTCTCATTGCTAATAATATAGTTTGTCAGTTGTTGGAATTCTGCTTATTTTCCACTGAAGCCCTTTAGAACAGGTTATAGACATCAGGTTGTTTGTGACAAGAGGGAATCAATACTGGAAATACATTAAAGTGGTGCCTGGGTGAAAGCCTAAAGTTCTCTTTTTTTATATCCAGCCAATAACCATTCCAAACATGCACCAATTTATAACTGCTTTAGTGGCAACTTAAGTTACCGCTATTGACTACAATCACTACATAATTGTAGTTGTTCTTGTAGAACACATGTGTCAAACTTCAGTCCTCAAGGGCTGGTGCCCTGCAGTTTTTGTATGCTACAGGTACAAAACACTGAAATGAAGTGGCTTAATTACCTCCTTCTTGTGTAGATAAGTTCTCCAGAGTCTTGCTAATGACCTAATTGTTCTATTCAGGTGTGGTGCAGCAGAGGCACAACTAGAAGTTTCAGGTCACCTTTAGGACTGGAGTTTAACACCCCTGTAGAACAACCTGCCCATCAGATCTATCCTGACGTGGAGCCACAGTAAATATTCAAGTCTGTTTCCTTCTTACCGTTTTAGTGTGGTAAAGCCACTCTACAACATACAGTGTATTCTAATACAGAAACATAAACATTGACAGGTTATGCTAACCTGGAGCCTCTTCATGGTCTGTGAGTCCTGGTCAGCCTTGACCTTGCAGGCCACCAGGAGCTGAGCGGTAGAGGCCGCCACCTGCTTAGCTGAAGAAATGAGCTTCTCCTCACTGGCGTGTCCCTGGACCGCAGAGTTGGCTGCTTCACACAGGTTGTTGGTTGCTGCAGCAACCATCCGGGCCTAGATGATCGAGTGGAACCAAAGACAAAGCAGTTTACAGAGAATGTCTTACACCATCTGAGTTTAAGTTTAAGATGGCTGACTTACAGCTGAAATCAGGCCCTGAGACCACTGGCCATCATCCACCGCATTTGCTGGAATTGCTCCCACCTGAAAATATCATAGACTGGAGTTATACTGTATTTATTAGTATTCTAAGCAGTTCTAACATCAGCAGTTTTAAAGTGGATAGGAAGAGAAGGAATTTGACTGATCTGTTTTTTTTAGGGACCCAGAGTGATGTTGACAATAGTTATGTTTTGAAGTGTTGGTGCTGATATACCTTCCCCTGAGCAACAAGCTCCCTCTGAGCTGCTGAAGCTGCTTTAACCAGAGCACTTGTGGCAGCTGCAATCGATTTGGCTGCTTCCAGAATTTGCTCTTCAAAGTTCAAGCTCTCATCCGCCTCCTGTTAATTGGGAGGAAAACCAACCGATGAGAAACATATTGGTTCAGACCAGTGGACAACTTAAGGCCATGTCTTTACTAAAGGGCCAAACTACTGACAAATATACCCAGTTGCTCAAGATAATAGAGTTCCAAATAAATTTGAAACGGAAAGTATGAGCAGCAGAGCTCACAGAACATAAGATCTGTAATGCATGCTGACCGGCCGCCTGAGGTGAGGTTAACAAATTAGGTGTGAATGCCTGTGGCCTGTAAAAGGCCTGGTAACCTTGGGTTTGGTCCTTGGCCTCAGCTGCTCCAATTTCTTGGCAGCTGCTTCGATAGCGGCTGCAGCTCCCAGCAGCTCGTTCTCTGCGATGACAGTAGGATCCTCGGGGTCCACCCACTCTGTGCCTGCAGCACACAAAAATAACACCTTTCTCAGTCTGTACCAAACACAATGTCAGTCTTCACTCTTTCCAGAGATATTCATGCTTCATAAGAAAGCTGAGCTCATGTTAAATACTCCTCCACACATGAACAATACCTTCTCTGGGAATGACATAAGTTATCCCTTACTAGAAACTCCTCAAGATAAAGAGAATTAATAAAGTCCAACAGGGCTTTTCCCTGATGAGCTTCAGGTATGTTTAACAGAACAGTGAACAGTTGTTTTCATGTTGGAGCAGAATTTCAGATTTCTTTTTATCTCAAACAAGGTATAGAAAGCAGGATTAGAAAAAGACAGCAGCAGTATGCTGAGCAACACAAACAGCCTGGCAGAAGAGCTTGACATTGAGCTGCTTTGTGCAGATAGACAGTGTTTTAAATAATTTAAAGTATCATTCATTTTTATTGAACTGTCCAAAGGAATTTTCCTGCATTCATCTTATTATTAGTATTTTATTCTTATTACCCTAAAGCTGAAAATGATTTCACAGTGAGTGACTTTTGCAACATCAGCGTCATTCAATGTTAAAATGCATTTCCAAACTAGAACAGATCTCGTTCTCAACAGACTGTGTTAGTAATCTGCCGTTACAGGTCTGAGCAGCACATACCTTTCATTGCCTCAGCAGCCTGGATGAGCTCAGTGACGCTGCCAGCAACACGCTTGGAGAAGTTGGCAAGCTGCTGCTTCAGATCATGTGTGGGCTTCTGGATGATCTGTGAATGAAAAACTGCATAAAACGTGCATCCAAGGCTAACTTTTTATTCTATTCTACACACCAAAATGATTAAAAAGGATCTTCACATTTGGGATTATGTTCAAAAATTAATGTCCCATATATGACTTAAGTAACCAGGTTAAAAAAACAGCTATGCTGGACTGAAACATTCAGATCCCGACTGTCTTGAAGATTGTCATGAAGCAGCATCTTAGTCAATTTAAATGGCAGAGAAATGACCAAGAAGACCCCATATGATGATGCCATAGCTCTGGATACTTGTGATAGGTAAACTGGCATGTTAATAAAAGACAAACCTCAAACAAACTCCTATACATTAACTACAATGCTGGTTGAATAAATTCACCAACTCATACACACATTCCCACACTGTTGGCTACCTTATAGCCACAGCTCCCCTGGACCACACTGACAGAGGTCAGGCTGCTATACAACCAGCATCACTGGTGGCAAGACATAGTTCAATTTTTATCACAATGTTTTGCATTACTATTGTGATAAAAATAAAAGTAATAATAAGAAACATTTATTCCAACAATCGACAATGCCAACAGTTTTAGGGGTCTTTAAACATCATTATCTGAAATTTATTTTCACAACAATAAATGAAAATCTTATCTGAAAATTTTCACAATAAATGATAATAAATGCACACTCCTAAATGGTGCTCTGACTATTAGATTTGGTCAGAGCGCTTCACTCATCTGGTTCTGGTCACTTGGAAATAAAAAAAGAAAAAAAAGCTTGCTTGGAGAAACATAAAAGTTATAAATACAAAACCACCTATGTGTTTTTAAGTTAAGTCCTTTACAAAAAAGCACTAATCCTGAAACACACTGAGTGATGTGAGGGAACAAGAAACAGACCTTCAAATGAACAAATTAAAATTTTGATGTTAAAAATTTTATAACAAAATATACAGATAGAATTTTAACTTGGGGAAACTGCTTGTTCATTATTAATTCCATCTTACTGTGCAGCTCAAACCATTAATCTGAAAGTAAGGAGTGTGAAAAATTTAACTTTAAAAGTTATGCATAAGATCTTTATGAAATATGTGCTAAACTTGCCACCTGGTGGCGCTGGCCACAGCGCTTGACTGATATTGTGCTTTATGTTTTATCTGGCAGAGCAGAACTTAAACAATAAGCCATATAGATGGAAGACACTTCTTTTCTTCTCAGCTATATCTTAGTTTTGAAATGTAGGTGAGATTATGTCTGAGAGCAGGTTATTATTTTACAGGTGATGGGTATGGTTTAGGACAGATCGATGATGCCATGTGGAGAGCAGATGACGTATGAAATTTAGTGTAACATCTCAAGTAAAACCAAAATATATTCAATTTAGTGATCAAACTAAATAGAATACAATCAGCTAAAGTCTGAACCAAAAGATCTCACTGATTTCATAGCCCGAAGCAGTAGCTGTTCAGACAGAAAAGGCCCTTCAGTCACCAAGTAACGGGTGTTAGGTTAGATGAAGAAACTTCACATGAATGAAGTTAAAAAAAAACCTATGGACTCTAAATAATATAAAATCAGTGCTTTTTATTTCAAGAAATCATAGTAATGACAAAAGAAAACAGAATTTGATTCTAAAATTGACTATTAGCTTGTATTGCAGCCATCTTGCTCAACTCACTTTTAGAATGCATTGTTATAACATGACAGCAAACTCTGAACATAAATATCTACAGCCATCAGATGACTGAGTGACAAGAACAGCAGACGAGTGGGATGTGTTGGTGCTCTGATATAGCTGGGGCTCAGTTGGTGTCCTTACACTGTCCTAGAAGGGAAATATCCAGGTTGGAGCAGTGTGCAACAGGTGCAGGGAATTAACAGAGCTCAGGCCATACTCAGCTCAACTTTATTCAGATGTGATGTCAAAAGAAGATTGACGTTACACCTTAGGAACGCATGCAGGGAGCCAAGCTAATGCCAACGGCAAACAAAACCTCCCCAACAACAATCTGATGTTAATTCAATGTGTGTGTAGTCAAGACACACCTGGTGGATAATCATGAGGAAATTATTCTTTCTGAATATGAAATACTTGGTTTCAGACAAAATCAAGCTTTATGAAGGGTAGTATGATATTTAGGGATTTAAAGGTTTTATTCTACATTCTTCATGATAAAACATTAGCAAAACCAACCAACTAATGACACTGACATGCACAATCGTTATTAAGAGATTGAATCTTATTATTGTCTAACCAACAAATCACTACTGAAAGACTCACCTACAGTCAGCAGTACACATACAATAGACCTACACACCTACAATTCAGAATATCGATGCATTATTGTGAGTGGGGAAGACACCTAATGGTCAGACTACTTTTCAAACAGCATAGCCCCACACATGTGCACTTCAGTCATGCTATGTACTCACTACTCACCGGCTAGCCCCAACATCAGTGAGATACCAGTTTTAAGAAACATAGGCAAACCATTGCAAAGAAAAAAAAAAAGAGAGAATGAAAATGTCAAATCAGACATTCTGTGAGATTTGTGCTCTGGGGCACGATTGAGGGTCACATGACACAAAGCCAAAGAGTTCCCAGAAGAAGGTCTTGAAGGTATGCAAAGCTGCATCTGAATGAAGCAAAACATTTATGGTTGTTTCTGACTGATCTGTCAATTTTTGTAGTTAGCACTGGCAGCATTAGGAGAAGTCAGTTAATTTTTTCATAGATTATCTGTTTTGTATTACACTGTCACGACATGGTGACACTTTTAACAATGTAAAGAACATATTACACTCGAGTTAAACAAGTGGACAATAACTGTCTGAGATTTTAGTTGATGTACATTTTAAATGGCAGCAAATGGTATGTAAAAAGAAAACGCAACCTAAAAAATAAAGAGTAGCAGGACTCTACTCTACTCTAAGGTGGCTCTATTCTGCTAGTGATGGACGGACCCACCAGCCCTTAAACTCAAACCAATCTCAAAACTTTAACTTATCAGTTAAAAGAAAGAGAATGCCATCTTACCACCAGGACATGTTCTAGCAGTCCCAAATATCCTGAAGCACATTCGTTACCATAGCGTAAAGCACGCATCTGGACGTCCTTGCTGACCTCTGGGTGGTAGGCAGCTTCCTGAAAAACAAGAGGAACATGCATTCCATTTCCATTATTGAGAGCCACAGCTGGGCACAATTGCTCTTCACAATGTTGGCCAAAAAGCACCACAAAGTACATTAAAACATAAATGCTTATGGCACCCAAATAACTAGCAACAATCCTGACTACACCTGTTCAATAGCTAACAGATCCCTCCAACACATGGTGGATATAGGCATCAAGACATGGTGCAAAAGTCAGAGCATGTAAACAAACAGGATGACAAAGAAAGAAGATATATGTGACATTAAATGCAGCATTGCTCTTGATGCCAGATAGACAGTTCTAAACATTTAAAAAACTGCTGATCTGATGGGTTTTGTAATCATTTTGTGTTAACAAATAATGTTCCAAAAATGAAGATAAAAACCCCATTGAAAGTATATAAAATTTATTCCAATCTTGAATGTGGATACTGGAAATTGTGGAATGGAAGAGCTGCATTATGGATGTGCAACTGAGAAATTTGCAGCAATTGTGTGATGCCAAAATGTACATATTGACCAACATTTGGGAGATGTTTTTTTATTCCATTTTAATGCCCAGTCATGAAGAATGAGGGCAGTTTTGAAGGCAATAGGGAGCCCAACTTATGCAAATAAATGTCTGTTGTACCTTGCAGGAGTGCAGCATGTCAGCAATGGCTCGTCTGCTGAGGTTAGCAGTGGCGATGATGTCCTCCTGGCGACATGAGTTCCCCGCAGCCACTGCCTTCGCTGTTGCCACGGTGATTCCTTTTGTCATACGAATAAACTCCTCTGGTGTGGTCGTTTTTGGTGGGGGATCAGAACTACAGAAAACCTGAGTGCCAACAACATAATTAGATAGTGACTACATAACTCAACAACAATTATTTTTGCATGTATTTTACTCCAACAGAAATTTTTCATCCATCCCAGCTTTCATAAAGCAAGGTTATGTATGGCCACCAAACATGCAGAACCAAGTATGCGGAGATTTACAGTCAGCTCCTGCTTGATGTGTTCAATAGTGGCCTCTAAAGCTCTGGTTCCCTTGGTGGCTTCATCCTCCACTGCCTTGACAGTCTTAAGCAGAGATGTCACATTGGTCACCATCACCTGCAGAAGAAAAGTTGAGTTTAATTGCCACAAATCAGGCTGATCTCAACGTTCCTCAAAACTATACAGGGGGAATGGACAGCGGGACTGCTGCAGTGCATATTATCACCTTCATCAGAGACTGGATGCAGCTACTGAAGTACGTTAAAACAGAACGCATTACTCTTGACTTGTGAATGAGGGTACCAGCAGTTCTTTTGCTTTACCCCTTTTACGGAATATAAAGGGTATATTTTCTAATACATTTTTTAGATTGACAGTGTGTTGTTCTAAAGGCAACTAATTAACCACAGCAGAAGTGTCTGCATTCATAGTTAAATTAGCATTTATAAAAACAGTTCAGATACACATTAAAGTATTTCCATAGACATAATAATGTTGTATCTTACCAGCCTCAGGTTGGTCATTAAATCCTAATTTGGTGTTTGAGATTGAATTTAAAAGTGTTTAAATAACATCAGAAGTCTTTTTGTATAAAATGTTTATGAAATTTACCTTAAAGTCTGTAGATGCACTACAGTAAATTATAGTTATGTAATACCAATAGACATTTGTCTGCTTGAATGCAATATGTGGTCTGATGGTTTATTCCAAGTGTTCTGTATGTCAATATTTCTTCTGCCTGGCCTGTGCAGTAACACTGCCATTTCCAGTATTACTGCATACCTTTGTTTATTCAGTGGTTGTTCTTCAGTTGGAAGCAACATTATACTTGTGGAAAGCTTAATTATAATGTTGACTCGATATAGATGTGGCATTAACAAAAAAAAGATATAATGTGGTTCACAATTCTACTACAGAAAACAGATTAATAGTAAAATGTAGTGGTGGCCTTTGAATATTACCTTAGCAGAACTCTTAAGCTGGAGCATGCTGGGGTCATCATGAGGTTTACCTGCAGCTGCCTTAGTGGCACTAATTAGGTTACCCAGAGCTTTGGCCACATCCTTCACTGCATTAATCAATACCACCTGAAGAGAACAAAGCACATTAGAGAGTGGCATATATTCAGCCTTTGTCTCCACACAACATATTCAGCGCATACAATTTCTCAGAAAGTTAGTTTCTGAGAATATTTTTTTCCCATTTTTTTTTATTTTTTTGTTTTAATGAAGCATTGACCAGCTTTACAGAACATGCATTAAGTGCCTGAGAATTGTACATTCTCAGGCATTATAATATCTATAAGAGCTCCCTTTATTTATTTATTTATTTTTGTTGCTGATGTTAATCACCTCTTAGGACAATTACTGATGTAAGTCAGTAAAAACAACTTCACATCCAGATGATTGCACGTCAAACTCCTACCACATCGCCACCATCAGTATAAACAAATATACAAATACATAAAACAATTAAAACATATTTATAAAACAATTGAACAACTGGGTTCCAAACATGAGCTAAAATACTCAATGACAAAATTATTTGGCTTTAAAGTAATTTTAATATGACTTTACAGATCTATGCCAGTAGGTGGAGCACATATTATGAAAAAACTTAGTAAATGTGCTAATACAATCCATTTACTCTCATTATTGTCATTAAATAATGAGAGTAAATTATTTTAAAAGGACTAAAAAAAAAAATTGCTGAAATTAGTCTTCAGCTTCATGCCAACAGCAAACCATCTGACAACCAACACTGCTATTTGAACATTTGGTTGTTTTTTTTGTGATCTGCAAAATACTGACAAAGCAGCTCATCTCAGCTGATTCCAAGCCTGCAACAATTTGACAACAAGCCTGAAATGTTCTATATATTCTATTTCTTATTTTTTCTTTCCTTGTGTCTATTTTAACTGTATTTTCATTTTATTCAGACAGTATTATCTGACAGGGGGACAAACAATGGAAACCTGCCTTGCCTGTAGTTGAGTGGATTCATATTTGTGTTATTCAAAAAGGATCATTAATACAAAATGCTCCTCTTCTAAAAATAAACTAAATTAAATGAAAATCCATCTGTTCCTAACAAAAGATTTTACCAAAGTGAGTACTTTAGAAAACAAACTCTCCCAAAAATATTTGAAATGCTCTGCAAAGCCTACTTGAGTCTCAGGGTCTTCAGAACCCAGGCTGGCTGCTCCCAGTTTGACCACATCAGCCAGTCTGGTTATGGTGGAAACCGAAGACTGGGCAGCCTGAGCCAGTTTCTCCTGACTGGCTCCCGCACCAGACACCAGCAGCTTGGTGTCCTCTACTAGGGCTTTGGCTGTCTTCAGAATGCATTCTCTGAAAAACAACAAAAGTTATGAGTTAAATCACCATGGCAATATAACTACCTCCAATTTTAGACATTTCTTTTACTTGCTTGTAAACAAGACAAAGCAAAGTGACGAGTATTATGCTCCTTCAAGGGGCAGCAATGTGCATTACCCAAGCACATTGGGCCATTTTGAAGCAGAAATCAAGTAACTACCTTCAGTTGTTAAAAAAAATGCTATGACTATAAAATATAAGACATAACTCAAAAGAAATATTAAGTAATTTAACACATGGCATATCGCACATCATTACACTCCAGGCATATTTTTGATGAGGGAGTAATAATGCAAACCTCAAAAGAGTTGATTGTAATCAATAATAATAATAATGGAGGAACTGGGTTCCTAAGAAAGAAATTCAAATAATTGACTTTCTTTAAAAAATAACAAATAAAAAGCACACTTTGTGTTAATAAACAAAAAACTGTCCAAAAAATTTGTTTTAAAATATTAAATAAATTTACATGTGCGCCCAACATAACTTTACAGAGATCTATGCCAGTAGGTGGAGCACATATTATGAAAAAAACTTACTAAATGTGTTAATACGATCCATTTACTCCCATAATTGTCATTAAAGTAGTTTTTATCATATTCAATTTATTCTTAAGGGAATTAAAACTTAAATAATATGATATGATAAGCATATTCAGCACTACTAGCAAAAGGATTCATGACACACACCAAGTGAGAGGGCTCTAAATGAGAACCTGGTACCTGTGGTCAGCAAACGTTTCAGCATTCTCTCTATTAAGGGTACCAGCAGTGGCAAACATAATGGTTGTGTCGAGATCTGCAATGATTCCAGAAACAGCACTTGCAGCTGTAATACAGGCTTGGGTGCCACGGTTACCAGCTTGAAGGGATGCCAAAACATGAGAGACCTAGCACAAAAAAACAAAGGGACATATTTGAGAGTCTGTGTCAGAGCAAACATAAGGCACTTTTCCACTAGCCGACCTCTAACCAGTTCAGTCCCAGTCATTCCCGACCACAGTCATTTCCCATTAGCAGATCCAGTGCTCCTCTGCCCAGCTGTTCTCATGTATTGATACCTACTTCACACTGAGCCGAGTACAGCACCAAACCAATTTAAGTTGGTTTGGTCTGATGACTTCACATCAAACTCCAAAACCACATTATAGTTTAGCTGTGAACGGCAGACAGGCAATTTGCTATCAGAGAGCTGCTCAGTATGGAGGAACAATTATGAATTTTATCACAAGCAGAGCCAGGAACACATGCAGAAAGTTCTGAAATGACTGTGATTTAACAGTGCCACAGCAGGTCGTCTCACAGAAGAACAGGCAGCAATAAAGAAGAGAGAAACTGTGCTATGGTCAGTTCTGTCAGAGCTGTAATTTTGTACCGATAATCAAAAAAAAGAAATAAATAAACTTAATTTCTAGCACATTTCAAAAAATTGCCAGGGTAGCCAAAGTGCTTTACATTAAAACAGAAATGCGTAAGAAACATGACAATAAAAATGCTTCAATCACAACTACAAATCACAAACAAAAAAAGACATCATTATGTTAAAAAATTTCAGACCTTCTCTGAGACTTTGCGGGCGCTTTCAATAAGTTCTTTCTTAGTAAATGTGTCGTTGGGGCTACACTGTAGAGCTCCAGCTTTGGTAACCAGACCTGTGCAGGTGAAGCCCAGCTCTCCCACTTGCTTCTTAATGTGAGAACCAATCTGAGAAATAAAACAGTAGAGGAAATAAAATACATGAAATGTATAAAAATTAACAACATGCTTGTCAGCAGAAGTATTTATTCACTTCATCATTTTCTGCAGTGAGTGCTGCATATTTGGCCTCATTTGCGAGATTTCCAAAATTATTGGTCAATTGGTTGGCCAGTCCTCCAAGGTCATCTGGGTTGGTGTTGGACTTAGTCACCTGAAGAGAAATGAGAAAATATTACAGTCTGTGGATTCAGTCGGAATGAGATGTTCAGAAGACTGAACATCTATCTGAGGAAAGCTCTATATGACAGCTTCATGAAGGCACTGAAACATTAACAGAAAAACCTAACTAGATTTCTGAGAAATACTAACATTTTGTCAGATACACTTTGTTCTTACCATCTCCTGTACAGTAACAGCAATGGCCTTGGCTGTCTTCACCATGGTGGTCTGGTAATCTACGAAGGTGCCATCTGGTTCATCTGCAGGCCCGTCTTCCATTTTATTGATGGCGTCGTTGATGGAGCCCACCATGCCACCCACAGCACCTGCTGCACTAGCTGCCTCAGCCAGTGTGGCCCCAAGGTCATCTACTGCTTCTTTCATCATCTGCACTGAATCCTCCAAAGCATTCTGCATGTGTGCTGCCTGCAAGAAGAAAAATAGGCAAGTGGGTAAGGCTGACAGCTCAAAATCACTGAGATTTAGAATATTTGTTTTCAAAAGAAGATTTTTTTTCCCCAGGCTTTAAACTAAAGTTAGCCTGATTGGGATTGAGTATGATGTTCTTTGTGTAAAATACGCCAAATACATCAAATGATCGAAGATAGGTAAATCCTAATAAGGGTTTTTCTTTATTAAAAAAAAACTGAAAACTGAGTGGCTATAGCAAATTCATCGAATAGTAATTATTTTATTATGCTCGCACCTGACAAAGGTTTTCCAAACAACAAAGGGAGGTGTTGCATTTCATATTTTGAAATATAAAAAAAAAAAATTTAAAGATTTGATCAAAAAGCACTCATTTGTGGAAACGCCTCCAAAATTATAAGCTGTAATTTTTCAGCTTATTATTTCTGATGCAAATCAGAAATAATTCTGATTTGCATGGTATATGTAAGGATAAAACAAACACATCACGTTTTGTGAACAAGGACATGAGAAGTATAGGTAAAGATCCAGAGAACTCAGTTCAGTACCTTGGGATTTCCTCCAGCCTCCTTGGCGGTATAGAGCATCTGCAGCGCTGACTCTGCCAAGGTCTTGGTCTGGTCTAAGACAGCCATCTGCTGCTGGCTGCTGAGGATCTTGGACGCTGTGCCAATGGCAGCCATGATCAAGGGCTCAAAGTAGCTAGCCATCTGAGAAACCTGTGAGAAACAGTTCCAGGAAGGAGAAGCACATGATCAGCCTTCCAATGCACCACCATCTGATGAGCACCAATGTTTGGGCATATAATGATTGGAATTGTGAAGCCAATTCCTGATTTTTAGAAGAAATATTCTAAAACAATATTGAGGCAGTATATAAAACATTCCTTTATAAACGTTTGCTAAGTATTTATTAAGGGTGCCCTAATTTATCTGCCAGCAGATTTATTGGTGCTGATTTCCTGAATCTTGGGAGATCTTTGATCGGCTGACACTTACATGTGAAGCCGATCTTATCCACCGATCTTTTCTACCACAGCAAAGTCTAAAAATCCGCCACTGTCCACTTCTGCTCTTCAGTGAGAGGTTTGAATGACAGATCAGTCCACCAGCTCATGTCTGTACATTTGAAGTTAACAATAGTCACCCCACTGTTGACAACTCAGCCATTTTCTTGCTATATTTGACATTTCAGTCAAAAAATTTGGTATGGGCCAAAATCTGAATGGGCAGGTCAGACTTTTTAATCAGCCATTGGCCAGAAAGCTGCAATAAATGCAGCGCTAGTGTTTACATTAGGAGACATCAAGTCATTTTGTAAGAGAAGTCACATATGGCTATCTAAAACTCCATGTCGAACAGTGTGTGTTTGTAGTGGTGCTTACTTTGTGTCCCAGCTGGGAGGCCTCCGATCGAGCCGCCACTGCCACAGGATCAATCAGATTACTGATCTCATGAACTGAAGCAGCCATCTGTTCATGAAGAGTCTACAATACAAGCACATTGGGAAAGCCACTTCAATTATCATTCACTTCTAGATCCAGAAGCTGATCAAAACTACCTGGCAAGGTCATTTCATTGTAATCTTTATAATATTCATTGTAATCTTTATAATAAAAAGCAATTTGTCACAAAAAAAATGGTGCTGATTTATTTTATAGTTTTTTAGATTTTGAAAAATCATAGTTTTTGAATTACTACCCAAAGTTCCTATAAGGTAGTATACATGAGCCCCACTCATTGGTATCCAGAAACTATATTCTGGATACCACTTACAATATATTAATTGTTACACCTCAAGAAGACTTTTAAACTTTATTCTCTCTATATCTCTTTCTTGGACAAAGCCACTGCAGATGTTACTACTGTGATTAACTGCTACCATGGCATGAGCCCTGTTTTCCATTCCCAAAGATAGTGATCTGTGGGAAGTAGTGTGCTGACTTCAAGTATTATTGTGTCTGGTTGGTTCTCCCAATCCCCAGCAGAACATAAAGTATGTAAAAATTGATAGCATTTTGAAAATATTTAAGAAGTAAAAATACATATTGTGATAATAGTGGTAAACATGCTATAAAGCACAATAAATCTAATAACGCACAATTACTAGTGCAAATAAAGGGAATAACTTAAGAAACTAATTTTCTTCCCAACAGTAAAATGGCACAAAAAAAAAAGAAACTATCAAAGCAACCAAAAGCGTCCCTCTTCTTGAATTAAGTCAATGTGTTTCTGTACGTATTGAATAATGTTTAAAATAGTGCTTCACAGAACACAGTCAAACCAATGTCTAAAATAAATCATGAATCAAATCCAAGATAAATATAAAAACTAAAATTTTGATAGGCAAAGTTTATAACAAGAAAATATGAAAGCTCTCAGCTAACAAAATAACATCTTTGCTTAATCAGAAATGACTTTTTCTTGTCAACTTTTAAAGCACATTATGAACCACCAAGGAGGAAAAGTAGCATTTAGAGCTGTCTTTACCTCCATAGAGATGTCGTCTCTGGGTGTTAGGTGTTGGCTTATTGCAGCCAGAGAGGCCTGGTCAACCTCACGGATGCAGCCGTTCAACACCTCTATAGCGTCATCACATTCTCTCTGGCCTGGAGCCTTTTCTCTGCACACATACAGCAAGAGGGAAGGAGTGATGAGAGCATCACTCTCATCAGTGATGCTCTCATCCTAATAAATGTGAAGGAACAATATCTTTATTTCATAAATGTAATTTGTAAACATATACAAACCATGACTGAAAACAACAGTTACCAAATGTAGGATTAAAGTCTTGATACAGAGAGACATGGTTTAATGTGACGTTCTAAATCTACAACAATAAACTGGAATAATGTTGTAAGAAGAGTTGAACCAAATTTCTCCCCAACACATGTTTAAATGTTTGCTGATAAAAGTAGTTTCAGCAGGCTAGTAAATCTGCATTAATGTACCATTTACTGAATGATAGTGACAGACAGTATTGCTGTGTCCTTCTTTTAGAGTTGTATTTACTACATGTGAAAACAGACATTGTAGTTGTTATGGTAACATTAATAAAGTGAATAAATAAAAATAAAATAAAGAAATAATGTAAAAAATATACAAATGCACTATGTGAATGAACCTAAGCCTTCATAATATTGTAATCCTTTAAGATGCTTCTTCATCATTCAATATTACAGTGTGTATTATATTGGTCATGTAATATTATTCAGCGTTATAATTTAAAAATTTATGCTGAAAATCTGTTTCATCATACGGAGATGGGAAACAACAGCAGTCAGACTGAAGCATACCTCATGTTGGTGATGAGCTTCTTAATGGAGTCAGACACAGTCCTCGAGTGTCCCGCCAGCACAGACCACTTAGGAGGGTCTTTGGGGTTGACTGCCAGGGACCGGGCGGTCTGAATCAGGCCCGTCGAGCTCTCCAGCATCATCTGTGCTGCTGTTAAAATGGGCTCCATGGCTGCATGTCCCTGAAGAGTTTGGATTAAACTCGTTTTTAAATGACTTCATAACATTTGGCACAGCTTCTGTTTTACTGTGATAAATGTTATCAATGGCTAAAAGCTGCATGTTTACTTCCTCTGTTATTCCAGCAGCCTGTCTCTTTTACTTTAACTAATGAAGAATATTTTCCTCTGGACTTATTAAAGCTTATTTCCCCCTTTATAAATTAGCTGTTTTTTCTACTTAGTCTTATTAAATGTGACTTAAATAAGTGTTTAGTCAGCAGCAACAGCATCTCCAAATGTTGTTCATTTGTTTTTCTGTAGTTTTTAAATGTACTCCTCATTACTGTTAACAAGTTGTTAGCGTCCAAAAAGTTATTGCAATGTAAATGTAAGAGTCACTGTTTTGTCTTTGAAAGGTGAAAATAAGGACCACACATCTAAACAGGTTGCTCAAAAATGTTCAGTATCCAATACAGTTTTCCCACCTTTCAGGATCAGCCTTCCAACTTTGGTTCAAACAGTATGTTGACCCATCACGATAAGCATTCTTGTTTAAGCATTCATTCTTAAACAAGAATAACAGTTTTAATGCTTCAAATTGAACATATGAATTTGCTGGTGCATCATCAGTATCTATTTTAGTGATGTATTGTTATATATGTTTGAAGGATAAATGAGATGGTTAACTTGTATCATCATGAGGAAAGAAAATGATTCACTTTTAGGTTTCTCAAGAAAACTTTTTAATAACAGTGCAAAAATTGTTATTAAACAAATCAGGTTTGTTGGTTATTAAATTAGTGAAATAGAATCCAAATATAATCCAAATCAAATGTAATCACAATAACACTATGTGTTGCCTTATTAAGGAAGCAGTAAACAGTTGAAAGGTTAGGAGAGCACTAACCTCAGGACTGATATGAGCAGGAATGCTGGCGAACTCTGGGTTTGAGGCAAAGGCAGTCAGGTTGTCCACAGCTTCTATCAGAGGGCCAGTAGCAGCCTTGCACTTCTCTCTATTCTCCTGATTAAAGGCTCCATCTAAAGCCTGCAAAAGAGACATCAATCAAAAGTTTCCAAAAGACTCAAAGTCTAGAGCTAAATTCTCTAGTTATGCTGAGAGATAACTGTTGCTTAGTTATGGGACCCTCTGGACTAGTTCCTAACAATCAGTGTTCTCGGGAACTCATTTTTAAACTATTTTTCTACTTAATGTGCAGTAAATTTCAAGCGTTAAAATCCAATCAGGACTGAGCTCAGCAACCAGTATACACAACTAAGATGTTTATAAATCATGTGAGAGATTTTGTCATATTACAAACCTTAATAGATTTCACCAGGTTGGCAGTGGTGTTGGCCACTTCTTTGGCTGACTGGACAAACTGTCTCTTGGCAACAGGGTTAGGCGTTTGGGAAGAGGCCAGGCGACAGGCGTTACACAGGGCTGAAGTGTGTTTGGCAACAATGGTCGCTGCAGAAAGCACCTGAGCAGAGAGTAAGTGAGCAAGTCACCACATGAAGGATCATTCTAAGAGAAACCAAAACCAGCTCAAGCAACGTGATAACCACAAACCTGAGACTGGGTGCAGGCTGGATCCACCAGGTTCTGGCAGGCCATCTGGATAGCCTGGTTAGCCCGGGCAAACTGAGTGGGATCCACAAGACCTTTCTGGCCTGCTACACTGTTAGGGTCTGACACTCCCACCAAATAAGCTGCCTAGACATACCAGCAGGTCGATGGTCACAACACTCAACGTTAATAAACAGATAGTATTATACAGAAAGTATTTTACCTGTGCAGCTGCTTCAGTAAGACCACACAATGCTTTGGATCCAGCACTGACCGAGTCTCCAAACTCTGGCAGGTTAGAATTTTTGGCATTGTGTGAAATGCCTGCCATGGACTCACCGAGAACCTGTCCAGAACAAGCAGACAATCAGCTGTGCCACATAAAAAGCTTTCATGCTTCTACTATTAGTGTTTCAGTGACAGAACAGTGTCTACAGCTTGTTTTCAACCTCAACAATTTAGTCTGTAAGAGAAACCTTGCAGAATGGAAATCAAATAAGATAAGAAAAGCAGTTGAGTGTGTGATGTACCTTAGAATTCTCCATGACGCTGTCAATGCACTCGAAGAACGACTGTTCATTCACTGCCTCGGTGGGGTTCTCCAGCATCCCTTTCACTGACTGCATATAGAGACCAAACTTTTGCAAACTGTTTCTGTTACTGCTGTCACACTCTATGATATATGATGACATACTAACTCTAATGGACTGGAAATCGGTATCAAAGTTTTAAAAAAAATGTGCAGTCCTTGGCACAGCCAAGATACTGCGCAGAACCCTCAAGATATATTGTATTTAAATGTTCTTAACCCCAAAAAGCATGACCTAACCCATTCCTGGACAATTTCAGCATAACTTTTCTGCACATATAATGAATGTATGTCTTGAAGGAATAACTTTCAGGGACAACCAGTCAGACAACCATTTGTCAGACTAGTTGTCTGACAACTTTAAGATTGTTCGACAAGTATGAGAAAAAAACAATCCCACTGCAGCAAATGTGCCTCTTTTTGTTGATGTTGTAGCACACTGAATTTTTACACCAATAAATGTAGGATTCATGCAACAGGCACACATCATAAACATAAAAAGACAGACAGGAATGCATTTGATGTTTTGTAAAAGGAGCTCCATTTCTGCATGCTTGGTCCAAGATAGCTCCAAAAACAGTTTTAGTCATGTCAACATACTTGCCACAGCCTAAGAAAGATATGCTGTGAGTCACATGAGTCACAATGGCCAAATATTATCCCTGTTTCTAATCTTCTGATATCTGAACTGAAAGTTACAATGACACTGAAAACCAGACTTGATGCTTCACACATAGTATAAAGTTATATGGCAACTCATGAATGGCAGCTTTAGCATGACAGATTTTACCTCCAGCTCTCTGAGAGCGTTGTCACACTCCTTCTGACCTGGAGCCTGCTGAGTGCACATGGTGATGAGCTGGTTGATGCTGTCTGTAACTGCCCTGGAGATATAAATACTCACACATGTTAAGTACAGACAAGCTATGGAGAAGTCACAGTCTTACAAGTGAAAGAGGATTTCTCACCGAGCTGCTGCTGCTAGCTGGTTCTTCAGGTTGGGTGAGCTGGGGTCAGTGGACAGAGCCTTGGCTGCAAGCAGCAGCTTGCTTGATGACATAGAGATAGTTTTCAGGTTGGACACTACCTGTGTCTGATCCTCTTTGGACTGCAGGAGACAAGAAAGGCTGAAAGTTTGAATTCAGTTAGAGCACTAAATGCTTATTCTTGAATAAAGCTGCTGAATGTTCAGCTTTGTAAGGCCAGGAGAATTTAAATCAGAAATTTGACCTGTTGTATGAACTCGTAAGCCACATATGCTAACAACATGCAGTGTTTTTAAAAAAACAAAATAAATAAATGTGAACTTACGTGCTTCTTAAAATCCTGAACAAAAGTGTCAAAAATTGAAAAATTTTTGGAATACTAAAAACCACAATCCAAATTTATAGAAGAAAATAACTAACTCAATGGACACTGCAGAGCAGAAGAGTCTTAGTTTCTTAATTTCTCATTATGATGACCAAATATATGTACTCAGTAATGATCGTTTAATATGTAATAACGTATCATCATTCTTCTGCCACAGAATTCAACTACCATATCATGTTAGAATCTTTGCTGAAATTTGCTTATGCTCCACTAGTTTGGGTTCCTGTAACTTTTTTAAGACACTTTCCTATATTTTCTGATAGCTCTTTGCCATCTCCTTATTACTTCAGCTGCTATAAGTTGTCTCAAAATTGTGACTTAGCCAACATGAACTCTATGGCAGTCTTATCTAATCCTACCTGGGAGGTTCCAGCCATATCAACACCAGCATCCAGGAAGGTGTTGAAGTCTTGTCCAAACTTGCTGGTAGCCCTGGCCAGGTCCTGGGTGGTCCCTCTAGATGCCTGGACCACCTCATTGGCTGACTGGTTAAGGCCAGCGGCCACCTCATTCAGCTGAGCCTGAATTTCCTGGAAACTTCGTCCACTGGACGGGAACTACAAGGTTAGAGAGATACCAATGTTAAATGGGGCATAGGGAAATTAAAAATAAAATAACTCATGTTTTTTTACTTAAGAATACACAAATTAGAAAGAGGTTTTTATCTGAAATTTAGAAAAATATAAAGTAGTGTCCAGTGTTTACTCTAGTCATTAAATACTTCTTCAGATTTTATAGCTAGAATTACATCACTCCCTTCCCTTTAAGCTCAACCCTAGAAAAAAACACAGATGTTATTTTGGACAAAGTTAAAGGAAATTTAAGAAAAAAGAAAGTGTAGCAAATGATTTAAAAAATGCACAGCAATACATTGTTGAAACCTTCAGTAGCACTTTATTTGATGGGGTGTATATAAGACTGTCATGAAACTGTCATAAACATCACGTAACCTGTCATGAAAATGAATGAGATTTTATGAATGCTTCTGACTGTTGTCAGTAAGTGTGATTCTGTAAATAATGACACTTCTAATGAAAAGTTGACAATTTTAAAGAACTTTTGATGCAAGTTTAATACAACTTTGCTTTTAAAAGTGTCAGTATTTACCAAATAATGCAAAGTTGGCAGTTTTAATGCACGTTTAATGCAAATTTGCATTAAAAGTGTGATAATTTACCAAATGACCCTTCATGACAACAGTGAAACATTCATGAAGACTAGTTTATGTTCATGACAAGTGTTATGTCATGTTTATGACAGTGTAATGTCAGTCTTGTGCACACTGTCTAATAAAGTGTTACCAAAACTTCTATTTTCTATTTTAATTAAATAAGTGTTTTCCCTGTAAAAGAATGAAGAGGTGTCTTGGCCTTATTTGAAGATCAAAAAAACTATTCAAGGCTACTCAATTGTATGAAAAGTGTCAGAAATTGTATCATCGATGTAAAGCGGCCTCAAGGATAGTTTATTAATACAAACATTACCTGATACCTCTTCTTTCATTTGTTCACTATCACTACTGTTAATGGTAAAGAAATCTGGTAAATTAAGATGCAGTATGGCTCTTGTACTGAAATGCAATGCCCAATCATAACTATTGTCAAATTTTGCTGATGATCACTGTAAAAAATTTTTAGTAAAAAAATGATCATCAGGAGCCATGTCTCCAAAAGGATTTTCTCATTCTGACTCGACTACATAATGGTGATTGCTGTACTAACAGAATCAGCCAGAAGTGATCTGCTGGCCTCGCCCACTGTGCGGATGGCATTGTCCACATCCCTCTGACCAGGAAGGGAGTTAACACATCTGTTCAGAGCCTGGGACACTGCCTTGGCCACCTACACACAGGTCATAAAGAATAGCATTTATTACTCTGATAATCAGGAATATTGAAATATTGTTTTTCTTTCTGAAGCTTTGTGTCTGACCTGAGCCAGCCTCTGTTGGCTCTCTGCATCTCCTGGCTTAGCGATCACCCCCTTAGTTTCTTCAATCAGTTTGGCTGATTTGTCCATGACATCACCAGCACAGTCCAGCACGGCGCTGCGTGTTGCTGGGTCATCTGTGGTAGCAGCGACCCCTCTGGCTGCCGAGGCCAAGGTCTTCAGAGTCTGGGCTATATCTCTGGCTGACATGCCTAGACGCAACAGGAGGGCAGTGAAACCTGAGTCTGTACCAACATGGAAGGTCACACTAAACATTTGGTGAAAGAGAATGTAAATACATAATTAAGTCAAGTAATTGGGAGGCTTAAATCAAACTTCCCCATTTTGGACCACCTATAAACCAACAGAACTGTTTTCACGTATTTCCTGTAAAATTGCATAGCTTTTACAAAGCATGTTTGGAGCATCTTCTGCTCCTCCGGGAGGTGCATTCATTTTACCCACCTATGTAGTTTTCATCTCCTTGAGTGGCTTCACTCAGGAGTTGGGCGATACCTGACGTGATGGCTTTGGTGCTGGTGCCCAGGTCCTGTGAACATTTTTCAAGCTGAACAACAAAACAAATAGTTAGACCAACTTCCCATGATTCAGAATCTTCTGATCTACATCCACTGTTTAAAATGAAGCTTAATCTTATGAGAATTTTCAGTCCAACGTATGTCCAAGCTAAATAAGCTGGTCTGTGTGCGCGAGTGTGCGCGAGTGTGCGCGAGTGTGCGTGAGTGTGCGCGTGTGTGCGCGTGTGTGCGCAAGTGTGCGTGAGTGTGCGCGTGTGTGCACAAGTGTGCGCGTGTGTGCACAAGTGTGCGCGTGTGTGTGCGAGTGTGCGCGAGAGTGTGCGAGTGTGCGCGAGAGTGTGCGAGTGTGCGTTCGTTACCGTCTCGCCTGGCAGCGGTTTGAGTTTGCCTGCTTGAGCAGAAGCCTTGGCATCCTGGATGTTCTTCTCCAGATCTCTCACCATGTTCAGAGCATTATCTATCTCCAGCTGACCACAAGCATCCTGGGCCTGAAACATGTACACCATTTAGCATGTTTGTCTGTTTTCATGTCTCCTGTCATCCATCAACATGGGGCAGGAGACAATGATTCAGGTGGAGGTCATGACCTTTTACCTTCTGTGAGGCAGTGCGAAGTTCTGCCAGGGCGCTGGCCAGATTCTTAGCACATTGGCTGAGTTGCATGGCTGATGCCTGGTCATTGATGGTTGGAATAGTGGCTTTACATGCTGTTACCATCTTAGCTCCTGGCTGGAAGAGGACAGGAAGAGACAGACTCAATTAATTTAGAGAGAAAGCCAAACATGATTTATGCAGATTATCTGAGGTGGTCACCAAGCATGATATAAGAACCAAGATGAATTTTTCGAAAGGAAGTTCCTAATTATTACATTTTGAAGATTAATAGTAAAGCCTGTCATTTCACTCTTTCACTCTTTGACACTGCACAGCAAAGGGTTTGCACATGCACAAAACAATTAGCCATGTTCTCAGGCAGTTTTGATTTAGGAACTTGATTTTGTTTATTTGAATGGAACCTTCATTTAACTTTGAATGTTTCCTTTGTCTTGACATTATTTGATATAAGCAATGTATTGTGATTGATTTGACTTTCTCAACAGCCTAGAATTTAGGCTGTTGAGAGCCTTTCTGTTTTCAAACTGTTAAATATTATATTAACTGTTTTTCAGTCATCCTTTTTACCAGATCACATAGCTAGCAGCATTTATACCTAAATCAAAAATTAAAAGCCAATCCATGTGATGAGAATTGGTGATCCACAGTGATCAGCCCTCATGGGCAGCAAGAAACCTATAGTTTGAAAACACCAATAAATACAGGACCAAAATGAAACTACTTGTTTGTATTCACAAATTAGCAAATAAACCAGATTCTAATTCTAAATGTATTTATGTTTGTCTTGTTTGGACAACACAGATTGAAGATTAGTACTTGAGAGAAGAGCAGCGGCTTAAAGTAATAATTCATCAGACCAGAGACTTACTAGCATCTGCATAGTAAATAATAATTAAAAATACTGAAAAAACAAAACGAAAACAACAACATAAAAAAACATTTAAAAACACAATTCAGTTTCATGCAGGTAATCAGTCACCTGGAGGAAGTTCTGACTAGCACCAATGAGGGCGAGCTGAGCACTAGGGGAGTCAGGCTGGGACTGGCTGCCTCGGACTCCTTGAACCAGCTGAGGGATCTGCTCTGCCACCACCTGATCACACACACAGACACACACACACAGAGCATAACCTCTCATTAAAAACTATGGAGTTTACACCATGGATACTTATGGCATTGCTATACTTCACAATATAACAAAAGATGGGAAGTCAATTTATTATTTATGGTTCAAAAGTGCAGAAATTCAGCTTTGTTACTAATAAGAGAAGTAATCTAGTTATTTTACTGTATTCAAACAATAAGCACTAAAACTGTCTATAACATGGTACAACAAAAAACAAACCATAGCTCTAATACTAATCACATCTGCACATGCTCTTTATCATAGCACTATGGATACTTTAACACAGTTCACAGTAGCAGTTTTGCAAAAGTTACTCAGTCGTTTCCCAGAAACATTGCTTTCACCAAAATGTTTGCTCCTTGCCAGGATTTGTTGGAGGAGGGTAAAACACACCCAGACACCTCAACACTAAAACCTATGTTTAAAAGAGAGGATATGGAATGTTTGATTTTTTTGGATTCTGTGCTGAATTTTGCCACTTATGTATGTGTGGGTTTGGGAGAACAGATCAGAACAGGTCGAGGGCTCACCTTGCAGCTCTGGACAAGCTGTTGCTGTGCAGCCTGATTCTTGTTGGATGAGGCAGCATGCTGGGCTGCAGCTATTGTCTGAGTGGCAGCTGCTGCGGCTTGTTTTGCAGCATTCTGCCAGAGAAAAAATTAAAGACTTCGGTCTACTATACATGAAACGTGTTTGGCTTTCTTAATCCTATATCCTGAATATAAAAAGTTATAACCTGAGGATATTCCATTTTATTTTACCTCCAGATTGTTGATGAGCCGCTTCTTGATAGCATTCTGGGCGGCAGCGTTGGTGGCCATCCGCAGGCCTTCTGCAGCTTCACGCAGTTTCTGCTGCTGTTCCTCACTGTCAGGATTGGCAGCTGCACCCTGCAGAAATACCACAGCAGCTGACAGTCAACTAATAGACAGATTAGAGCATTTCTATTTAGTTAGGGACATACTGAAGAAGTCTGACCTTAGCAGCCTCCACCATTTTAGCAGTGGCATCAGCCAGAAGTTTGGCTGCAGAGAGAAGCTTGCGGGAGTTTTCCAGGTCAGACTCTCCTTCTGCATCCATCTTGATGGCATTGACAAGATCAGACGTGGCCTGGGCAAGAATACGAGCCTGGCGAACCATCTCACCTGGTATGTGAGAGAGAGAGAAAAAAAGAGAAAATGTGATTCAAAGAAAAGGTTTTGTTCCTTGAAATGGAATGTAACTACATTGCTTTATTAACTTTGTGTGTTTTACAGATTTTATTTTTACAACCTTGAAAACAATGTTCATTATTCACTGTCTCTTGCTTTCTACTTTTTCACATGTACTAGAGCAGATTGGGGAAGGAACAACATACTTAATGTTCCACCACAAAACTACCTCCTTGAAGAGAGGTGAGTGCACCTTGTAGTTTAAAATTAAAGTAGTCATCACTGATCACCTATAAAATTAAGAATATTGTACTCTTCCTGTATAATGTTGGTAAAAAAAAAAGAAAAAAAAACTTTAGAATTGCTTGTGTCTATGTGAGCAGGAGGTTTAGGAAAAGGAAATGTGATGCTAGTGGTTTATTGTCTTACATGACCTGATATGAGAAATCAGCTGGCAGCAAGAATTACACAGCTGAATGACCCATTAGAACAGCTATTAAGCTGTCTTCACAACAACACTCTCATGGCTGTTACTGAGAGAAGGAGACTCAAAGGAGGGGGAGCTACTTTTATGACAACATATCTAAACATCTTGTAGTCATTCCGGCCGTAAGATAAAGACTCTCAGTAGATAACATGATGGCTGTATGGAGTACACTAAAGCTGCTTTATTTTATCCTATTGGCATTTCAACCTCTGTGTCATGGAGCACGCTCAACAATGTATGCAGCCTTTTTGAAATAAGGACCGGCATTTTAACAATGCAAACCTAAGTATCCACACTAAACATAAGACAATTTAAAATAACTGTAATAGCTCTCTGCTTGTCTCCTCTGCTTGTAAGATAAATAACAAATGGCCACTTACAGCAGAAAGTAATCACATTTTTTTTTCTCATAACCTTTCATTATATTGCTGTTGTCAAAGAGAAATCAGAATTAGTCATATATTAGTACTGAATACTGACAGGTCAAAACCTGAACTTGAATGAAAAATTCTGATCCTTATCTTTTTTTAAACTGACCACCAGTTGGCACAATACTTGGCTATTGATGTTGACCTCCATCATTCCCACCCATTCATCCACAGCACTAAGGTGGTCACTTCCACTCACCTGCATTTCCCATTGCATTAAAGATCTTCTCAGTAACATCCAGGATGCAATCGGTGGCCTCTCCGTGCCGTCCAATAGGATGGCCTCCGCTGGCATACTGCTTGATGTGCTGCAGCAGCTCATTGAGGGCCTGAGTGACCCCTGTGGCTGCCTGGCCAACTTGTTTCAGAAGACCCTCTTCATTGGTGGCCATCTGGGAGGCCTCCATACATCCTTCTACTGACTTGGCCACCAGCTTGCCTGCTTCTATCAGCTGCTCCTGGCACACTGGGGAGCTAATGGTTGGAGCCACCACCTTGTGGAAAGAGAACACATTTTACTATACCTTGCTACTTTATAGCTGAAGCAAATTAGAATCAATATAGCAGCAGGCCAATATGCTGTACAAATATATAAAACATATAACAAAGAAGTTTGTAATCAAAGAATCAAATATCTTGGTTATTAGTAGAATTCTGCAGGACTTAATTATATGGAGAGGGGGAAATCAGCCAGTTGATTCCAGGTGCGTTGCTCCAGGAACACACTGATCAGGCTCAACAGATCAGACAATGAAAAATTTGGATTACAGAACACTGTAGAATATAGGCACTGGAGCCTGATGCCCCTGGGTTAGACCACAGCATAATCATGTATTGTATTGGTCTAGTCAAAGTCCAGACTTAAGTTTACAGTTGTAATGTTGTAAGTTGTGAAACTGCTCAAAGGCCATGATTTTTTTTAAAAAAAATAAATAAACCAATTTCAGCCACTTTCATGTATTAAGTGGGGCCTTAATACATGATCATAATTTTCCTGGTCATCATGTTCTACCTAATTGGTGTCCACTTTAACAGGAGTGTCAAAGCTTTTAAAGTATCAGTTGTGATCTTTCTGACCAACCACCACAGGTCTCAGTACTCACCCTGGTGCAGGCGACCAGCTGAGATGTGGAGAGAGCACATTGTGTAGCTGCTGCAATAACCCGGTTCTGCTGGGCCGAGTCCTCAGTCTTCTGGGCCACATTCTTAGCTTTGAGCACCAGAGCCGCTGCAGCATTAGCCACAGCTTTTGCCAGCTGCATCAACATATCCTGTCAAAAATGAACAGCCTAATTATCACTGTCTTCTCCATGCTTGTGGGAAAAGAAGGGACAGACACCAGTTACAGTAATGTCAATCACAAAGAAAGTTCAATGCTTCCAAGATTGCACAGATAACATTTTTAAATTTGCACAATTAAATGTGAGATCAAGGTTCTATCGATCAATAGTTTAATCAACGAGCCAATAATTGATCTAAATAGTTTGGAAAGTAATCAGTAGGAAGGTAAACCAAGTGATCCAAATAGATATTAGAAAGGAGAAACACATACTTTGATGAGGTTGCAGTTATTTAAGACTGACGTCCCTATTAATATCTACAGAATGTCCCACCCTATATTTAAAAAGAGTAATAATATAAAGATATTATTATTATAGAAAGTAATAATATATACAATATATCAGTTAAATTTCTTTCTCAAACTACAACCTGCTAGTTTAACACCTCTGTGGGAATTAGCACAAATAGACTTTATTCAGTGAAAGATGAAAAGTAGACTGCCGACTCTCCAGCAGAGTGTAAAATCTAAAAGAAGTCTTAAATATAAATTTCCTTGTCTGCTGCAGAAGGACAAGGACAAGAAGCCGTTTGTTGTGATGAGCAGTTTTTTAGTTGAAGCCTTTGAAACAGCAAATCAAAATTTTTGGGGTGGGTTCTATCCAGAGCGATGTCAGGTGACAACAGTGCTGAGTTTGAGGTGTTTTTAATCCATAGGTACTCTGTCAATCTAGTATAATTAACAGAGTATAATTATACTCTGTCCCAGGACCACTCATAACATGAGAGGTCATGGGAGTCCACTGTCAGGATATGTCGGTTAATAGTCCCAGATGGAGTGCCTGGAAATTTCTTCTACCATTTTATGATCTCAGCATGTGTGTAGTAAATATGTCACTAATTGTAATCATGTGAATTCCAATTTTAGGTGCAATATTGCACCTAATGTAATTTGAATTGATACTTTTACTGCTCCTTCAAATTAAAAAACTTAATACTGTACCAGCTGCCTGCTGTAACAGGTATTAAAAACCGACTACATTTTATGTACCAGGCTCTCAATAATCAAAATATCCTTATTAACAAAATTAACCATTTATTATGTAGTGTATTGGTTTTATTAAAGTCTGTCCAAAACATCAGTCACTTCTGCACTGTAAACAAAAGAAAAATAAACTGTTACCTAAAAAGCCTTCACAAAGTCTTGATTAGCTAATAAACTAAAAAGTTAGTTGGTCTTCTATGGTAGGACAGAAAGTTCCCAGCTAGTCTGCCTGGTAACTTCAGCTAAACACAACACAAGCATTAGCAACTGATGGGCCGAGCCAGAGCAACCAATTAGGCCCCATTTCATCGACTACATTTCATTTGCGAATCATTGGAAATTATCTTTTTTTGTGCTATAAAGAACCACAAAAGAGTGACTGAGGAAAATATGTTTTCCTCAGTAAGCATGTTTTTAATACTTGCCCCAACAATCCTTTTCTGTTTACAAAAAGTACAATGGCAAATGCGTCTTACAAATTTTACAACTTTGGTTTTGGTGTGGACAGTTTTGTTTACACTGAATACAGAGTGATCAGCTCATGTAATCATTCCATTCATTCATAAAGAGTATATTATCCTTAAAGTGTACTTTATAACACAATCCACATTGACAGTATATTTCTGCAAAATGATCAGCTTCCTTTCCATACTGTACAGGTGTCGGTATAAAAAAGAGAGAGCTTTGCTTTCTTGTTTGCAATAATTTTTTTCACTGAGGAACAATAAAGGTTATTTCTACTCTATACCCAGAGTTTGTAACCATGGAAATCTCTGGCAAGGACGGTATGATGAACTTGGTGGATGTTGAGGTGTATGCTGCAACATTTCACTACAATCAGATTGTTACAGAGTACATTTACCAATGGGGAATATGTTATTGTGATCAATAATGCTGCCTATAACCAATCCTACTACTAAAAACTGGAAGTTTTTTAGTCTTTGTTCTTACTACCTTATAAAAGCAAAAGATTTGTTGATTGATCTTAAAGATGAAGTAATATCTACATTATAAGACATAGCAATACACTTGATTAGGCAAAAGAAGTCATGTTTTTATCTGGAGGATATGTTAGTTACCAGCACTTGAACGTTAGAGAGAGTTCTCCATCTGGAACCTCTGAAAGATCCTTTAGCCCGATGCTGTCAAATATATTCATTAAACATGGAACAAAGTTTTATACGGTGAGAAATGTGCGTTACATCCATAAGACTTTTATTAAGGACCACATATTTTTGAATGTACATTCCAAATCTGAAATATGACAGCATCCCACCTGTGCAAAAAGTTCAGTCATAAAATATTCCACAGTCAACTCTTTGTGGTATTATAACAATGTATTGTAGCAATTGGGCATGAGAGAATTTTTAGCAGATATTGAGCTTTCTGCAGAATCAATAGCTACAGATCTCCAAACTTCATGATATGTTGTGAAGTTTGCCCAGACTTCATGTGGCTAACAGATCGTTTAAAGAACAGTGTGTGGTAAGCTCCATGAAATGGATTTATATGGCCAAATATAAATCAATTTATATTTGGATTTATATTTGGCCATATATAAATCCAATTCTCAAACTGACATTTCACTATTAGTTTAAACTGACATTTCACATGAGTCAAAACTGTGATTGTTTTTATTTGTCTTCTAGAAAAAAAGAATCTGTACAATGACACAGGATTTTAAAAAGGTTATTTACATAGAGACCCTGTCTTAGTTCCAAAAAAGCTACAGTAAAAATAGTTGGAACAAGGCCAGAATTTAATCCTGCAAAGGTTTTAAAACTGCAACACTCAGCGGCTTCAGTTTTAAAACTGAACTGCACAGCCAACCGCTGTATAGACAGATGCATTCAAAGTATGATGCCAAGTGTTAAATGCAGTGGAATGAAGAACACAAGCACTGGGCTCTAGAAAACTGGAGACATGTTTTCTGGAAGGATAAATCATGATTCCCCTCTGATAGGTCAATGGATTGGAGTCTGGGTTTGATAGTTGCTAAGTGAATAGTATATGTCTGGCTCCATGTGTCAGGTGTAAAGGCTGATAGGAGTGGACTATGATGGGGGTATTGTGATGAGCAGGCGTTCTGGTGAGAGAAACTATTTTTTTCCTTACTTTAGTCAATGGAACTATTATGGATACAACATATAAAGACCTTTTGGGGAAGGCTAAATCGTCTGCTTGTATAGGGCTTCATTAAGTATGGGGACTCCAAAATGTTGTGCACGACAAGTAGTCGGTCATTGATTCCACACTGATGGTGGTGAGCTACATAGTAGCCACAGCTGCCCTGGGGCAGAGTAATGGAGGCAAAGCTACCATGCAGCCACCCCACCTGTTGGCCCCAGTGCCAACCACTAGCAGTAAAGGTGGGTGAAGTGTCTTGCCCACAGATAGGACAGAGTCAGACAGAGCCAGGGTTTGAACCATCAACCTGCTGGTTATATAATAAACTCCTAAATCCTGAAAAACAATCTGTGGGTTCAATGGGTTGCCACCTTCATGTTTCAACATGAAGGCTGTCTCCTTAAATATCAAGGTCTGACCTCACAAATGCACATTTGAAGAAATTGTAATAAATTCACATAAAAGACACCTAAACAATAAAGAAAACCATCCCAGAATACTTAATGTAGTTATATTTGCAAACATAGGCTAGGATCATATTAAACCTTCTCTGACTGTAGACTGTAAAACAAAGAACACTTCTATAAAAGTAAAGACTGACAAACCTGGAACTGTGGATCAGTGTCTGTCTCTCCAATGTGAGACAGGAGTTCTCCACTAGCCTGACCGACATTTCCTGCTGCTTGCAACAAGTTCTGACGAGGCTGGAAAAGTAAGACATGAAGAACAACGATAATGACTTAAGACAAACATAACATGTCTCCTCCTCCTGAAGCTGCTATCTACCTCTGTATTTGCCGGCTGAGCTGTCTTCAGCATGTCAGAAACAGCACTGGCCAGATTCTTGGCAGCACCCAGCAACTGCTGCCCGTTTCCACCTTCATCCTCCATCAGGGCTGCCAGGCGTTTCACACCCTTTGACATCTCAGTCAGGTTGGATGAGATTGTGGTGACTGCACAGCCAACCGCTGTATAGTCCGTCTCAGCTGGATCACCTTAGAACACAAATAGCAACTTAATTTATTCCCAAAGTAAATATAAATTCTACATTTCCGTATGCATCAGCCTCTAAACAACAAAATCGACAGCGAGTAAATGTCATTACATATCACAGAATTTCTATAGACCAACTAGGACCATAAACTGTTCTTTCTTTGTGAATACCATAGATAACTGGGCAGTATGAATGAGTTTGTCATACATTCCACTGGAATAAAAAAAAATAAGAATCTGATCAAAGTTGTGGGAAAAAAACTTGATTACAGAAACCAGTTGACAGATTTATGAGTCACATTTTCAAAAAGCGTTATCAGTAGAATATTTGAACGTATCACTCTGACTAATCAGAGTGTTTACACCAAACTGGCCTGCATGTTGTTAGATCTGCTGGCTGTATAAATTTTCTTAACTTTATTTGGACACTGTAAGGATGGCTTACTGAGACCAATCATCAGCAAGCCATACTGCTGTTTTATTGAGTTTGTTTACATAGCACCTATTCTCAAGACATCATCTCACCACTCTTTACATTATGAAGTCAGTTCAGTCCAACCAATGACATGCACTCATACTGATAGTACAAACTTTCAATGCAGTCTGATCTTGCCATCATTATGTGATAAAATTATTTAACTGCTTGAAGGTCAAAACAGTGATTTTTACATTCACTGCATGTTTCAACACGACAGTGCTAACCGGCTCTATTCTCTCTGGGAGGATACAATTCAATTCTACAACTCTGAAAACAAGCTGATCTTTTCTTCTCTCTACCTGCAGTGAGGTTGACCATGGATGCTGTGCCTGCTGTGATGGCATCCACCTGGGAATGGATCTCATGTTTGGACTCATCCATCTTGTTTTTGCGCCAGGCTTTGGATGCCTTAAAAAGAGGAACATAATGCAATATATGTCAATGACCTCTAAAGGACTACAGAGGATGGGTCCTCATGTTTGTCAGTGCTGATGAGTGAAAAGCAAAGTCATTTACATCAGAAATTTCTTATTTTCTGCATCTGCAACCTGCAACCTGCTAGTATTGCTAATGTATTTCAGGGTTTATATAATCAGGGTTTATGATTTATAAAGGGAATTATGCAAGAAATCTGACGATAGCTATTGTTGCACTTGTATTCTGGATCTTTTGCAGAATTCAATAAATCTAACACATGAAAAAAAATCTGATATCTGAATGATCATTTCACAGTTTGCTGAACAGTCTCCAGAATTATGCCCTGGAATCACTTTTCCCAGCAGACAAAATGTAAAACTCACTTCATCTGATCCTAATGGGGGCAGTGTATCAAAATCATCCAGAGAGGCCTGGGCCGCCTGGACGGCCTGCATGCTGGAGTTGATGGTTCCAGTCAGGGCTTGCTGTGCTGATGTCTGCAGAAAGAAAACACACCTCAGTAAAGCCAATATTAACACATTTCAGAGTCCCTCCTACTGCAGATTTGTACATAATTGTTGTAGCAAACAATGCAAGAAAAAAGTTTGGCTCACATGATGTTTCAAGAACAAGATGCTAATATAGTCGAACCGAAAATAAAGCCATTTTGTTCTTATAGCCCCAATATTTATTTTGTTCTTGTGGACTATGTAAAGATCCTAAGACTAAACGATACTGATAAGGAGGACATGGTGTTTGGCTTCAGGGGTTCACACAAACCTTCCATACACTCAGTTTTATTCAGCTAAATTTCATTTTAGGGTTGAAAAGACCAGAAGGTATGTATGAAAAATCTGGACACATCCTGACTAAAGTCAGGCTAAGGGTAGGCTGAAATAGGGGATGTAGTGGAAAATTTCAGATTTTAGTCCACCCATTGTAGTGTAACCAGCCACCACACTACTACCACCAATGAGCATTGCCGGTCGTCTTGTGTTTTATTTTTTACCAGAGGAGGCATGTGTCCCCTGTGCATCTGCCCACTGGTAATGTGCTGTTTGGCCTGGGGCATGGAACCCTTCTGGAAACTCTCTGGACCTCCAGCTCCTGAGCGCATAATGGCTGGCAGGGCAACACAGCCTGTCTCTGCCTTGCCCATCCTGTTGAACTGCTGCTGCATTACAGTCGACCTGGAGTCACACAAGTTTAGGATATGCAGATAATTATAGCAGCTTATGCATCCACAAAGTGAGCAATATCTTTAGATAGTACAATATCACAATAGACGGTATAAAGTTAGAAAATCTGGTTTCCTAGAAGTGGCAATAATCAATAATCAACTCTTATGAAAAAAATCCTCATCAATGGCTCAGTGAAAAGTTCTAGTGCTTTTTGCACAACTTCATAATTTTCTCTACTTAATCTAAAAAAATTATAATAATTACAGAAATTGTATATACATATATATATATATATACCTCTTACCACATTAGAATGATGTGTGATTAAATGAAAAAAAGTTATTTCTTTTCCCACGCCAAAATGATTCAAATAGAAGAGATGTAATGTATGCACCACAATCCAAACCTACAGTCTACTAAGTGATAGTGGACTATCACTTAGTGATAGTCTACTCTATCACTAAGTGATTCCAGAGCACTGAACAGATGCTGAGATGGGTGGATGTGCCACAAATTTCTTCAGCTGAATAGAAACAAAACTGAAGTTATAATCTTTTACCTATAGAGGAATAATTCATAGTCATCAGTTATTAGAACCAGAAACTAGAGGTCAGGTCCAAAATCTGTGTGTAGTTATGGACTCTAACCTGAACCTTCAGAGACATATAAAGATAATTAGAAGTCAACCTTCTATCAGCTAAAGAACAATTGCACACTTAAAGTACTAATGTTGCAGCAAGATCTAGATAAACTCAGCTATGCCAAACACACATTTAATTGAAATGCTGATGCTTATGTTCTCACTAAAACCAGGAAGATAAAGCAAGTTATAAAGTTCTTCCACTGAGAGAATAGCCTTTAAAATACTGTTGAAGTTGTATCAACCGTCCATACCACTCAGGTCTTCTGGTTATAGTCTACTCTATATGGTTTAAAGTATGCTTATAGTTCTATATTTACTTGTAAAAATTTAATTTTCTGTTCTCTACAGATAGTGTTTTTATTAATGGCTTGAGCCAAGTCTGAATGATGCATAAATAATGCATCATTCAATAAAGCAAAAGCAGAAACTTTCTGGATTAAAACCATTTTGACATATAAATAGTGACATGTATTTTCCTCTACCAGATATTTACTGATGTACGAGTACTAGTACTTGTTAAAGCAACCACTATTTCTGCTGGGCTTTCCTCCTGGGCTGCCCTGGAGGCTAACTGTGGTTTAGTTATTTGCTGATCCTCCCAAAAGAACAAAACAAAAACAAATAAAAAAAAAACAGAAGAACAGAGAGAATGGAGAAGTTAGATACCTGGAGGGCCTGAAATATTATTTTAATTACTGGTATAAATAATTAAAATAATTTTAATTATAATTAATGATTTATAATTGCTCATTATAGGACTAAACAACTTCTTCCATTGTTAGCATTGGTCTTCTGGGTTGTGTGATTAATTGGAGCACTACGGTGTAGCGAACTGCGCTTTTAACAGACACTACTAAGACTAATAAGTAGATTAACACAACTTCATTCTGCATCCTGTTTTGGCGTTCTCTATGTATGTATTTGAGGTTTATTAAATGTGCCATAGACGCCTGATCCATCATCAATTCAGTAATTTTTGCCCAATCCAGCCCGAATTTCAAGTTGACCGTAGATCTAAATGTAAATAAAGCATTCAAAGACTAAATAATCTGTATTGCTCCATTAACGATTTATAAAAGCAGTCAGCGGGTGTGTAAGCTTAAAAAGAAGAGCCATCCTATTCTAAAAAAAAAACAACTTATTTTAAAAAATTGTGTCAAATATAACCAAATACCAGCTGACACTGGTATTTGGTACAAGTGTCAGCGAGTACCTAAACTGAAGTACTTGCATTCATACAAAAAGTGGCATCAGAACTCCCCTATTACTTACTCATTTAAACATTACAGTTATGTTTAACAAACTAGAATATGCGTTCAGATGAGGCCCACCTGTGAGATTAGAAGCCTGTTTTTAAAACAGTTATTTTTTGTTTGGTTTGTTTGTTTAATGCAATATCCTCATTTTGAATGCCATGTTTTAATTAGCTGCAAGTGGGAAATCATCCTAATTCACAGAAATAAAGGTTTTCAAAAAATATGTGTGTATAGTTAATCTGTAGTTTCTGAAATAAATGTGTTTTTCATATTTTAATTTTTTAAGGGGTTTGTCTTTCAAGTGTACTTACACTGCAGAGTGATAAAATAAGGTAATTCTTTTTGATGTGTTATTTTGATCTGTAGTTGATTAATCAAAATTAACACAGTAAAATCCCAAGCTTAATATACAATACATACACATGTACAGTAACTGTGTATAATGAATATTTAATGTATGTATTGAAATCCAAATGTGGATTTTCTGTCCTGATTTGACCTAATTTATCTGTAGACACACACTTACTTTTTGGGAGACACAGAGTCCTCCTCCATGGGTGATTCATCATCTCCATCAAAGCCAAAGTGGTCCTTACTTTTTTTCTATTAAAAGACAGTAAATGAAGAAACAAAAGCGATTTTAAGGTGCCAGTGATTGACCACAAAATTTCAAGCAACAAACAAATATTTTACTTGTTAATATTAAGTTTTAACTGGTTTTGTTTTTTGAGCACTGTTAGAGTAAACAATGCAACTTCTTCCATTTTTAGCATTGGTCACCTGAATGTATGACCAGTACTACATTCAAATGTATTGTCATTTACTACAGTTGGATGTTCCTACTGACCTTTTTGAGGATGATATCGATGTAACCGGCAATAAGCTGTGCAATCTGCTCTCCCTCAGTGGTTTGCACAGAGTAGTACCCATCCTGATAGTCTCCAAAGTCCTGTCAGCAGATCAAATGACAGCTTTGAATTAAAGGATGAGCACATGCAGTGTAGAACTCAAGTCCTGGACTTTGTATTGATTCTCTGTATGAATCAGTCATGCATGTTTACCTGCGGCAAGGTTTTGAAAGACAGAAAAACAATGAATGAAATAAGACGTTCATGCTCTTCAATTATATTTAGTTGGGGTTTTTGTTGTTGTTTTTTTGTTTTTAAATCTCTTGAACATGTAGAGAACTTTCAATTCAGGGTCTTCCTGTTTGGACTTTCACTGTTTCCCAGGTGCTTCTCCCCTCTGTAGGCACAAGGCTTGAGGATCCTCCCACAGCTGGAAGCCTGGCTCATTTATGCAGCACCATGGGGGGATGCCCACATGAACATGGAGAAAAGCAATCTGATTCATTCAGAGGAGACGATCTTCCTGGGCATTGCTATGAATTCCATCTCAATGACTGCTTGCCTGTCTCCCTGACAGCAAATTGAGCGTGCTCCCAGAATTCAGGCGCTGTGTGATCTGCCTCAGAAGACTTCAGTGTCTTCAGTCTCTGTCCCAGTGGAGGATGAGATTGTTTATGACAAAGGGGGTTTCACTAGCTTCCATCCCATGTCGACAAAGGTTGTGTTTACGGATGCATCCACAGGCTGGGGTGTGACCTGGTAGGGTCAGATGGCACAGGGAACATGGGCCCCACGGTAGATCAGGGAGCACATCAATGTCCTGGAATTATGAGCTGTGTTTCTGGCTCTTCAGAGATTTCATCAGGGCAAGCATGTGCTGGTGAGATCAGACAACACCATTGTGGTTTTTCACGCCAACCCCTACAGTCACATACGGTCAAGAAAACTGTTGTGATTGACTTAATGGCTTCTGACACGGGCGGCTCCATACTTGGCCTGCCACAAGGCAGCCTGCTTCCCAGGTTCACAGAACATGCCAGCGGATTTCCTGTCCCATCAGAAGCTACACCGCTAATCCTAATCTGCTGTTCTAACAACCTCCTGGGCTGTCATCATATTTATCTGCTGAGCAATAATTGAAAATTGTTCACAAGAAAACTCACCAGAGTGAAGCTCTTGGGTGATGCAGCCCAGCGTTTGATGTTTGTCAGACTCCACTCCTGGATGACCTCCTTGGTCTTCTCGTCTACTCTCATTACGCTCTCTTTGGTGATTCCCAGCAGACGAGGCACCAGTTTGTTTTTGCCTTTCATTTTTTCCTGCAATGAACCAAGAAAAGCAGAATATTCTCACTGATTCTCACAAATCACAATTGGCTTTTGAGCACTGGGCTCAGTAAATCTACCGGAAGCTGATTCATCACTACTCACAGTTCCAGTAGTGAATAAATAACCCTTAATTATATTTATAGCTGAATTTATTGAAAGCTCTCATGATCTAGCAAAATTATAACATATATTCTAGTTTTTAGATTTGAAACAGCCCAACTTGAAAATCTTAAACTGGTGATCACCAGGCATGGGTTTATTATCCACACTGAGAAATAATGTAAGAAAAAAAAGGGGACAGGGCAGGGAAAGTAATCTATAAGAATGAATTAGAAATAAGTTTTTACTTATATTAAATAAGTAAAATAAGTTTTTACTGATATTAAATAAGTAAAAACAATGGAATCTGAAGACGGTAAAAGTGAAGGGAGAAAATTACAGTTGTCCTTTCTTTTCTTACTGAAAACACACAAAATAGAAAACAGGGTAGAATGTAAAGGGTATGTCCTGTCTCTTTACCCTGACTGGATCTTTTGAGGGAAGCAAAAAAAAAAACAGATATTCAGCTCCCCTTTAAAGTCCCACTTACTTTAAAAGGATTCACTCAGGAAGGACACCCACAGATATGATATGTTAACATTTGAGATGAGAATATCTGAAATTTGGAAGTAACCATCAACAAGTCACAAGATTTTACTGCCGTGCTGCTACAAACAGTTTGATATTTTTAAAATTGCCACTAAAAACATCCAGCCTATAATTGAATTAAGAAGCACATGACATTAGTTCATTGAAAGCATGTTAGAAATAGTGTCATAACCTGTACAATAATCAGTCATGTTTGTGTAGATTTGGGCAGCAGAAGAAAAACAAAACAGTGATTTTTCACTTACTTTGACCAGGAAGAACGAGACGCCGTAGGTTTGCAAAGACCTGGCCAGCTTCACATAACTGACTTTGGCCTCAATCTCCGTCATGTTCTGACAGTTTTTATGTGCCTACAGACATAGGAAGAACAGAAGTGCATTAATTAGCTCACCGCCGCATAAAGGAAACCTTTACGTTAATGACTCATGCAGCATGTTTTCTATTTCAGTTGTCAGCAGGTACATCTTGAAAGATAAAATATAATTTAACCAAAATGAGCCTTTTTTAGTCAAAACAGACTTCTAAGCCTCCACAGATTCTCTTACCTGGAAAATTTTTTTCTCCCCTTTATTTTTTATGTATTCCTTAGGCAGGAACTCCTTTAAACTGAGAAGAAAACAGTTCAACCACGATCAAAGAAGCACCATGACTTTATCGGAATTCCAAAGAACCATAAAAACATCAAAATGATGGAACCAAAAGAAAGACAACTGAATAAAACATGAGGGCAGTGCTTACTCTAAGAATCCAGGCTTGTGTTTGGACTCATTGTGATCACCAAACTGAATCTGGCACTGATAGCCAGCAAACTCACAGGCCTTGTCAAATGAAACTGGATGTGATCCATTCAGGATGTCATCACGAGCCTGTTCCACAACACACACACACAGAGTAGAAATTCAGGATCAATCTGGAGAATAACAGCAAGCATCATTCATAAAAACAAACATGTGGTATTTAGACTAACCGTTATGCATGAGCAAGTAGTGCCAACCCCATCAAGCTGAATAACAAATAAATAAAAGTAAAGATTGCATGTTCTCAATTACCTGCACATAAAGCAGATTAAGCTGGACAGGGTCTCTGGAGTCCACATTCTGGTCTGAGTAGAAAAACTTTCTTCTCAACAGCAACATCTCTGTCTCTTCCACACCCTGCTCCCTCAGTGTCCTCCCATGGTCCAACCAGTTCACTAACAAAATAATCATTTATGTTAGACAATAAAAAACATCCAGAAATCAAGAAGTAGATGTAGATCACAAGGTTCTGAATTTGTTTCTTACAAAATCTCACACCTTTCGGATATTTTATCCTGAATTTCTTTACAGCATTTTGGACATTTAAATGCAGTTTTAATTTTATCCTTAAACAGTAGGTTAAACTAATAATGAGAGATATTTAGCAAGCAAGGCCAAAATGGAAATGTTGACATTTTGATTAAAAAATATAAAAAAAATACTACATCATATGATTTTGCAAATTAAAGACAAAATATGTAAAACTCATAGGATAAAGTATTCAAAGCATTTAAGACTTACTAGAATTTTGTAAATTAGAGAAGGTGAAAGCTCTGAAAAATCTACAATATTTTCATTCTCTGTTTTCTTTTTTCTATTCTTATCCAGATCCAGAATATTATAAAAGATAGTGTCCAGTTCTGTCCATTAATACTCACAGGACATGTCATGTTAAGTTCACAAAGACAACACAGATGTCAGGATTTTAGCCAAAAGTAGTTTTGATCAGAAAAAGCAAAAAGCAGAGACACTTTAAAGAGGCTCTTATTATCCAAATGAATAAATTTGACTTCATGCAACCAATATATAATTTTAAGACAGGACAAGGTTTCACTGATGTAGCTGGTTTCCACATGGAACTGGCAGGAATTATTATTCCTGCCTTAAAAATTCCAGAATGAGTCATAATCACATATGAGTGTGATTATGAATATCAGCTGCAAGTGAATTAACTCATTGAAGATTTTGTCAGGACTTTTAGACTTTTTTAATGGTTTTATTGGCTCTAGTGGCTTTATTTGATAGTGAATTGACAGGAAAAGTCGGTAATGAATGAAGGGGAGAGACATGTGGCAAAGATAGCCAGGCTGGGAATCAAACCTGCGACAGCTTCAATGAGGACTAATATGTGGGTTGTGCTTAACCCCTGCACCACCACAGCACCCCAACCTTTAGAATTTTTAAGGACCTTTTGACAAATGTCCTTTTTGTATAGGATATTGAGCTCTCTGTGAATCTTACACTCATCGTCTGTGTGGAGTTTCTGCTTCAACTTCTCCATCTTCTTGTCATCTCTTAGGAGAGTCTTGTCTCTTTTCAGTGTTCCTGTGGTTTCTTCTTTCTTTTCCTCACCAATGTCTCGCACCAGTGAGTACTCATCATAATTTGTTATACCTGGTAGACAAACATAGCTTTGAGTTAATTTCAGTTTTGTCTTTAACTTATGGTCGGTATACCTGCAGACAAGACAGATTGTAAACAAGATGAGGGTTCCTCAGATAAAAACATGAAATTGTAAAAAACTGACCTATTCTAGTACAGATGGTCATGAGCATGTCACTGACAATCTTGGAGTCGTCTATCATGACAGTCTTCACTGTGCCATCTAACATGCGGATTTTCAGAGGCCTCTGCTTCTTCTTGTATTCCAAGGTGTCCTACCAGAGAAAAGAGTAGTTGATACTTGGTAAAAATCAGCTACACATAAAAACTCCATCTGAGCCCCTCTCAGGAAGAAACTCAATAAAATTAAAGAATTATTGAGTCATATTTAAGTCTTGCCACCTCTGTTCAGTGTTCAGTGCCACTCACCCCATTCCTTAACATATAGTAGTCCAGGGCCTTTCCAGCCTCCAGCCAGATACCTTTTTTTGGGTCTTCGTCAGACAGAAAAAGCCCGTAGTCATTGGCTACAGAAAGAAAGAAACGGTAAAACTGATGTAGCTGCAGATTGAAATATCAAGTTACTATGAAGATAATGTGCTTGTGCTACAAGTATATTACAGCAGTGTGTCAACTGAATGCTGTGCCTTCCACTTCTATGTACAAGTTCTAAATCAGCTTAATAGCAAAACAGAGAGATTGTAGCTTGAATATAATGGAGCAGTTTTTTCTCAGTACGGGTCCTCAGGTCCCCTGCCCTGCATGCTTTCGATAGGTTTGCTCCACAACACCTGATTCAAGTGATTGCACTGCCTCTTCTCCATGTTATCAAGTGATGCTGAATCCTTTTAATCATCCACTTGTTCAATTGAGGGGTGATGTAGAAGAGAGACACCTAAAATATGCAGGATAGCAGTCCCTGAAGACCAAATGAGAAATGAAAAATACTGATAGAGCTTTGTCATTGAAAAATTAAGAGAAATTGTTTTTTTTCTCTAAACTCTCCAAAGTTTTGCTTAATAGTTGGACACATTCTGAAGCTATTTTGACAACTTAATGAGAAAATTGAGACAATGAAGAAATAAAAAAAGAAAAAACTGTTAATTCATCATCATTTTAAGGGGGACAAATGATGCAAAATCCACTTTTTTAGCCCTTAATTTTATTTAGTTTTTTTACTTTGAGTAGTTAGGAGAGCAAAACAATTAAATTTATTCTCTCCTGCTGCTGCGTAGACATCTTTATATTTTTGGGGGGTCATTTTTTTCTATTCATTATAACATTTTTTTTTTGTCTGTGATATTGCTGCATTTACTAAACAGTACTTTCAGCAAATCAAATTTGTGAATCCACCAATTTAATATTTTTCCTTGCAGCAATTTTGTAGTCCGAATTCAGTTATGCTGAAGTTGCAAAAAGATGAGTCAAAATGTTCGATTACAGCCCGTATTAACACACATAATTCCTTACATTGCCCCCGGCATCAGAGCCTGTTCGAAGTGTCTGGTCAAATTTTATTTTTCTCAGGAATGTTCCCACATCAGTGGGAAATGTCTGTTTAAACATGAATGGTTCAGCAACCTGCGCCAGTATCAAAAGGGCTTTTCTGAAAGACTTTGTTTGATTGAGGGTCAGTTTCTTATCTCTATGGAAATAAGGGACACAGCAAAGTGGTAAGCTGCTAATAACACTAAAACAAGAGCAAAGTTTATTTTAGGCATGAATTTAATGTGTTGATAATGACGACCTGGGCATGCGTTTAATAGTATTCTGCTTCTGTTAGCACTGTGTGCTAGCTGTTAGCTGCCTCTTTGAGGATATAACTGTATGTCATGTTTAACATATATTTATTTGGCTTTGTTTTGCAATTTTTGTCTTGGGGAACGAAAATAATTAAAATGCATTCAGCGACATTCTTGACATTTGCTTTAACTAACTCCTTAATTATGTCAAGGCTTTATTTACTTTATTCATATTGTGGCCGAATTAATATTTTAACATGCGTGGACACCATAGTTAAACCACACTCCATCTACACCCTCTACATCCATTCCGTAGTTGGAATGGATGTAGAGGGTGTAAATATACTAATAACACCACTGTGATGCATATATTTGAATACGTGGTTCAAATATATGCATCACAGTGGTGATGACAGCCAGGTTGGCTGTCTTCAATCTCCTGCTCTGGGTCAGACTCTGGATCCAACATGTAAAGTTGGATGGGCAAGTCTTATGTTGTTGATATGTTTAACAAACTTTGGAATAAAATGTTTCTAAAATATGATTATATACATAATCATATCGCTGCTATCAATCTACCAAAATGGCTGAGCAGGGAAGAACACTGTGACCTGGAGGGGGGCAGGGCTTGAAATGTCTCATTCACTTTTTAAAAAACCACAGGAAAACAAGTTGCTCTAAAACGCCTCAGAACAGAGGTAAACCAGGGATCTGAGGAGCAGCAATATCCCCAGGAATTCAGACCAAACCCTTGCACTAAAAATAATGACATGAAAACTCAAGGGTCTGTCATAATCAGAAACATTTTCAATGTTCTATATGCCACTATAGGTTCTTAATGTATTCATATTGGAACAAAAAACTTTACAGTTGAATAAACTGTGAAAAATAAAATTAAGTTAAATACAAAGTCTTAACTTTAGGCTGAGATTGCAGTCTAACAAGTTGATTCCTGTCCCTTAGTTTTATGTTTACGAAAACCTGAGCAACATTGGTTGAGGAGTTAAAGCTGAAAACACAGAACTTTGTTTCAGTTCTTTGTTTCAGTTCTGTGTCACTTTGTGCCACTAATGCACAAAAGATTTTCAAGAAAGGTATGAAATAAACAGTTTAATAAGTGATGTTCTTTAAATTCCAAAGACTTGCTCAAGATTTTCATGTTGTCATCTCAATGCAGCAGTAAAATTAGATGCAGCTCACTGCATGCAGACCATCTAACAAGAGACTGCTGTGGTTTGCTCCAGTTTTATGATGAACTCTAAATCCCAGCTGAAACCACACAAAGGAATCATTTGTTCAATTACAAATCATTTATTCATGTCAATACAGCGATCTTCAAAGCTTGTGGTGAGAATCTTGTCCACAATGATAAACGCATGCAATCCAAAATAGAGACACCAATTACAGGAAGAAAAGCACGTCAACATTTGAGCACGGAAGATAAATGAAAGACAAACGATATTTTAAATGACCTGGAGGTGAGCTCAGAGTGCTGAACAAGACAAAACAATGTCAATCCAAACTTGGCTCCAATAGTCATTGAGACATTGGAGTACCAAAGGACACATGTCAGACAGGAAGCAACATTTGTTACTGCTCAGGGTTTAAGGAACAGAGTTTAATGGAGCTTTGTCTTTGTCTAACAATGTTAAAAAAAAACAACTTTTGACTGTTCTCTTACTTCTCCATTTGCTGATCTATATTAAGTAGTTCCAATTTGAAGGACTTTGCGCAAGACATTTGCAAAATTGGATAGTCTAATTTGCTGGCCATTAGAGACAAGCTTTTCCCATGGGCATTATGTACCTCACTCACAGCCTAATGTAAAATAGCTTACATGCTGGAGCAAGTTGTGCAGGGAGCTAATGTTGAAATACCTTGTGTAACAGAACATAACACAACATCTTGGAACTCAGATTATGTAAACTACAATCAAAATGTAGAACTACTTCCAACATGACTCAGCTGTTCCTCCTAAAGGTAAGCTGCTTTCTCAGTGCCTGCTCTGATGGGAACTTACTTTACTATAGTAGAAGTTTAAGTCATACGACACAAAAGCTGGAGCATTTCTTTCTCTCATGTTGAATATATTTGACTCATCCAGAGCACGACCACATTGTAAGGTTGAAAGTATCTTTGGAGGGTTACAACAAGGCTTTTTATTTCTGTTTCTTTCTGGTACACACATTTAATTCACAGAATAATTGTTTTTTCCACAAAGTAAAGATGACACCTAATTAATAATACTAAATAATAATAGGTTAGATTTATAATGCCCTTTATATCTTTAATTCTCAAAGGGCAAGAAACGGGAACAAAACAAGGAATTGCAATGGATAAAATATTTAAATAAATGCAAACATAAACAAAATAAATTAAAACCAATATCTAACAAAAAAATGTCTTCATTTTAAAAACAATCAGTGGATTGTGGCGCCTTCAGAGTGTCATTCTATAGACGTGAAGCATCAATAAAGCAATTGCTTTCTGTAGCAAGTTGGATATGAAAGGCAGATTGGAGATGGGTCTGTAATTTGAAAGAATTTCTGGATGAATAGTCAGTTTTTTGATGAGTGTAATTATAGACTACATGCACAGAAGAAAGACACAGAAAGCAGAATTCAGTAGGTGATGCACCGTTACCATGCTGCTTATTGTGGATGATGGCTTCCTCTCTTCTTTGGGCATACGCTCTCCCCTAGAAACATACTCCCTCCAGACTCTTTGCCTCTCCCTGTCAGTCATTACTACATGTGATGCATAATTCTTCTCAAGGTTGAGTTTAAGTTCACATGTGTCACAGAATATTTCACAATGAAAAACATCACAGATTTTCCGGAGTCAAACTAAAATAATCCAGTTCATTAAAACAGACGACACTTCCTCCAAATGTTTCCGGTATATGACCAATAATAAGCCCCTCAGTTCATCCCAGATAAACCACTCAAGCTCACCTGTGAGTGTCGGTGGGTGGGGCGTGTGTGCATGTGTGTGGTGGAAAGAGAAATGTTACTCACGCTGGCCAAGCTGTGCCTCAGGAACTCTTTCCCTGATGATGCGGCAGGCATCATAGACCATCGTGGATGGTTCAAACTGCATTGTTTTCACCACATTCCCTACACCAATTTTTAAAGACAAGGCAACCATGATTGCGGCTCCTCTCTGCCACCCACTCCACACCTGAAACAAAACAAGAGTAAGCCAGGAAAGTCATTTTGCAATCAAAAATGTCAAATTTAATCAAAGTTATCCAAAGAATCAACATTGCCAATGAATCTGAAGATGAAGCTGTCGAGATGCTGCTTTATAAATTTGACAAACCTTGGGCCCAACCAGACCCAATCGTTGATCTCTTTCCAGTTTTACTCTGGTGTGTCAACATGAAAAAACAACACAGCTCGTACAACTTTGAGATTCCAGGTTAAAATAATAGAGATTTAAAAAAATCTTTACATCCAAGTACCACAGAAAGTGACTCAGTGTACTCTTGAAAAATAATTTTCACTTTCAGCAGATTTTGGTGCACATATAAAAGGGTGGCTCCTTTTGAGATACTGATATGCCCAGGCACAGAGGATGCTTGAAATTCCTGCCTCCTACATATTTTTACCTCTAAAATCACTTTCTTTCTCTTCTCACATCATAATTCAAAACTAGTGAAAACCCAGGCTAACTGTGTGAATTGCTCTTCTGATCTTCTTAAATAATTCCATAATCCTGTGCTGCACTACTACCACTGTCACTTGACTGAAGAAATATCACATACAGTAGCTAACTTCCCTGCCCTCCTGATTTACATTTTAAAAATGGCAACAACTTTGAAGTAAACATAAGTCAATATTGGTTCAGTTTTACTGATCAGACTGATACGGATATGTTAAAAAAAATTGACATTGGCCATTACTGATGCTGATGTGTTACGCATCTTTGAAATGAATTGAGGGGAGATTAATTCCCCTCTAATTCCAACATCATATCTTGACCTCACTAATGATCAGAAACACCAGGGATGTTTTTTCAACAAGACAGTGGTAAACCAAATTCTGCTGGCATGGATGAAGACAAGGACCTAGCATTGGGCTGGTGTACATGTATTAATCAGTTCCTAAAAAGGAAAATCTTTTAGGGTTCAAAAATCAAATGACAAGTCAGTTCTACTCTTCTTTTGTTTCTGTCACTGTTTGTACAGTAAGATTTCTTTTCCTATTAATTTCTGTTTTACTCATTACTTGCATGAGTAAAACAGTTCAGAACTCTGAAATAAATACCTGAAGATAACCAATGTGTTACAGACTGTCCAGTCGAAGGTGGGGGTTGAACACGTCCTAAAAAAAAAACGGAAACCATGTTATAATTAGTTTGAATAGGTACAAAAATATCTTCCTCACAAACTAGCGGTAAAAGTAACATTGCTTAAATCTACTTTGCTAGCATATGTAGTTTTAGATATTTGTTTACATACATCTACAGTGGCAGTTTCTGGTATGGGCGACATGGACAACCACTAGGGCAGCATCTTGTGGGGGCGACATGAGACTCCCTTCCCCCCTAATTCATTTACAAAAGCATGCTTCTACTGTACATCAGTAACGCTCACATGCTCTGACCCACGGCATCCAGTGCAGGTGAACATGCATTCCCAACAGCAGAGTCAGTGCACAGGAAAACAGTGGTAAAAACTTACGAAGCAGGCAAGGATAACAGCTTTTTTTAAACCTGCTGAATTTCATTTTGATGGCAGCAGCTTGCTTTTCTGCATGTCGCAGAGTAATTCTCCTACTCTTGGTACACATGGTGACAGTACAATGCAAGTGTATCTTCAGAGCATTAAGCACTGAAGATATCAGTCAATATCGGTGATATCTTCAGCAATGTTGGTATATTCAGCAAAATGTTGCTGAATATATGCAGCAATATTTTTAATATTGCTGAATATTGAAGATATGCAGCAGTCCCTGCTCTGGAGTCATCTTCTACATTCTTATTAGTTTGTTGTGTTAATGTCCATCACAAAATAGGATAGGACCAAACTGTACTGATCAATTAGGTCTGCAGAGGGCCATCAGGGCTGACCTCATCTCCATTCAGCCTGACTCTCTGATAAACACAATGAGCATCCCATAGGTGGAGTGATCAGATCCTCCACTGTCAAACTGAATATGCATATTTGAAATGCCACAAAAGTAGTTGTGGTACTTTTAGTTATACTTAGATTGTTATGATGTTTGTTCTTTGAACTTTTACAATGAAAACTTGCCAGCTCTTTGAAGTTTTAAATTTAAATATTAAGCAATTTAAAATGTTTCAGTTTTCTGTGCTCAAACCATTAAATCATATTTAACATCATTGATATTTTCAAATAAATGTTACATTTCTATACATGTGGTCTGTGTTAAAATTGTAGCATTTATGGGGCCCCTGAAGGCCTGGGGGGCATAAGCAGCTGCTTAGTCCATTTTTGCCTTGGGCAGGTTCCAAATGTGATCAGCATTGCATCATGCTTTTAGATCCACTGACTGATTGATGACTTCATTTGGATTTATCAGAAGTGCAAATAACTGATAATTATTTTAGTACTATTTTTTCATTTGTTGTTTTTAATATGCTTGGAAATTGTCAGTAAGCTCTTTCAGTAATGTAATTGCCCAGTAATATTTTACATTTCTTGTTAGCTTGACATCTTTTAATACAAAAACACAGTGAGCCGCTTGAGAACCTCCTCGGTGCCCCGACCCACCAGGTTCAACAAAGTGGCCAGGGTACCTTATTTCTGGAGGAAACCATGGTTTTTATATTTATATTTAACATGAGTATGCTGTGAGCATGTAAAGCGAAAGTCAAATTTCACACAAACCTGGCCAAAGACATTTATTCTGAAATGACCTGCCTAAGAGCTTACATAAAAACTTGTGACTTAAATCACAAGTCACAAGTAGTGTAGTAATTTGAGTCTAACTTGTGACTTGCAAAATAATGTCTTGGCCTCTCTCTGGGTACTAGCAGTATACAACCTTATTACATTTCAACAATGAAGTAAAATTATTGGTGTTTCATAGTATTAATATAAAAGTTTAAAACAAAAATCAATAACTTGCCTTAATCAACATAGAAAAGCACAAATAGTTCATCTCACTGCTAGAGTAGAATTATTTTTATAGTTATAATAATGCTAACTGCCTTTCGTTTGTAGTTATTTTGAGTTTAATAAATATAACTGATTGGGAGCTACCATTCTGCTCTTTCTTTAGTAATACTAGGAATGAATCATCTGATTTTGCTGGAAATTATAGTCAAGGTATTTGTGTGGGAGCCAGCTTCCTTCCAAACTGTAATCTATTAATGAGCATAAGTGGTGGAGTTCCGTGTGGACGCTCATGCAGAATGCGTGGGCATCGAGAAATATGAACATTTCATTCATAAGGAAAAAGGATAAAAAAATATATACATATTCCTGTTCTTATTTTTAATTATGCAAGTTGTGGTCATCCATATTGGCACACCTCCCTCAAATGTATGAAACCAGAAACTTTACTCCTACAAATCTTGAAATGCATTTTTCAAACAGAATCAGACCTAAAGCTTTGACACTTGTTGCAAAACATGCATTTGTTCTAGCTCATTCACATCAATTTACTTGTTTGTCTGTACTGGATATTTTCTGTTATTTAGCTATTTTAGATATTGGTGCAAGTGTAGCTGTTGCAATGAGACAAACCTGAACTTCCACAGCTCTCAAATGACATGTTTCTTTTGAGATCAGATGACCCAATGCCTCTTCCTGTTTTTAAAGGCCCAAAAATACCATAAAAGGGCATTTCAGACATCCTTATACTCCCAGCTATGATTCAGCTGGGAGTATGGAATCCTGTCTGCACAGAGCTAGTTTGACTAAAGGAAGATAAAAACGTTCACTATTCCAAAAGCCTATTTCTGACTGTATTTAAACCTTGCTTAAGTACAAGATTTAAACAAGGTTCTTCAAACCTACTGCCCTTCCTGTATAATTAATATCAGTAAAAGCAAACAGGAAATTTGTCCAAATAACACAAAGTCTGGAGACTTTTGAAATTGTGCTGTTAATATCTCTCAGTCCACCCAGAGGAAGTACAAGGTCACAACAGTAATTACTGTCGTTACTGAGGAATGAGGAAGTGCAGCCTGCAAATCAGTATTCTGAAAACAGCAAGTGAATACATATAATAAGAAATGTGATTAGATGTTTGAAAATTTAAAGAAACCAGAAAATAAAAATGTTTGTCAAAAGTATGCATCAGAACAGTTACCTCTGTGGTGAATATATCTATAGCAGCAGGCTGTCAATAATGACTTTGCAGCTTCCATAATGAAGCTCCAGCAGCCAGTTGTCACTCTGAACCAAACATCCGCTCTATTTCCGGCACTGAAATGTCACACAGCAGTGTCTCTATCTTGGGCTTCAGGGTTGGCCATGATATACTGACTGACAGTGCAACTGCCCACAAAAAACATGCTTATTTTTAAAACTTTTCTTCTACAGCAAACTACATTAATTAAAACTGAAAGCTGGTCATTTTTGTGATACATAGAATCTACATGCCAAGCATCTTCCTGCTCAACAATAGATTAAATTATTTTATGTAAAAGTGCCCTTTTGAAATGAAAAGCTATGAAGATCCATGGATGTTAAACTGTTACACTTTTTCAGCATTGCATAAAGAACTGACAGTGCATCAGTCATTCAAATTGTATGATGGACTTTATTTTGCATGTACTGTGTTTTACAACTCATTCTAAGTGCTGATACTGATAAAAATTGTCATGTACTAACCAATTACAGTGAATCTGATTAACCTGAAATAAAGTTAATTTTACTAACATTTGCATCCTTTAGCTAAAGCCAAGGTTTCTAAAAACTGAACATTTATCTAAAACTGATTGAATGATCAAACAGAAGCTGGTAAGGGGGTTCAAGAAGCTGACAGCAACACTGAAGAGATTTCCTAAAAGTACTGGCTGTGTTCTACATGTGACAATCTATCGTGCAATTCTCTGTATCTTCATGCAAGAGTGACATCGTAAGACAATCCTTTTCTTCTGAATGTAGTAACAGAATACATAACTATGTATAATAACAAAATGTATTTTCAACTTTGATACAATTAGTTTTTGGGGTTTTAAAAAAAATAAATAAATAATGGGTTTTACTTACCGGTATGTTGAAATCATATGAGGTTCTTTATTTTACAAACACAGTGATTGTTTTGAAAATATTGGTTGGAAGATTATAAATTGCCACAATGTAAGGGAAATATAAAATCCATGTGCTTTTACTTCATTGAAGAGTAAAAACTAGAAGTTTATAAAATACCAGTATGGGAAGAACTTTAGGTTAAGGAATAAACCCCGGTTCTCTGAAACATGAGTGAGGTATCTCACTATGGGACATAACCCCAACGCCTGTCCCCCAGAAGCTCCATTACATCACGCCAGTCTTGACTGGCCAGTAGAAGTGACGTTGGCTCGAGGAGGAGGGACTTCCTCCCAGTATAAATGCCTGACATCATGCAAGCGGTCTTCAGTCTTTTAAGCATACCTCTTCCTCGCTCCAGCCAAGGAGGGTAATCTGGTGAGATACCTCACTCATGTTTCAGAGAACCGGGGCCATTTCTTTAACCTAAAATTCTCTTTCAACATTCGTTTCACTATGGGATATGGCGACTCCTGTATTGCAAAATAACCTTACTCGAAGACCAAAAGATGCATCCTGCAGTTATCTAAATGTGGATCCCACGCCCAGAACTGTGTGAGACAGAGTTGGTGCCATGACATCCAGTCTCTAGAACCTAGTGAAGGTGTGAGGAGTTGCCCAGCTGGCAGCATCACATACATCCTCCAAAGGCATAAACCTAAACAGTGCCCAAGATAAGGCCATGCCACAAGTGGAATGAGCTTGTAGACCTGAAGAGGGTGCAAAGGCCTTCACTCTGATAGGCCACAACAATAGGTCCGACTACCCAATCGGATATGACCCCAACACCTGTCCCACAGAAGCTCTATTACCTTACGCCAGTCTTGACAACTATGCAGTTGTTCATGCTCCTGAGAGAGGAATGGTGGTGGGCAGAAAGCCATCAACTCCAAAGGGCAGTAAGGCAAGGCCGCGTTAAACTTTTGGTATATAAGCCGGATTGGGTTTCAGTAAGACCTTGTGATTCCGCTCAGTAAACCACATGCAGGAGGGGTTTACTGAAAAAGCTGTCTTACATGAGAGCACTTTAAGCTCAGCCTGCTGCAAAGGTTTGAAATGTACATGAGACAAGGCATCAAGTACCATCGGTAAAATCCC